TCCTGTAATGAACGTTCTTGTCTGTTAGTGTTCTTCCAGAGGTGGAGTCCCTGAAATAAGAATTTTGGCTTGAGATGTGAGATTGATTAATGTAAGGTTGACTTAATGTTTGATTTCTGAATTAAACTTTTGTTTTTCTTTATTTTCCCACCATTAAAGGTGGGTGGTGTCCCTTTTAACATGTCGAAACATTCTGGATACACCCCTGTTGCTGCAAGAGAATTCTACATACATCCGTATATCACACTTTAATAAACTCACTCTTGTACTGAGAATACACCCCTGGGTTGTATCTATGGACGTTTAAGTCATAAATCACAATTTTGACATTTTATTACCATGCCAGATTCATGCCTCATCACCATATGTCCTCTTTCTGCCCTGGAGACATTCCCATCTGGTAAAAACACAGAAAAAAGAAACAAACAAACAGGTTTGTACACAAAGGCTAACATAGAAATACACATACATATCACAAGTTTCACAAATGCACATATGGTTGTAACGATGCAAACCCCTGTCTTTGAATGCATCTCTTTCTGACTATTAATGTATCTACCTCCCTCACTCTGCAGTATATTTGTGTCAATCATTTTACACTTCCCCCAACCTCGTCCTCCAAACACCTAATCTCACCCTCTTTAATTTCTGTGTGGTTTTTCATTTCATCTCACTTCTTCCTCCTTTCTAGCTTCCCTTCCTCCTTTACTTATTCTTCTTCCTCCTCCTCCTCCTCCTCCTCCTCCTCCTCTCCTCACTCTCTTAGAACTGGCCAGAGGCATGAGAAGGTTCCAGCTCACTGAGCAGAAGCCCTGCAGTCCTCCTCCTTCTCCTCTATTTAAGAACCAGCCTGTCCCTCTCTTCTCATCCTCTTGTTTTACAGCCAACATCCAAGGGAAGAGAAGGAATGTGAGAAATACAAAAAAGGAAGGAAACACAGACGATAGAAAGCGCAAACTGAAGGTACTTCAGCTTTAAACTTCATTTCCTAAGTCGCTTCTCTGCCCAGTTTTTGACCTCATTGCAGCCTGGAAACAAACGAGTCATAACCAAAAGAAAAATGTACAGGCTTTCAAGACAAGTTTGCCACAATAGTACAGGCAATAAACAGCATTTAGATACAAGAGTCAGGTTCTGAATATACCAGTTCTCCAAAGGAACTGTGTGCTGCACAGTGTTAGTTTTTCACATAGAAAATAAGTCCAGACTAAAATTAAAATAACCCAATAACATCAGTAAAGACCTACATTTACGACGCACTTCTCTAAAGCACTATTTCATGCACACATTCATACACCAATAGGAGGTTTTCAGTCACATGATCCTGACTTCGCGCAACAACCAAATGGAGGGCAGGAAGTGTCCGACTGCAATGGAGGAGATGCACCGGTTTAGATGCCTGCCGGTATTTAGCCTTAGATGGAGTTTACCACCCGCTTTGGGCTGCATTCCCAAACAACTCGAGGACTGGATTTGAGAACCACTGCCGTAGGCGGAGATTAAAAAGCCTTTTTTTCCGGCATTTTTCAGTCAGCTTCTTATATTTTTCCTCTTTGTGTAACACTACTTTGGGCACACGATAAAAGCTCTTGTTTTTTTCCCTGTTCGATCGATTCGAGCAGCTGTAAACGGAGCAAAACATCGGCATGTTGCTGGACTCTATAGCAGCAACTCACTTCCAGAAGTGACGTCAAGTGAAAACCTCCTATAATAGAGGCTGCACAATTAATGCCATTCTGTACAATCAGCATAGACTAGTATCAGACCAGATAAGACTAGCTTAAAGACCCACTCTGATGAAATTGTGCTTTTCTTGCGGTCTGTATGTTTATATGGAATTTTTCTGATGATAGAGGGCATAAGTGCAAAATTTCACTTCTGAGTATTTCTGCATTCAAATCACTGTGAGCGTTTGGCAGACCCCAATGGCAGGTTTGGACACAGACGGATTTTCTACGTCACAAGTCCATGCTCCAACCCCAGTGCCCCGCTCTGCAGGCCAGACCCTGAGAAGTAGAGAGGAAGATCGCGCAACAAGCATGTGCAATAGCAGACTGCAATGCTCAAAAGGAAGCTAATTATGATATTAGCTTTTATCATGCCCCCAAAGACGTACAGAGTAGCACTGTCTCTGCCCACCTCTCAGAGGCAAATTGCTTAGAGCTACTGGTGCTCTGCAGAAAAAAGATACAAGTAACATGATTATAGCTAAAAATTTCAGAATCACAGTTCAAAAGCCACTGTAATCACCTTAAATTGTAAAAGATAAATAAATAAATACTTTTACTTTTCTACTTACTACTTAAACATTCATGTAACCAAAAGCTATAATTATGTGTTTTTTTTTCTTTTAAAAACGTTTATAAAAGATAAGAAATCTACAAATCTATTAGCCTAAAGCTCCTGTGAGGAGTTTGGCATTACCAACTTAGACTGAAATTCATGTTGTTACCTTTTTATGATAAATAAAAGCAAACAAGATCCTCTGAAACAAGTTTGATAATTTTTAGGCTGTAATTTTTAATGCCCCAAATTAGTGTGAGATGGTAGGTTTCAGCCATGCAGCAGGTGAAACAGTCCCATTTTTATATTGTGTTGTTAAATGTTTACAATAAATATAATAAATAATATAAACCTGACCATCTGAAGTCAGAATGACAGGATTTTCTGAAAGACTCAAGCATGTAGAGGACAAGATGAGCAAAGACTGCTTCGACTGATCTATATAAGAAACAAAAGAGGTCCTGGTATGGAGCATTGTGGAACATCACACCATATTGCTTTAAGTTAAGTTTTCCCTTTACCAACTGACATTATGTTTCTCGTTAAACTGGAAACTTTAAGACCAATTACATTCCATACCAGTAACACCATGATATTTAAGCCAGTAATTCATAACTACTATGGTCTATAGTATATAAAGCATAAAAGAAAACATAAGAAAAAGAAAAAACCCAAACAAAAAGGGCTGTGCCATCCAAAAAAACACCCTCCAACCGCCCTGACCACCTTCCAACAAATCCACATGGTTTTTCTCTTCCTTATTTCATCCATCCTCCCTCTTTTTTCCCTTCTTCCATTGCCCTCTTATTTTTCCTAACAGTCCTTTCAGTCTTTCATCCTCAACACCTTCCTTCCATCTGTCTTTCCTCCTCCTTACCTTCTCTCTTTAACCCCAGTCTCCCTCACCTCCTCCTGCCTCCCTTTTTCCCTTTCTCCTCTTCTCTCTTCCCACTCTGTCACTCCACCGCCCTCCCATCGCCCAGCCTCCCTCCCTGCCTCCTGTCTCTCAGCTGAGGTGAAACGCTGTACTTTTCCTCCTGAAGTCATTTCTATGTTAATGAGTCTCCTTGTGAGATAACGCAAACGGCAAAGGCCTCGGACACACACACACACAAATGCATACATACACACTCACACACGCTGGCAAAGCAAGTGAGAAGGATGATAGGACCTGTCACTGCTTCCTCTGTCGATCTGTTCATGCACTTATTTAATTATAAACTGTAATCCCTCTTTCTCCCTCTCTCTGTCTCTCCACTTTTCTCCCTCTGCTTGTTTTTGATCACTTTAATTCGTCTGCTGCCTCATTTTTATCTCTTGTAGTCTAACAAACTCCAATTCAAAACAGCACATTGCTCTATCAATAAGCACATAATATATCCCATCTTTCAGTCAATTATAGCAGTAACACATGGAGTGAATATGTGCATTGGACTTGATTGACACCCTGCTACTTCTTAACACTGTGGTTCCTCAAAGTGTCAAAAAATTCTGTTTAATAAAAAATGTATCCATTTTTGCCATCTAGAGAAACATAATTTTGTTGAAAACCCACATTCATATTGATTTACTGATATTTTTGTGTGTTAAAGGAGAAAGCAATAAATTACAGTAAATAAACATCCAAATAGATTACAGAAGAGGAAACGTGCGTTAATTCATCCTTGCAGTCCCCTCATCCAATCATCCCTATTAGTCTCTAGTGAGGAAGGCCAGCTTCCATTAATCGCTGTGTAAACAGGCAATACAATGAGCTTTGAAACAGTCAGAGCTGCTCAGCCGCCCTATAGCACACATGCGCGTGCACAAACACACAATAGGCTAAATACACTTAGGACACGTATGTCCTACGTGCACGCACCTACGCACGGCAATGTCATGTGAACGCAACAACCACGCGTTGTACATGCACACACACCCGTGCTTCCAATGCACACGTACGTACTCCTGCGTGTGAAGTGAACTATGAAGCCCAGACCGCCTTGTATGGAAGCCCCGCTGGAGTGGGATCATTAAAAACGGTCCGTGGCTCTTTAAGTGGCGTCTCTGCTTCTCTCCCGGGCGCGATTCTTCATGCATCGCTAGCCAATCTCTCTCTCTCTCTCTCTCTCTCTATATATATATATATATATATATATATATATATATATATATATATATATATATATTCTTACTAATCAGCGCGGTGCAGTGGCTTCTGGCGCGGCACAGCGGCACAGGCGGAGAAGAGAGGCAAACAGAGGGACACCATACCGCGTCGCTTCCAGTCAGCACCATGGACAGCGTCTTACATACAGCACCACGGACAGCTCTTTAGGCGCGGCAGAGGCTCTCAGAGCGGCAGGCGACGCGGCATTACATCACAACTCCCATTTAAGAAAAAATGTTGCGGGTTTTTCACAAACCACGTATCTCATGTTTGTGTAAGAAAAACAAATGAAATGCAGATATCAATGAAGTTTTGAACATAGCTCATATGTGGAGCCTCTTCCCAGGCTCCAGAAACATTGAAGTGTTACTCTCACAATATAAAGCATGTCTCTGTGATCATGCAGGGTCCCTCCCCAGGCAGAAAACTGACTGTCATCTCTACAGACCAGCCTCTCGTGCTTTATATCGATAATGTCGCAGTGATGGGCGGGGCATGACAGTGGTCGTAATTGATTGGCTCCTGAAGGGCGCTATCACCCACAAGCCCAGTCCGAGCCGAGCATTGCGGCTTTGGGCGGAGTTTGGAGAGACGCGCGGTTAGTTTTAGTTTGTGTTGGTTGGACCGAGAGGAGGAGGAGGAGGAGGAAGACTACTAGGAGGAGGAGGAGGATTGGGGGGGGGGGAGGAGGCGACGGCTGTCATTTTTTTTTTCATTTGTACCAACGGGCACGTTTCTCGGGAGCAAATCCAGGCGAGTGAAGCTGTCCTACAGGCTCCATCAGCAGGCATCTTATCAGACGGTGTGTCCGCTGGGGAGCTGAACTTTGGTGGTGACAAGCGATGAAGACGTTCCGATTTTGAAGAAGAAATCTGAAAATCCCGCTTTTGTGCCTATATTCAAAGCCAACTCAAAGACTTAGCCTATGTGTCTCTACTGCAGATAATATGCAGAGAGAAATCTTTATATTTGCTCATTTCTGTTTTGCCATCATCGAGGAAGAAGCAAAGACATGTCAGTGAGTCAACAGCTGGAGAAGAGGAAACACGACGGATCTCGATCAGCGTCCATCCTCTCGTCATAGCTGAAGTATGGGCTGTATTCATGCGCCCATCCATTCAGTAATTTAGCAAGAAACTGCACAGGAAAGGATAAATCCACTGCACGGCCGCCTCTGGCACTGCTGAGACAGAGAGGGAGATCCTTCACCGGTCGAAAAATCCAGCGGTGAGTGAGGGGCGAGCCGCCTTGAACGATGTTTCACTAGAAACACACCAGAAAGCCTTCCCCCTCGACCTGGGCTGTGCAGTAACACAAGCCAGAACCTCTTTATGTTGTTGTTTAAAGATGGAGTCCACGCAGAGCCTCACTGTTCATAGTTAATACATTTGGGACTGTTCAAAGGGGGACGTGAGTTTAAAACAAAAGAGAGAAGAGGAGGGCAAGGGGAGAGGAAAACCAAGACAAGAGAGGGAAGTGAGCGAGCAGAAGAGGAGCTGTGGCTACTGGTGGATAACGCGGATCTACCCCGGGGCTCATACATGGAAGAAGGGAAGGAGAGGTGGAATGTGGCTACACCGTCACCCTCTGCGCTGAGTGGGTGAGGGCAGTGTCAGGCAGTCTGGGTACAACCGGTGGTCGTTGAACTCCCGGGTGTGTTTTAATGAGGTTGTTGTTGTTGCTGGTGGTGGTGAAAACCGGTTTTTGATGCGCGAGAAAGTGACGCGCCGCCCTCCCACCTTCCCGCCCTTTACCACCAGCCTCTCGTCAACTCAACGCTCAAGCTAGCCAAATACCTATAAAAACCTCACTCTCACCTGTTTTTCTTTATACAATTCTAACGTCTCTCTGTTGAGCCTCTCTTTTACCAAATCTATATTAAGGAAACTTAAAGGGTGAATCTGACAGAGAAGTAAGTAAAACGCTTAAGTCAAACAGGAGCCGCCTATATGAAGATGCTGATGTGTGACCGCGGCGTCCAGATGCTCGTGACGACGGTGGGCGCGTTCGCCGCCTTCAGCCTCATGACCATCGCCGTCGGTACTGACTACTGGCTGTACTCGCGCGGGGTCTGCCGCGTGAAGAGCAGTGGCGACAACGACACGAGCCGCAAGAACGAGGAGGTGATGACGCACTCCGGCCTCTGGCGAACCTGCTGTCTGGAAGGTACGTGATCAGTCTGACTGACTGACCGACTGTCTATTTCTCTCTCTCTCTCTCTCTCTCTCTTTCTGTGTGTGTGTGTGTGAGTTGTGTGTTAGGATGAGAGTTCTTTCTCTATCTCCCTATCTCTCCTTTTCTCTCTCTCTCTGTTGTCCATATGTGACTTTTTATTCTCTTCACACACACACACACACACACACACACACACACACACACATCTCGTTTTCCTAGTGCCTGCCTCTGTCTGTCTAACACCAGGAGAACTCTGGCAGTGTTCCCAGTTTGAGTGAGAAAGTGTGTGAGAGTGTATCCTATAATCCCCCAAACACAATTCTTCAGAAGTTGTCCTTCCCTGAGTTCACAGTTGCCTCTGTTTCTCTGCAACGTAATGAAATAGAATATTAATTAATGTGATCTTGCTGTAAACACATTACATAGCTGAGGGCACAAATAAAGCACTAACAGGCACAAACACAGACAGCTGGCAGCGTCATTAGTCCGTCTTCTGCAACTCTATCTAGTTCCTGGATCTGCATGCTTTTTCTGGGAACTCTTATGATGTTTGAAATAGCCCTTGAATTTTTTGAAGCTACAGTATCTTGTCTTATGGTAACAGACTAGAAAACATAAATTCTGTGGGAGCCTAGAGTGGCCCTGGTTCATACTGATATTGGGTGTGCATTTGGCAACTAAAAAGCTAAAGAAGGGTTTAAAGGGTTTTAGTAAAAGCTACAGAAATATACCCTGATTTATTCATTGATGCCATTATAGGAAGATGGGTATTCACTTATGATTCATGTCCTGCTCAAGACTGCAGCCTATTTAAAGCGACCACTGCAAAAGTGAAGGCCTACAGTGGAATAATGTTGGATCTTTATGTAAACAGTGGATATTTTTGAATAAAATGCTTGACAAAGAGACTCTGTTTGAATTAGATAAGCTAGCTTCATAATTTTGGACAAACATTGATCTTTCTTTACATGGCCAGGATCAAAATCACCCAGAGACCAACTACAGGGACTACCTTTAAATTTATTTAAAGTTCCTGTAAGCAACTTTATGTTTGTGTCAGTCTTTGTGCCCCCTTTGGACCAAAGAGAACCTCTTACCTGTTAAAAAAAAATCAATCTATCAGATGGCTAACTTACCTTACAGCAGAATTGTGTGGTGTCCCACAAGACACCATGCCAGGCCCTCTTTTATTTTACATCTTTGCTCTTCTTCTGTCCTTGGCATGTAAAGGTTGAGTTTCATGACACAAGTTGCTTTTGCTCAGTGAAATGGGTCATTCACTGAGAATATTTTAGAAAGGTGAAACAAAGTCGTTTCCTCAAAGTGCTGTTAATTGTCAAGTCTGATGCATGTACACAGTTGTAGGCTTAAAAAATTATTTCATATTTATTTTCTATTCCTATCACTGATGGTTTTGTTTGTCTCTGTAGTGTAGATCATAAAGTACAATCACTGTTGATGTCAGTCTCTTACAGTCAAAAACTCCTCATAGTGATTTTAGTGCTATACATGGACCTTGAGAAGCATGAAGACCCCCATCAGCTACGAATAATTCCACTTACAGAATTAAAACAAACCCAAACTGACAAAAATGACAGAAAACAGTTTCATATTGATGCAAGGGTGTAAAGATTCACTAATCTAAATCGTTGGCCAATGATGACTGTAAAGATCCGATTGCACCATTCTCACCTGGAGAACCATTTTCAACTCAATTCCTATCCTCACGTCTTGACAAAGAAATATCAAAACCACTTAGCAACAGTGGTAAGACAAACTCAACAGGCAGTTTCCTAAGCTGATTGAATTCCACTTTGCATTAATCGGTGGGCAGTTAAACCATCAAGGAGTATTTTTGAGCCTTGGATTTCAATTTTGCTCAGTTTGCATGCTTACATTTATCTCAGCTTTCCCTGAAGATTTCCCTGTTGACTGTTGGATGGTGCTGGGGTACCATAAATCTGATTAAAATGTGTCTGTTTGTGTGATCAATATATGAAATCACCTATCTCTGTGTGCCCAACTTGTGGACCCCTAAAAAAGACTTAGAACAAGACTTGTTTGCAACAGTTAACTGATACCTGGTCACTGTGTTCTGTATAGACTTGAAAAACTAATTTGCAGTATTGTGTTTTTTCATCTCATGTTAATGTCTACAGTCACACCTTATTTTTTTAGCTTCAGCAGAGCTGCCATCTAAAGCAGAGTCATTATACTGACAATCTCACTCTGTCTTTTGCTCATTAAGCACACAGACACAGTTATTTAATTTAAGAGCTTAAGATTGACAGGCTGTTTAAGCAGAGGGGAAGTGCTGGAGTCAGACTGAGGGAAAAAAGATGTTCAGTGTAACAGTGTGTTTGATTAACAACATCCTGCTTGTCTTTCAGGATCCAAATGAGCACCATCGTTTACACACATTTCTACATTTCAACTTATGAGGCTTGATCTACTAAGATCCAAAATAAGGAGCGCTAAATTGCGTGTTGCGGAGTCATCTACTATCACTGCATGCGCAATTGATAACAGGTGTAAAAGTGGTGCGGACTGCCCTCTTTGAACAAGGATTTTGCATGCGCTGTAGGCTATCACCATGAAGAGTTTGTGAAAGCAGAGTAGCCATAAAAGAAAAAAATTAAGGTTGAAGCCATGGAGTTGCACTTATCGTTTTGGGGAACTGCATAAAAGGCAAAACAAGTTAATTTGTATAGCACATTTTATACACAAAGCAATTCAAAGTGCTTTACAGATGCAAGAAAATATATTAGAAATCAAAAAAGGGATCAAAACATGTTTGACCTAATTATTTATGAAAACCGTTATTTACCAGAAAAACGTAATAAATCACAACATTTAGACAAGGAGCTCTGCAGCACCAAGCCTGCATCTCCAAGACTCGACAGGACCCCAAGGCCTGCCCTGTTTTATGTCATTTACTGCATCCTGAGTGCATGGGAACTGGACATACTTGCCCATCTTGAGTGACATAGCATTCAACACTTGGGACAGCACACCAGAAAAACTACTCTAGGAGACGCACTAACTGTGATGGTGTGCTGGAATGATCCAGAAAGGGAAATGCTGTGTTACAAGGAGTTTTTCAATAGGAGATGCGGTATGGATCATATTTTTGTCTGACTCCAAATCAGCTCTTAGGTTACCCAGCAGTTCAAAAATGACATTACTGTTACTATGTCTCTACTATTCTTTATGTCTGACAGTCCAAATATGTTGACACACACATGGAAGACTCTTTCTCTCTCTCCGTCGTATATCATTGCACTTCTGTCTCTCTCTTCCCACAATGACCATAGCCATTTATGTGTAACACTGTGCCAGTTTGCACTTGCTAGAAGCAAAACAGTTTATAAGACAGTGTTTTATAAACACTGGTATTGAGGAGTTTGTTGCTGTTCTTTTTTGTATCTTCGAAAAAGACACTTACCATTCATTTTATAATGATGCAATACAATGTAATTGATTAGATACAGTGTGGTACAATATAGATAATACAATGCATTGCAGTTTAATGTAATATGACATGATACAATAACAACCTAACACGAAATGATACAACATGACATGAAACAATACCATAGTTGTAGAATAGAACAGTTATATGACCAAACATCATAATGTCTGATGAATGTAAAGGCCCTGTTAGAGAATAGAGGAGGACTGAGCCACCAGGGCTGACACTGGAAATCAAGACAAAATGAGACAAATTATAGAGGAAATCTGCGCCAACAGCATAGTACTGTATTACACAAGCTTAAATGCAATACAATGTCATACAAATATTTCTGCCCAAATTGTCTTTAATCCACCCAAAATGTTACTGCCTTTGTGTGTGTGTGTGTGTGTGTGCGTGCGTGTGTGAGTGTATGTGTGTGTTGAAGCTCTGACAGGATAAAATTGGTATTGGTTCTCACAATTACCCCATCAAAGCCTTGATTGCACAGAAATGGTAAAAATTGGTGATCTTTGAAAACTGTTAGACCTCAACACTGTGAAGATCTGCAACGTCATGAATTTGTAAAACGTTTACCTTAGTCTACCCTAGAAAAGGTCAGGAGATTATTAACTCCTTCATAGACTGACATCTCTGTGAAATATGGAAATATGATTGTATCCTGTTTATATTGGATGGGGTTTTGTTGTCACTGTGCATCTTTCCTGTTGAGAATCATGTACGTTGCACTGACAATTATAACTGAATGTTTTGACAGAATTTTGGGTGCAAATCCAGGTTACACAGCATGAAGGCTGGTTCACAGAAAAAGCAAAGTCAAACCCGTCAGATAAGAGACATCCCATACAGATTAGATGGCACACATAGTACAGTTTTTACATCTTTTAACAAGCAAGGGGCATTCATGGTAAATAGAGATTTTGTGTGTGGTCAATTTTCAAATTGCAACGCCCGAAAAAAAATAAACTCTTTAGAGGCACAGTATAGAAATGGGGACATTTAGGGGCATCTAGGAGTCACATCCTAAACTGAAGCATTCCCGTGCGACATAGTACATTTGATGTACTATCTCTGTAAAACTTAAAAACTCTTAATTCTTAGAAAAGAAATTGATGCAAGAAATCACACATCAGCTCTTCTATTTTTATGCTGTATCATTAAAATTGAAGGACTTGAGCTCTTTTACAGCTTTTACAGATTTCATCACAGGCTGCAGATCTGGCAAGTCATTCAGTCGTTTCAAGCTACTATATAACATCCTTTATAAGGTTAAACTTGGGTATATATTTGTGAGGTTTCAAAACATTGTCTCTCACCTTTTAGCTCAGTAGTATTTATTTCATGCACACTCATGATCAAGACCGCTCATTTGGCCCCACATACCCCCCTCCACCTACTCCTCCTCCTGCTCTTCTTTTTCAACCTGTAGCTGATAATTTGTACTGCTGTTGCTCAAGGTGTTGAGGATATGGCAGAACATCATTAATCTTAGCAGGATCTGGATCTGGATCTGGATCTGGACCTGCAACTTCCACATCCTCCCAGTTTTTATTTCATGATGATCCTGGCTGCTTATGATGAAGTCAAAGTGAGAGCTGTTTGAGGGGAGGGCCTGCACCCCCTTTCTGCTGTTAAGGCAGAGAGGAAAGGTTTGTTTCCTTCAAGGTATAGGGAGTAATGGAGGCAACACACCAGGCAGCACAGTAATCGTTCTGTCTCTATTATCACATTTTTATTATCATGGGGAGCCATAATCATAATTGAAATTAAAATGTGCTTAAGCACTCATCTGGAGATACACTTGAGATCATATTTAGTCAGACTTTTGGTACCAAATTTGAGGGATTTTAGGGTAAAGATGCAGCAGGTAGCACTGTGAGTTGCAGATTTAGCATTTAATTCAACATTGATACCACTTTCTGACTAGTTCTTTTAATTATTCTTAAAAGAGAAAGCATTTCTACAAAAATCTAATCTAACCTTTTATTGACTGAAATTAGACTATAATGTTTTGACTTTTTGTGGATTGAACCAGACTCAAAAAAGGACTCAAATGTGGCATAAAACAACAAGGATTTTCACCTAAAGACCAACAGTGTCTGCCTAAATTAACACTGTTTCTTAAATGTTTACTTTCATACATGTCTGTCAGAACAAAGTCTTTGCTCATAACAACCACTCCCTTCTTCTTCTTTTCCCTCAACCCGGTGAACTTTTGGTGGATTTCATGGCCACTGACTATCTAAAAAACTGCATATGCACATTCACTTTGACTGTTCTGTGCGATTGTAGAAACATAGCAGAGCTCAGTAGTGGCATCTGGGGACCTGACCGGCTCCTATACAGGGCTCAGTTTAGGTTAACAGAAACCAACTGTTATTCAGGTGATAAAAGATCAATGTAAACACTCTTATAAATATTAAATTACAGTTTTAACAAATCTGTTTGATTGAACGCTGCTAATTTCTCCATACTGTACCTCTATTATTAGGCTAACAGCCATATATTAATAATCGTACTCTTTTCCCCATCATTCATTGTGCCATGAAACATAACTCACATAACTCACTAAATGATTTGACTTTGATCCTCTGAAAATACTCTGCATCAAGAAGTTTGTTTTCAATTACCATAAAAAAGAAACATTGCCTGAAGTGGAAGCATGAGTGTGTGTGTGTGTGTGTGTGTGTGTGTGTGTGTGTGTGTGTGTGTGTGTGTGTGTGTGTGTGTGTGTGTGTGCGTGTGTGTGTGTAGCCAGACATAACCATCTCATTCTGGGGGGCATAGAAGCCTATTACAGGGCCAGATGGCGCAGGTATAAGCTTTATTGAACACAAACTCTCATTTACATGCACACACACACACACAGACTTATAATTGAATGAATAAATAGACAAATTCTAGGATATTCCCAAGCCACCAAATAAGCAGAGCTGCAGGAGCAGCACGCCAAGTTATCACAATGTCATCACAATGTCAGAGCATGCACATACATGTGTTGCATACTTGTGTTGCCTGTGCACATGCACAGGCAACACAAGCCGTTGCACACATATTGACACATTCAAGAAAATTAGTTCTCTTTTCTCATTCTGCACATCTTATCCCTCCTTTGCTCGTTCCATGTCCCTGCTTGTCACAGTTTCATAATTCATAAACGCCTCATAAAGTGACAGGAAATGGATGTCTCTGACTCGTACATGTGGCTCGACATCTGAGAGCAGCAGAGAGAGAGATGGAGCGAAGAGGAGGGTTGGAAAACATCATGTATACAGTAAAATGTGCAGAGCATGTATCGAGCAGTCATGCATATGTAGGGCTCTATTTTCGTGCCTCGCCGGAGATGTGCCGCAGGCGCGGCGTAAGTGGGGTCCGCCGCGCCGACAAGGCGTTCCCAAGCACAAATTGGTATTTTGGTGAGTGGCGCAGCCTGGCATAAGTATCCCCTTCCCTGACTCAGCTCCTCCCAGCGGCGTAAGTCGTAGCGAAGGAGGAGAGAGGGCGTGGAGTGGGTTTAACACAGCCGAGACCTGTATTGACCAATAACATAAGCTCCTCTCCTCGCCTTTAAATCCGCCACCGGAGAGGCGTATTACTATTTTCGTGAGGTAGTCAAAGAGATCAAGAGATGTCTGAAGACAGTAATGCCACACGATGGCAACAAAAGGCAGCCCCTCAACAAGTGTTGCTGCAGAGGGCGTCCTCCACACTCTCTCATATGAGCACAGATGGATTTGGTGTATGTTATGTTGGACCCACTAGTAAGACAAACACCCTTTCCACAAATAAAGACACTCACATAAAGTTGCATATATTTAAACCTCACGTGACAAAGGTGGGTTGAGCACACAGATCACAACATAAACTCCAAAAATGGCATTAAAATCAGAACCATCTGTGCGTAAATGATGCATCGCGTTCCGTGGCCTGGCTCTTTCTTTCATAAATGTTGGTATGTAAAATAAATTTGGCTTACATAACTGAATATTATGATATTCGTATGTAGGCTTAAAGTAAATAACTCATCTGATCACTGAAACAAATCATCTGTTCAGCCGCAGCAGCTGCAGCTGCAGCAGGATGGGGAGAGGACACGGAGACGTGTCCAGGTTTGGCTGCACGAGAAATAGGAGGAAGAAAGAAGAGGAGGGAGACAAATAACATATCTTGTTAACTTCATCATGTGTGTCTATTTACTAGATATTTAATTTAATTTAATGCGGTTTAAGCTGTGTTGATTCGGCCAGGTTGTGTGTCCAAACATGTGCCAAACGAGCTTATCAGATCAGACATAGATTAGAATATATCCATAGATCTAAATGTATGTGCTGACTCAGATTATTAGTTGTTGTTGATTATTTTTTGCACTGAAATGTGCCTGAAACTGTGGAAAACTGCCAATGAGGCATCGGTGACGTATGCCGATACACCGCCGGTCTACCAAAATACTACTAGACCAGCTGCGCTCTGCCTGCGCTGAAAGCTGACCAGGTTTCAATCAGCGAGCTTTCAGCGCAGTATATACGCCGGTGGCGAGCACGAAAATGTCACTGCGCACGCTGAATCTTTCGACACCTCCCCCTGCCACACCACCACGCCCAGCTTGGCGGATCTCGGTGCGCCTCAGTCCACGAAAATACAAAACTGGCTGTACGCCGGGCTCCGCCAGACGAAAATACAACTGCGCGGGGTCTGCCACCCTCCGCCACCTCACCAGCGTACACAAAAATAGAGCCCGTAGTGTGCAGCATATATCATGCAGCTATTTAGAGAAGAAAAGTTTCTTTAGCTACGATAATGGGGAGGATATACACCTCAAAATCATCCTTTGAAAAATGTAAAGACTTCTGTTGCATAAAACATTATTTAAAGATTGCAAAAAGTCAAAAGATTAAGATTTCAGTTTTATGTGGTGCAATTTATTTTGATCTCTAACTACTCTTTTCCCCTTCTCTATTCTCACTTGTGTACAGAAACATGCATTCAAACAGAAATGAACTGTAAGAATAGTGCTGAAGTCTTGGCAGGTTTGATCGCAATCTACAGTTTGACCACTGTCTTAGGAAGATTCTCTCTATTGGACAGCCTGAAAGTCCCGAAAGTTTTCTGATATCTTAGGAAGCAAAAAGCCTCAAATCAGCTGTTTTTCTGCAAAAAATGACAAAACTGCATCACTTGACCCATCTGCAAAAAGTCTGCTAGATATTTAAGCCTTTTTTGAGGATTCAATACCACAAGCTACCATCAATTTCCAGGAAGATTTGCTGAAAAGTTTGATGTGCTTTAGAGAAGTAATACAAAAAGGACAATCACAGTACAATAAGGAAGGTCACTGTCAACTATCTTTTTTTTCTTTTTTAAAACTATTTTAACATTTAGGAATAGCATTTACCTGTACCAAGAATTTCCCATTTACTTCACCATACATGCAGGTAAACTAATTTCCAAGATTTTTGTTGACTTGTGTACACTGATGTCGATTATTATTGTCACATAGTTATCGAATTCAAAGTAGTCCGTGTTTGGGTGTTATTGAGAATAATATGTTAATTTTTCATTCAACTTTCTCAAATGAACCCGATAGTGCAGTGCACCTGAAATTGTATCTGAACAATTTCACACTCAGACTCAGACTCAGACTTTTTATTGTCATTGTATGAGGCATACAACGAAATTAAAACAGCTCGGAGTGGTGTTTTCCTAAGTGGAGTAATAAAAAATAGAATAAAATATGAAATAAAATAGTACAAAATAAAAATAGAAAACAGTGCAGCGTCAGTACAATGTAAAGGTAGTGCAAATCACATGACATCATGTAGCAGCGGTGGGGGGGGGGGGTTTGTGTGTGGGTGGTCAGTTTGGAGAGCAGAGAGGGGAGGAGGTGTATGTGTGTGTTCAGTGTAGTGACTGTATGAGGGAAGAAGCTGTTCCTGAGTCTGTTTGTTCTTGTTTTGATCGACCTGTAGCATCTGCCCGAGGGCAGCAGATCAAACAGGTGAAAGGCAGGGTGGGTGCAGTCTGTGATGATTGCCTGAGCTCTGCTCAGGCAGCGGGAGGTGTGGATGTCCCTCAGGGAGGGGAGGGGACAGGCGATGATCCTCTCTTCTGTCCTCACCACCCTCTGGAGCCCCTGCCGCTCTGCCTCAGTGCAGTGGGAGAACCACACTGTGTTGCAGTGCATCAGGACACTCTGGATGTGTAGAAGGTTCTCAGCAGCTCCTCTCCAGCATTGTTCTTCCTGAGCACTCTCAGGAAGTACAGGCGCTGCTGGGCCTTTTTGATGACAGCTCTGGTGTTCTCAGTCCAAGAGAGGTTGGCTGAGATGATGGTGCCCAGGAGCTTGAAGCTGTGGACCCTCTCTACCCAGTCACCATTTATGCTGAGGGGGGGGCAGCTCAGATCTGTGCCTCCTGAAGTCCACAATGATCTCTTTTGTCTTTGTGGTGTTTAAAATCAGGTTGTCAGTCTGACACCACACAGACAGATTCCGGACTTCATCCCTATAGACAGACCCGTCTCCACCTGTGATCAGCCCCACCACCGTGGTGAACTTTGCTATGGTGTTGGAAGCGTGAAGAGGTTTGCAGTTGGCGGTGTAGAGGGTGAAGAGCTGTGGGATCAACACACAGCCTTGTGGGGAGCCAGTGCTCAGTGTACGGGTGGAGGACAGATGGGTTCCGACAGTGAGTTTGCTGACCAGGATGTCGGGGATGATTGTGTTGAAGGCTGAGCCTAAGTCCACAAAGAGCACCCTGGCATAGGTGTCTGTGTTCCAGATGGCTCAGCACGGAGTGAAGGATGAGGGATATGGTATCCTCAGTCGATCTGTTTGCTTTGTAGGCAAACTGGTGGGGACCGAAGGAGGGGGGGAGACAGTCTGTGATATGGGAGAGGACCAGCCGTTCCAGACACTTTGTGATGACCGGTGTAAGGGCCACTGGATGGTAGTCATTTAGATAGGTGACGTGGGATTTCTTGGGCACCGGGATGATGGTGGTGGACTTCAGACAGGCGGGGATGGTGGCTTGAGACAGGGAGAGGTTGAAGATGTTGGTGAAGACCTGGGAGAGCTGGTTTGCACATGCCCTGAGAACTTTCCCAGGAACACCGTCTGGTCCAGCTGCCTTCCTGGGGTTCACTCTGGCGAGCATCCGTGCCACCTCCTGTGCCTGCACAGTCAGTGGATCGTGGATCGGGGCTGACTGGGTCAGGGGGGTGCAGCTGGGGGCTGCAGGGCTGTGGACTCAAAGCGTGCAAAGAAAGTGTTCAGCTCTTCTGCTAGTGCGGTGCTCCAGTCCACGGCTGAGCTGGTTTGTCCCCTGAAGTTGGTCAGGGGACAATTCTTCAACAGAACATAAAATCCTCGTCTTAAATTATTAGTCAAGACACTTCCTCCCCAGAACTTCATTGCAGCAGCTGCAGAGCACAGTTTGAGCTTGTCGTCGAAGCTCTTTCCTCATTTCTCCTTCGATGTTTATTTTACATGCAGAAATCTGAGGAGACATGAGATGATATTCTCAACCGAGTAGTCTGAGCCTGCCAGTGGAGCCCCTGTGAGGACTTTTTCACTGGTTGTGGAACAGACTAAATTTGATATTGGTGCCTGTCCATGACAAAAGCAAAATGAGACACTCAACAACATTTGAAGTTGTAATTTTGAACGCCTGTAACAGCTGAGAGAGGTAGGTGTCAGACCAGATGATTGGCAGCAGGCTGAAGAAACAGCCTATTTTACATTTTCCACTGCTAATGTTCACAATGAGTGACTGATATGACAGAGACAGCATTTTATAACTAGACACTACTGCCTTGGCATGTAAAGGACAACATCAGTGAGAAAATGATGAACCTTTACCTATGGGGCTCCAACACTGACAGTTCAGACAGCTTTAAAAGAACCACCTAATTGAGAAGAAACATTTATGCAAGCTATCCAACTCTAAATTTGGACAAAAATTGTTTTCATTTTCATTGTTACTTCATATTGCTTTCAAGTTACGTATAGACTGATTAATCAGCTGGCCAGTTAATTAGGCCAATTGATGGCATTTTCACACAGGTGGCATAATATCAGCATTGGCTCTCTCAAGGCGGAAATCACTATTATCTTTCCAAAATAAAAACATATTTTCCCATCCCAAATGACAGCAAATCAAATCTAAAACAATATTGTGTTAAATATAAATTCTGTCATGATGTGAGGGACAATGAGGTTTAATAGTTTCTGAAATTGAAGTCATTTCGTTGACAAAAATTAAAAAAATCCCTTGTGATTATACATTATTGAGACATATATTGTTTCCTCTGAATGTATTTAATAAAATTTTGCTCAAGTTTAGCATTTTTTTTAATCATTTATAAGTTTTGTTAAAATGTTGTATTAATATTGTTGCAGTAACACAGCAGCAATTTGATATCAGCTTAATATGACACCATCTGCTGACCTGATTTCTCATATTCAGTATCAGCATCAGCCACTGAAAAACGTGTTTTTTTGAGTCTCAGGCGTTCCTGATAACCAGTATCTTTATTGGCCCTAAAATCAGCTAGTCCCCCACACCATGATTATCATGGCCATAAGAATTAAAATATCTTTGTTTTTACATTTCTTAGTAAAGATATTAGGTTTAAAGGTGTTGGTTATTGCTACTAGTTTTAAAGCTTTTGTTAAAACCAAATCTTAATGGGTTCTGTGTTACACTAAGTGTAGAGCATTTAAACAAGTCTTTTTTTTTTCTCTCTGACATCATGGTTCTGCATCAACTGTGTGTGTTGTTAGGATGAGATTTCTTGTATGCAGCAAATCTGTTGTGTATCTGTGCAGGTGCACCACAGTGTTAATCTCTTACCTTGATAAATGAGCATGAAAGAGTGAGGAAATGAGAAAAAAAGGAAGAAGAGAGGGGGGATGTAAAAGGATGGAGACGGAGCATGAATGAAAAGAGAGCAGAATGTGCATGGGAGAAGCGGGGAAGGATGTGGGGGTGGTGGTTTGAGAGTGATGGATGAGCTGTGCATGGCCTCTGTTTCAGGTGAATCTCTGGGGAGTGTTTGACCGCGCCGGGGATCTAAATGATCACCTGGTAATAGAGAGCAGGGACAGGGTTTTAAAAGCAGATGGGGGCAAAAATAACCACCCAGGTGGGCTCAGGAGGAGGGAAAATGGGAAAGATGAGAAAAGTGGGGAAAGTACTGAAGGACAGGGATCAGTAGGGAAAGAAAGAGTGGAAATGGGGTGACAGTAGGAGTATGGAATAAAATGGTCAGTCTGGACTTACACATTAGATGGCCAAAAGTATTAATACTGCCTTGAACAAGCTGCTCTTAAATAAAGGAAAGAAGCTTTGTTATTTTATAAATAACATTTGTAGCACACCAGTCATGAATCCACGTGGTGGTGTGGCAGGGGGAGGTGTCGACAGAATCAGCGGGCGCAGTGACATTTTTGTGCTCGCCACCGACGTATAAAGTGCGCTGAAAGCTCGCCGATTCAAACCTGGTCAGCTTTCAGCGCAGGCGGAACGCAGCTGGTCTAGTAGTATTTTGGTAGACCGGCAGCGTATCGGCATACGTCACCGATGCCTCACCAGCAGTTTTCCACAGTTTCAGGCACATTTCAGTGCAATAAATAATCATCAACAACTAATAATCTGAGTCAGCACATACATTTAGATCTATATAGATATATTCTGATCTATATCTGATCTGATGAGCGCGTTTGACACGCGTTTGGACACACAACCCGACCGAATCAACACAGCTGAAACCGCATTAAATTAAATTAAATATCTAGTAAATAGACAAACATGATGAAGTTAACAAGATATGGAATTCGTCTCCCTGCTTTTCTCTCTCGAAAAAGTCCCGACCTGGACATGTCTCCATGTCCTCTCCCCTTCCTGCTGCAGCTGCGGCGGCTGAACAGATGATTTGTTTCAGTGATCAGATGAGTTATTTACTTTAAGCCTACATACTGTATGAATGTTATGATATTCAGTTTTGTGAGCCAAATTTATTGTATATGCCAACATCTATGAAAGAAAGGCCACCGAGCGTGATGCGTCATTACACACAGATGGTTCCGATTTTAATACCATTTTTGGAGTTTATGTTGTGATCTGTGCGCACAACCCACCTTTGTCACGTGAGGTTTGAATATATGCAAGGGTGTTTGTCTTACCAGTGGGTCCAAACTTACACACACCAAATCCATCTGTGCTCATATGAGAGAGTGTGAAGGACGCCCAATGCAGTGCTTACAGTAACATTTGTTGAGGGGCTGCCTTCTGTCGCCATCGTGTGGCATTACTGAATTCAGACATCTCTTGATCTCTTTGACTACTTCATGAAGATTGTAATACGCCTTGCCTGTGGCGGTTTTAAAGGCGAGGAGAGTAGCTGATGTTATTGGTCAATACAGGTCTCGGCTGTGTTAAACCCACTCCGACGAGGCATGAAAAATAGAGCCCAAAGTATCTTGTCCTTTAAGCGTAATCAATTGAATATAGGTTGACAAGGATTTGCAGATCATTGTATTCTGTTTTTATTTACGTTTATCACAATTTCCCAACTTTAATGGAATTGGGTTACTATACAAAGGGCTCTATTTTCGGGCTTCACTGGAGACGTGGCGCAGCGTAAGTCGGGTCCGCGGCGCCGACATGGCGTTCCCAAGCACAATTTGGTATTTTGGTGAGCGGCGCAGCCCGGCGTAAGTATCCCCCCTCCCTAACTCAGCTCCTCCCAGCGGCATACGTTGTAGCGAGGGAGGAGGGCGTGGAGTGGGTTTAACACAGCCGAGACCTGTATTGACCAAAATCATCAGCTCCTCTCCTCGCCTTTAAATCCGCCACCGGCGAGGCGTATTCCAATTTTAGTGAAGTAGTCAAAGAGATCAAGAGGTGTCTGAATACAGTAATGCCACACGATGGCGACAGAGAGCAGCCCCTCAACAAGTGTCGCTGTAAACGCTGCAGAGGGCGTCCTCCACACTCTCTCATATAAGCACAGATGGATTCTGTGTGTGTAAGTTTGGACCCACTGGTAAGACAAACACCCTTTTCCACAAATAAAGACACTCACAATAGGTTGCACATATTCAAACCTAATGCAACAAAGGTGGGTTGTGCGCAGAGATCACATCATAAATTCCAATAACGGCATTAAAATCTGAACCATCTGTGCGTAAAGGACGCATCGCGCTCTGTGGCCTGGTTCTTTCTTTCATAGATGTTGGCTTATAAAATATATTTGGCCCACAAAACTGAATATCATAATATTTGTATGTAGGCTTAAAGTAAATAACTCATCTGATCACTGAAACAAATCAGGGAGAGGACACGGAGACATGTACAGGATCGAGCTGTGTGAGAAATAAGAGGTAGAGAGAAAAGCAGGGAGACGAATTCCATATCTTGTTAACTTCATCATGTTTGTCTATTTACTAGATATCTAATTTAATTTAATGGGGTTTCAGCTGTGTTGATTCGGTCAGGTTGTGTGTCCAAACGCGTGTCAAACGCGCTCATCAGATCAGATGTAGATCAGAATATATCTATATAGATCTAAATGTATGTGCTGACTCAGATTATTAGTTGTTGATGATTATTTTTTGCACTGAAATGTGCCTGACACTGTGGAAACCTTTTGGTGAGGCATCGGTGACGTATGCCGATACGCCACTGGTCTACCAAAATACCACTAGACCAGCTGCGTTCCGCCTGCGCTGAAAGCTGACCAGGTTTGAATCGGCGAGCTTTCAGTGCACTTTATACGCCACTGGTGAGCATGAAAATGTCACTGCACCAGCTGATTCTGTTGACACCTCCCTCTGCCACGCCACCATGCCCAGCTTGGCGGACCTCAGTGCACATCAGTCCACAAAAATACCAAACTGGCTGTACACTGGGCTCCGCCAGACGAAAATACCACTGTGCGGGGCCCGCCACCCTCCACCGCCTCACCGGCGGACACGAAAATAGAGCCCAAAGAGTGTTGTGTGGCTGTCATTGCTGGAGGTTGAACCACCAGCAACCTCTTCCACCACCTAAAGATGAAACACACCAAGCTCTATTATGAGAGCCAAAAGATGCCTGGTGCATCCGCTGCACAAAAAACTAAAGCTGCAGCAGTTCCTCTCATACAAAAGAGCTCGGCAGAGTCTTTCGCCAAAGGTATGCCATATGATAAAAAATCGCCAGACTGGTCTGGCATTTTGTTTGCATTTTTTATGGAAGGTCTACCATCATTTTTGTAAGGAAAACGAACAAATGTGACAGTATTGTTATTTTTAACCATTAATTGAATTTACAGGGGGAAAAAACATACTGTGATATATACTGTTATTGTGATATGAAATTACTCATACAGTGATGTAAGAATTTGTCCATACCGCCCAACACTGCCTGTGATTACTAATACAGACACAGTAAATTGTAGGTTTTTGTGTTCAGTAACCCAAGGCATCCATCTGTCATGACGGCAACTTGTTTACATTGGTAATGTTACAGCTTCACATGCATCTTCATCTTCATCTTCAGATATGCTCTGTATTCAGAAGTGTGGGCGGGCAATATTTGACATTAATGTTGCCACCGTACCATTGAGTATCTTTCAGCAGATTTTAAGTTTGATTTTAAAATTGCTGATAGAGGTGCAGTTCTTGATACCATGCCACCTCAATAGGCAAACAAGAAAAAGTGGTTGTTTCGGCTGGTTGGCAGCTACTGATTTATCAAGGACACCTCCTGTTTACAAAAACCACAATGTGTCCACACTTAAGACTCCCCATCATGGTATTGCTTGTGCATGCCAAGAACATTGCTAAATGGGGGAATAACAAAAAGAGGCAAAAAAGAGGCACCATGTTAATTGGAGTCAGTTTCATAACCAGCTAATAATTTCTCACAGGAGCTCTGAAACTACACTGTGTGCACAATTATTAGGCAAGTTGTATTTTTGAGGATAAATTTTATTTCTGAACAACTGCAGTGCTCTTGGTCAATCCAAAATGTTGATAAACCTCAAACCTTAATATTTAAGGGCGTAAAAGTGAGATTTTGGCTTCCTTAGGAGAATATCTATGTGTGCACAATTATTGGGGGCAGCTTTTAGTGTGCAGAATTATTATGCAACTAAATTAAAAATGAAAAATTTTCCATCTCACTTGTTTATTTTCACTTGTTAAAGTGAGAATGATAAACAAACAACTCAATTTACAAATAAAAATTGTTGAAATTTAAAAAAAAAAAAATCTGTGACCAATATAGCCACCCTTCTTTTCAATAACAGTCATAAGCCTTCCATTCATGGAGTCTTTCAGTTTCTTGATCTGTTGACGATCAACTTTTTGTGTTGCAGTAACCAAAGCCTTCCAGACACTGTTCCAGACACTGTTCAGAGAGGTGTACTGTCTTCCTTCACTGTAAATTTCCCGTTTAAGAAGGGCTCACAAGTTCTCAACAGGGTTTAGGTCAGGTGAAGAAGGAGGCCATGTCATTATTATTTCGTTTTTAAGGCCTTTACTGGCGAGCCACGTAGTGGAGTACTTTGTTGCATGCAATGGAGCATTGTCCTGCATAAAAATCAGTTTTCTTGAAAGATGCAGACTTTTGCCTGTACCACTGCTTGAAGAAAGTGTCTTCTAAAAACTGGCAGTAGGTTTGGGAGTTGATTTTAAGTCCATCTTCAACTCGAAAAGGTCCAGCTAGCTCATCTTTAATAATACCAGCCCATACCAGTACCCCGCCTCCACCTTGCTGGTGTCTGATTCGAAGTGGAGCTCTGTGCCCATTACTGATCCAGCCACGGGTCCATCCATCTGGTCCGTGAAGAGTCACTCTCATCCCATCAGTCCATAAAACCTTTGAAAAATCTCTCTTTAGATATCTCTTGGCCCAGTCTTGACGTTTCAACTTGTGTCTTGTTCAGTGGTGGTCGGGTTTCAGCCTTCCTTACTTTGGCCATGTCTCTTAGCACCGATCATCTTGTACTTCTGGGCACTCCAGGTAGGTTGCAGTTCTGGAATATGACAGCACCGGAGGGTAAGCGATTCCTGGTAGCTTTACGTTTGAGTCTTCTCAAATCTTTGGCAGTTAATTTGCGTCTTTTTTTCTTAACACATTTCTTGCGACCCTGTTGACTATTTGCATCAAAATGTTTGCTGGTTCTGTGATCACACCCAAATATCTAAGCAATTTCAAGAGTGCTGCATCCCTCTGAAAGACTTTTTACAATTTTTGACTTTTCAGAGTCATTTAAATCTCTTTTTTGGCCCATTTTACCTGAGGAAAAGAAGCTGCCTAATAATTATGCACACCTTGATATAGGGTTTTGATCTCCTTAGGCCCCAGCCTCCCTCATTACACTAATACACATTACCTGATATGCTTATATCCAATAAATATTCAAGTTTATATAGCTTGGAGTTGGAAAATCTGCATAAAAATGATGATATGATCAAAATACTCACTTGCCTAATAATTGTGCACACAGTGTATATAAAGTGGATGTCAGAATTTCTTAACAAGCATAATTTTATTTCAGATGTTCATTGCTTTTATTGGCTATAGCTTCAAGGCATTTTGGTCTGAGCCTGCTCACAGATTCAAGGAGAATTTGAATACAAGATCAGAGGTTTTAGACTGATTTTCCATTGTAAACCAGTCTGGTGATGGCAGGAACCCAGAACACAAAGAAAGACTACACCTTTGGGTTGGACTGAAACTGGGCCAGAGTCAGCTTATTTTGTGGATAATTTGCACAGCAGAGTGGAGGCCGCATATAAACATATGTAGTTCTGGAAAGCAATACAGATGAAATACTTCTGGTTCTACGTTAGCATGGCAAAGACTTGTAGCTGGATGCCAGAAACAAGCATGTAGGGAAGATGAAAAGGAAACTGAAAAGGATCAATAGAATCATTGGGAATGAAGAAAAGGAGGTAAAGTGAGGTGATGAGAAGATTTGAAACAGGGACAAAGAAATGTTCTACAGACAGAAAGAAGAGGAAAAGATCACGGCATTTGAGGAAGAACAGATTGGGGGGGTGGGGGTGGGGGGTGCAACCAAGCAAAACCTGTCTCGTTCTCTTTCATCAGCCATCACCGTGGAAACTAGCCTCTTCCTCTCTTTCCCTCTTCTTATTTCCCTCACTCACATCCTCACTCTCCTTTGCCTGGAAAGAGGTAATCAGAGAGAGTGAGTGAGGTAGGTACAGAGCGGGAGAGAGAGGAAGAGGCACAGTCACCCACACCAAGCTGTCAGAGGCACTCTGAGGAAACAAGCAGTCCAATTTGCTCCGCTTTTCAACTTCCCTTTCCCTTCTCTGGTTTGCTCCCTCCTCTTTATCTCCTCAGTTTCCTACTGGACAAAAGGCTTTACATTCTCAGTGTGTTGGTGTGTGCATATGGCTGGGTTTAGAGGGGGCACTGGAATGCAGCTTTTGGATGACACATTACGGACAGCTCTCCAAGGAGCATGACTGTCTGCTACACTATGGGCTCTATTTTAGTCCGCCGGTGAGGCGGCGGAGGGTGGCAGACCCCGCGCAGTGGTATTTTTGTCTGGCTGAGCCCAGTGTACAGCCGGTTTGGTATTTTCGTGGACTGAGGCGCACCGAGGTCCGCCAAGCTGGGCGTGGTGGCGTGGCAGAGGGAGGTGTCGACAGAATCAGCTGGCGCAGTGACATTTTCGTGCTTGCCCGTGGCGTATAAAGTGCACTGAAAGCTGGCCGATTCAAACCTGGTCAGCTTTCAGCGCAGGCGGAGTGCAGCTGGTCTAGTGGTATTTTGGTAGACCAGCGGCGTATCGGCATACGTCACCGATGCCTCACCGCAGGTTTACACAGTGTCACATTTCAGTGCAATAAATAATCAACAACAACTAATATTCTGTGTCAGCACATACATTTAGATCTATTTAGATATATTCTGATCTATATCTGGTCTGATGAGCGCGTTTGGCACGCGTTTGGACACACAACCTGACCGAATCAACACAGCTAAAACTGCATTAAATTAAATTAAATTAAATATCTAGTAAATAGACAAACATGATGAAGTGAACAAGATATGTAATTCGTCTCCCTCCTTCTCTTTCTTCCTCTTATTTCCCGCACAGCTCGAACTGGATATGTCTCCATGTCCTCTCCCAGTCCTGCTGCAGCTGCGGCAGCTGAACAGATGATTTGTTTCAGTGATCAGATGAGTTATTTACTTTAAGCCTACATACGAATATTATAATATTCAGTTTTGTGAGCCAAATTTATTTTACATGCCAACATCTATGAAAGAAAGAGCCCAGGTGGTTCCGATTTTAATGCCATTTTTGGAGTTTATGTTGTGATCTGTGTGCACAACCCACCTTTGTCACGTGAGGTTTGAATATATGCAACTTTATGTGAGTGTCTTTATTTGTGGAAAGGGTGTTTGTCTTACTAGTGGGTCCAAACTTACACACACCAAATCCATCTGTGCTCATATGAGAGAGTGTGAAGGACGCCCAATGCAGCGCTTACAGTGACACTTGTTGAGGAGCTGCCTTCTGTCGCCATCGTGGTACTTACTGTATTCAGACACCTCTTGATCTCTTTGACTACTTCATGAAAATTGTAATCCGCCTCGCTGGTGGCGGATTTAAAGGTGAGGAGAGGAGCTTATGTGATTGGTCAATACAGGTCTCGGCTGTGTTAAACTCACTTCACGCCCTCTCTCCTCCCTCGCTACAACTTACGCCGTTGGGAGGAGCTGAGTTAGGGAGGGGGGATACTTACACCAGGCTGCGCCGCTCACCTAAATACCAAATTGTGCTTGGGAACGCCTCACCGGCGCGGCGGACCTCGCATGCGCCACATCTCCAGCGAGGCACGAAAATAGAGCCCTATGTCTGCAGTGCTAGTTAAATGGTCAAATGCTTCTATAACAAAGATTCAAATTTACTGGGATTGACCAGCTCTCTAATAGTCCCAAAATCGCAAAGATGCTGTTATGATACTTGAAAATTGGTTGGGGTGGGTACTAGGGCTGAAACGATTACTCGAGTAACTCGAGTAACTCGATTAATAAAATTCCTCGAGGCAAATTATATGCCTCGAGGAATCGTTTAAATCCGGAACCATGTGCAGCGCACGGTGTTTGACACGGACGGTTATTTCTGTTGCGCAGCAGCGTGCTCTTTCCGCTCCTTCCGCTGCCGCGCGTTTCATAGACATAATAAAAGGGTAGACCCCGCTGGGGGTGCTGCGCAGCGAGAAATGCGGCCGCCATCTTGGTCAGGTCAAGCTTCCCATACGCTCCGGTCAATCATATTCATTCATTCAGCGAAGCCGGAGCACTGTGCGGCGTATTCCTGTGCCAACAGGCGGACAGCAGAGAACAGGGCTCAAGAAATAACTTTTCACAGTTATGATTAAACGTTTTTTAAACATTACACTTGACTGTAGAGTCATTTGTAGGCCAAAGAGGAAGACTATCTGTCAACTCCAAAAAGGAAACAGCATTTGCGAACAGCTAGCTTATTCACAATAATAGCAACTTTGGTCGATTATTAACAGATTTGCATTAGATTGAAAAACTTTTGTTTGAGAGAGGTTCTAAGAAACGTTAAGAAATAAAATAGAAAGAAAAAGGAAGAAAGTGAGCTCTGTTTTATTATCTGTTTTATTAAAGATTTCTTTGTGGTGATCTCCTGTTTCATTTTGAAGATTTCCTAAGGACAAAAACTTGAGGAAGAAGTGGGAGATTGCTGTTAGAGGGAGAAATTCGCAGCAAGTGATTCCTCTGTGCTGTGTAGCCAACAAGCAAATTGATATGTAGTTTCGATGCTGTCCTGTCATGCTGTTCTTGTGTTTAAATCTTTTTGATATGTAGGCTATATATTTGTGTGTATTTTCCAGTTATTAAAATAGTGCTTCTATATGACATTATTTGTGTGTGTCTACAAATGGATAAATAAAATTAAACTATATAAAAAATTATAATCAAATCAATATATATTGAATTGGCCTATTAATACCGCCAGTTATTAATAATTATTGAGACATAGCAGGAACCTAGCTCTAAACCTAAATATATCCTTGATTAATTGTTACACTATAATACAGCCACTGCTGCCATGTTCTAAAATATCATTTTATTCATTCTGAGTATTTGAAAACGCCAAAAAAAAATATGGCCTCTATCATGCCTCTTTGAATGGCGTTTGCAGGGAAGAAAATAACGTAGTATTGAGCGAACTATGATTCATTAATGCGCTCAGACTTCATTCCGCCGGTTAAACAGCGGTGCAGAGTGAGGCGGATGACCGGACCAAGATGGCGGCCGCATTTCTCGACAGCGCCCATTCGTGGTAGCGGCCGATGCGGGGTCTATCTTTTATTATGTCTATGGCGCGTTTGGTTCAATCATGGAGGGAAACGAGGACAGACAGAGAGAGGGAGAAAGAGATGACACGCAGAGGAAACGGCAGAAAGTGTCTAAAGTGTGGGACCATTACACACTGAAAAGGAAAGAAAACGCCGTGCAGTGCGTTCACTGTAAGGCGGAGTTGGCGTTTCACAACAGCACGTCGTCAATGCTGCAGCACCTTAAAAGAAAACACCCGGTCCATGCATTAAGTCCGCTCTGAGGCAAACGTGATTCAATGCAAAGTATTACAGTGAGAGCAAAACATTTCTTATCCGATTACTCGATTAATCGACAGATTAATCGATAGAGTACTCGATTACTAAAATAATCGATAGCTGCAGCCCTAGTGGGTACTTGATACCAATTCTATCCTGAAACACACACCTTATTTAAGGTTTAAGTCTCAGCAGATGAGTTTTGAGACTTTGACTAATGCTGGTGTTTGTTTTGGAAGAACTCCATTTTCAACCCTGACACCCCTCTCCCCCAATAAAGGTGGTCCTTTCACCTCCCCTGGTTCCAGCTTGGTACCAGTTCCATATTTCTAAGCTTGGTGAATTATGTAAGGGATCAAGGGAGCTGCTTCTCCAAGCACTCAAGAAGTCCATCAGAACTTGGTTGGAGGGACAAAACGGACAGCCACATAGATACCAAAATGCAAGAAAAGTGGGTGAAGAATTTGTCAGACAGGGTCCTCACTCAGCCGGAAAAGGAAGTCCTTTACAAAGGACTTAATTTTGCAGTTACCCCTGAACAGATCCCGGTGGTAGACCTTATCACAGCCACGGAGTCAGCGATCCGCAACAACAATCTGGCGGTCACGGAGGCAGAACAACTTAGGCTGAAGGTAACAGCTGCTCTCTCAAATGCCAAAACACCTCCTTCCAACTTGACCATGCAGGAAAGAAGAGCCTTGGCATCACTGCAAAAAGATGAAAACATCACCATCCTGCCTGCAGATAAGGGGAGATTCACTGTGGTACTCAACACCAGGGATTACCATGACAAGGTAACAAGCCTTCTCAGTGACACTGCCACCTATGAAACTCTTAAACGGGATCCCACCAACAGCTACAAAAAAAAAGTTATCAGTGCACTTCAACAGCTCGAAAAGGATGGAGTTATCGACCGCCCACTCTATTACCGACTGTACCCAGGGGAAGCTGTCCCGTGCATTTATGGATTACCAAAAATACACAAGGAAGGGGCGCCCCTTAGACCTATCATCAGCAGCATTAACTCAGTCACATACAAAGTGGCAAAACATTTGGCCACCATCCTAGCTCCTCTTGTCGGCCACACCACTCACCACGTCAGAAACTCACAGGACTTTGCTGAGAAAATCAAGGACATCAGGTTGGACCCAGATGAAACCATGGTTTCCTATGATGTCACATCACTTTTCACAAGTATTCCAACAACAGAGGCAGTCCAAGCAGTAAGACAACGCCTCTCACAGGACAGCACACTGGAAGTCAGAACCAACTTAACTCCGGACCACATCTGCTCCTTATTGGACATCTGCCTCAGCACCACCTATTTCCAGTTCAGAGAGCGCCATTACAGACAGAAACACGGATGCGCGATGGGCTCCCCGGTTTCTCCTATAGTGGCAAACCTGTACATGGAAGAGGTAGAGAGGAAGGCCCTAACCTCTTTCAAGGGAGCTGCTCCTAGCCACTGGTTCAGATATGTGGATGACACCTGGGTTAAGATCAAAACACATGAAGTAGAGGCCTTCACTGACCATATCAACACAGTGGACAGCAACATCAAGTTCACCCGTGAAGATGTCAAGGACAAAGTGTTGGCCTTTTTGGACTGTGCTGTACACTTGGAGGCAGATGGGTGTCTCAACGTTGAAGTGTACAGGAAACCAACACACACGGATCAATATCTACTTTTTGATTCCCACCATCCTCTGCAGCACAAACTGGGTGTCATCAGAACACTCAACCACCGGGCCGAGAACATTCCCACGAAGAAAGAAGGTAAGGAAAAGGAACAAAAGCACATCAAAAATGCCCTGACAACCTGTGGATACCCTAAGTGGGCCTTTGTGAAGAACAGAAAGAGAAATAACACTGAACAGGAAAGGGAGGAGAGACGCAAGAGCACTGTAATCCCTTACGTTGCAGGCCTGTCTGAGAAACTCAAGAGGATCTTTGGCAAACACCACATTCCTGTTCATTTCAAGCCTGGTAACACACTAAGGCAGAGGCTAGTCCATCCCAAGGACAAAACACCGAGACATAAACAGAGTAATGTGGTATATGCTGTCCAGTGCAGCGAGGAATGCTCAGACCTGTACATTGGGGAAACTAAACAACCGCTTCACAAGCGCATGGCTCAACACAGGAGAGCCACTTCCTCAGGTCAGGACTCAGCTGTCCACCTTCACTTGAAGGATACAGGTCACTCTTTTGAGGACAGCGATGTACAGGTGTTGGCTCGAGAAGACAGATGGTTTGAAAGAGGAGTTAAAGAAGCCATCTTTACCAGGCTGGAGAAACCTTCTCTGAACAGAGGGGGTGGACTCAGGCACAATCTCTCTGGCACTTACAATGCAGTTCTCAGCTCTCTCCCCAGAAAGCTCCACAAACATTCACACCTGGAACCACATGACTCAGGTGGCATGAGTCATGTGGTCACATGATTGGAGTCGCTAACGACCCTTTCAGGATAGCGACTTGGGGGGGACACACAGAGAGATGGGTTTCTACGACCCATTCTTTTCAACTCAAGCCAGTCGTTAACTGTCCCCCTTCTCCAGTAAGATAAATATCTGCTCCTGACACTAGCACTTTTAGAACTGAAGAAGCTTCTTGGATAAGAGGCGAAACATCTTCTTAACTCTACACAGTCCAGTTGCCTGTTTTTAAGTCTTCAAGGTAAGGGAGGTTCTGCAAGTGGTTTGACCAGAAGTCTGTTTGAGTCACAGCCTTACCAATATGGTGACCACCAAAGCTGTGCTTCACCTACAAATGGGTGACGTCACCATGCTATCGCTGTTTATGATACAGTCTATGACCTAAGAAAGTGGTTTCTGAGGTCATAGACTCAGTAATAAACCTCCAAACACCCACAGTTTCACATTCCAGTGCGGCTTGCCCTTGTTTTGCATCTGATTGCCAAAATGAACTGTCAGCATCTCTACTTTTTGCTTTGCAGTGCTTTGCTCTGCTGTGCACTTTTGTCCTGATGATGCTTGTCTGTCCTCAGATGATGATCTGGGAGGATGCTTCTAGGGAGAGTATTTATGAGTTGATATAAGACAGTCAGAAGCAAGTTTCACAGTTCAAACCTAGCTTACTACAAGCAAAAGGTTAAAAAAAAGTGAGAGCAATCAAGGACAAACAGCTGACACCTCATGGCCAGCTCTCAACACAGGTTTTAAGAATAAGAATAAGAAGAACTTTATTAATCCCTGTAGGGAAATTCAATTGTCTGTTGTCTCACATAATATGTCTCTAAAAGTTATAAAAGCCTGATTGTTGGTACAGAAAATCTTCTGTCCTTCAGCGAAGAGAGGGCATCTGGCGTGTGTGTGTGTTTGTGTGTTGCTGTCCCTTTTACCCTTGATTTGAGGCATTATTGGTTTAACTGTTTAGTATGCAGTTGCAGTATTCTGTCACTTTTTCTTAACTCCTTTGCAGGTGTTACTTCCTAAAAAACATTCAAGATCATGCATATCTTCAAAACATATATTCAACATTTATTTAAGAGGGCAAAGATGATAGACCTTAAAAAAATCTCACTCCCAAAGAAAGAGAAACAAGCATGGGGATTTTCACAGCTTTTTGATTTATACGACTGCAACTACATACAACTGGTAATTTATTTATCAAGTGTGGATGCTCATTTACAGTAAAGTGTTTGGCCTTGAGTACCCACTGTGTGTGTGCATGTGTGTGTGTTTGTGTGTGTGTGTGTGTGTGTGTGTGTGTGTGTGTGTGTGTGTGTTTGTGTGTGTGTGTGTGTGCGTGCGTGCCTGCGTGTTTCACCAGTTTTTCTTTAAAAGATCATAGGCTGGTTGTGACACTTGACATAAGCCAATATGACAGCTACTGACTCACACACTGATACAGCATATTAAGGTAGCTGTTCTAAGCTCCCCACAGCTGTGAGGGCCGAGAAATGTGTGACACGTGCACACCCACCTTTACACACACACATGCATGTTTAGTTGTCTAAGTGGGGCAGTGCAGTGTTTGCAGGCTAACAGGTAGACAAAACCTGTGTTAATCTGTTCAGACAGGACTGATTCAGATGTTTCTGTTCCTTTCTGATTGGGGGTGTTAGGATCCATCTGTAGACCGCACTTAAACAACGACAGACTTTCATACATCACTGTTGTTTCTTTATCATCACCCCCAAAAGAAAGTACTGAAATGTACCAATGAGAGTTGGCTGTCATAAAGTATTACATTGTGCATACTGATTATCAGCCTTGGCCAATTATCAGCAGAAATATTGGCATTTAGTTGATCAACTGTATGAGCCTTCTGTATGAGCCTGTATGGTCGATTAAAGGAGTCTGTTAAAAAGTGTGCCGGAAATTCGGCTTGTAAATTTTCTTTTTTTTAAATCATGTTTAAAAACAAAAAAACAAACAAAAAAAATCCCTAGTTAGTTAGTTAGATCTAGATATCTGCTGGATAGTATACAGCCTGCCGGAGAAGAACAAGCATCAGCGAGCGGCAAACGGCAAATTTGAAATGATGGATGCCAGGTACGTCAACCAAGAGAAGAAACTGCAATATTGGAAACGGGGGTCAAAAACAAGTGGCACTGGGTGGAGAAGGCTGGAAAAGATGGAAAGCCTCACAATAGCTGGTGCCAAAAACTGAAAGAGCCAGGTGCTTGAAGAGCCAGGTTCGGTAAAGTTGGGAAGATATTCATGGGTTCGGACTTCAGGGATTAATTACTCTGAGACGAAATGTTGTCCAAATGATGCCTCTTTCACGTCGTAATAGCACAGACTACTAGCTACAAGAATGAAAAAAACGTGTTTTTTTTTTGTGTTTTTTTTTACAAAAACAAGATCTTCTAACTGGTTGAATACAATTGATCTGTATGCGCAGCCGGTAGCCGGGCGAGTGCACAGGGACCGTCTGCAAATTGCAATACAAGAGCAAGACGCTGCAAACCAAAATCAATAGCTCCACTGTTCAGAGACTCCAACATCACCACACACACCAAGGGTCTCCTCATGGTCATACTACATTAGCTGTTTTGGAGAAATGTGCCTTCTTATAATTACGGTGATTTTTTAATATTATTAATATTTATTATCTTCCGATATGAATCAATAACTCCATTGTAATACTACTTCAAGCCCTGTGTGTAGTTCCCCCTAGCATTCATTTTGTTAACAAAGATTATGAAGGTAAAACAACCCTTTTTCCCATGATGAAGGAAATATGGTGACCTGCCAAAATCTTTCACTGCTGTCAAAAATCTCCTCTGCTTCCTTGCCTCTCTGTTATATTTATTCGTTGATTTTCCTAATGCACAGTGACCAACCTAGGCGATGTTGGCCTTTGTGGTAATGGTTAACTGTAAATCACTGAAGATGCAGCTGAGGGTGCAGTAAACTGATTGTCTGTCCAGGGGTGTGTCTCTTAACACTAAGTCCCCTTTAAACTAACTATTTAAGTGGACCTAAAAGTGGACCAAAAGCAAAAGAACTCAGTTCTTTTTGTGTTCACATTGTTTCTTTCAAAGAGGACCAGGTTCTCTTTCTGGTCTGGTTCAGGTTTGATGTGGCCTCAGTCCTCTTTCTGTTCACACTAGGTCCTCTGGAGCATTTTATCATGAGTGCAGAAGTACTTCTTCTGTCAGTTTTTTTTTTATTTTTTATTTAAACTGTACAGATGTTTAATTATAACCACCCACTTTCATCCTCTGAAAATTCTTTAAATACTTTAACCCTTGGTTCCTTGTAATTTTAAGCTCCATCCAGCCTTGTTTGTCCCCAAAACAAGCATGCAGATAAGTGTTTTTTAAAACTTTTAAAAAAAGTTTTACTGCATATTTGAGATATATACTCACCCATTGAGCCGAAGAACTGGTGCATCCTCATGCATGTCCATCTACTTGAAGTGAGGGCAAAGTTGAAATTGTCTAAATGTCCCCCTTTCTTAATCCTTGACTACAGAACTTGGATGTCGCATTTTCAACTGTAAAGACTCCGCTCACAGAGCATGAGGTTATAAACATAGAGGCAGATTTGCGCTGGCACAATCTGTATAATAGTCTAATAGTCTTAAGTTTACTACATTCGTTAAGTTTACTTTAAATCTTGTATTTACTTAATTTTGTAAAGTTATTTAACGTAAAAATAGAAAGAACAATAAACTTTGATTTTTCTGTGTTGCCAAAAGTGTTGCCAACTTAAGTAAGCAAAGTTAGTCCGACTTAACAGTAATAGAAGGAGTGCTTACCTTTGTTTCAGCCTGGGAAAGGATCTCTCTTAGTGTCCTTCCAATTATTCCCCTTTTTGATTTGAAGAGCTCAAGGAAACGTGGGATATAGTGGTGCAAGGACTCAAAGAAGTGCCACTCTTGTCAGTTCTGCAAAGACCTCAAAGGACAAAACACACCACAAACAAAACAATTTAGTACCAAGTAAAGGGTTGACCACAATGTTATTGGATAAAACAATTAATGGGACAGACAGTTTTGCATCATGTAGAATATGTCTGTTTTTATGTCTAGGCATTGTGTTAAGCTAAGTTATTGAGTGGGATTGTGAAGCATTCCCACTATATGTTATTCATATCTTTATTATTATTATTATTGAGTGGGATTGCGAAGCATTCCAACTATATGTTATTCATATCTTTATTTTTATTGAGTGGGATTGTGAAGCACTATGTGTTATTCATATCTTTATTATTCAGTTTCTTCTTATTCCACCATTTTTTGAAGCTTAACTACTTCCACATACTTCAACATATTCAAACAATTCAAACTTCAAAATATTCATCTGATCAGGAAGATTCCGACTTGTATTCAAAATTTTCCTAACATTCATACTTTCTGAGATATTCCCGGTTTTCCGACCGATTTCTCCCATTAGAAATGCATTACGGAATGTTCAAAACGGCCCTTTTCTCACATTTTCTTCACACATCTTCAAAAGCTTAAACTCCCCAATACTTTCACACAGAAACTTCATTCAAACTTTAAAACATTCACACACCTTCAGACATCCACTCATTCATTCACCATGGCATTCATACTTTTCTCACAGTGAAAGTTCAAACAGTCATGGGATTTTCTGACCTCTTCAGGTTTTAACATTAGTGTGTATTGCATGGAATGTTGGCAGCTAGAGTGCGTGACCTCATCGCTAGAGTGAGAGAGGCTGAAAATTTATCCTCAAAACTTTGTCTTTACAAAAGGATTGTGGCAACTCCCTTCACTCTACACAGATAAAATTTGGTACAGTAATGGCAAAACTTGCTGTCACTCTTCATCTCAAAAATCAAAGCCGTAGGACACACACAGTGGCCTGGGCAGACACCAACTTCCACAGACATCCCCAACATTTCTCCAGCTTTCTCCATTGACTCCAATATAAACCTGAGAGGAGGATTTTTAAAGGAAACACAAACTGGACATGTTTTTAACTTGTTCTAGTGAAGACATTTTTGGCTCTACAAACAGAAATTATATCAACATGTTCAGCAGGGTTTTGTGGTTCTCACAAGCTCATTATCATTAAGATAGCAGTTACAGAGGATGAGAATTAGGGCATAGTTTGAGCATTGCCTCTAACGAGAGGTGTCCAGAAGGCATCCTAACCAGATGCCTGAACCACCTCAGCTGACTCCTCTTGATGTGGAGGAGCAGCGGTTCTACTCTGAGCGCCTCCCGAGTGTCCAAGCTCCTTACCCCATCTCTAAGGCTGAGCCCGGCCACCCTGCGAAGGAAACCCATTTCGGCCACTTGTTCTTTCGGTCATTACCCACAGTTCATGGCCATAGGTGAGAGTCGGCACGTAGATCGACCGGTCAATAGAGAGTTTCGCCTTATGGCTCAGCTCTTTCTTCACCACGACTGATCAGTGAAGCGTCCGCATCACTGCTGACGCCGCTCTGATCCGCCTGTCAATCTCCCGTTCCATCCTCACTCGTGAACAAGATCCCAAGACATTTGAACTCCTCCACTTGAGGCAGGACTGCCCCTCCGACCTGGAGAGGGCAATCTACCTTTTTCCGACTGAGGACCATGGCCTCGGACTTGGAGGTGCTGATTGGCATCCCAGCTGCTTCACATTCGGCCGCGAACCGCCCCAGCAAGAGCTGAAGGTCACTGCTCGATGAAGCTAGAAGCACCACATCATCCGCAAAAAGCAGTGATGGATCCTCTGCCTGCTGAACTGGACACCCTCCACCCTCCGGCTGCGCCCAGAAATTCTGTCCATAAAGGTTATGAACAGAACCGGTGACAAAGGGAAGCCCTGGCGAAGTCCAACCCTTACTGGAAACGAGTCCGACTTACAGCCGGCTACACGCACCAAGCCTGTGCTCCTTTGGTAAAGGGATTGGACGGCCCTTAATAAGGAACCCTCCACCCTGTACTCCCAGAGCACCCCCCACAGGATTCCCCTAGGGACCCGGTCGTAGGCCTTCTCCAGGTCCACAAAACACATGTGGACTGATTGGGCAAACTCCCATCTCCCCTCAAGAACCCGAGCGAGGGTGAAAAGCTGATCCGACCACGACCGGGACGAAACCCTCTTTTCCAGCACCCTGGCGTAAGCATTCCCGGGTAGGCTGAGGACATAGACTGTATATAAGATGGACAGAGTCTGCCTCCTCGCTGGGTGAAGCCACTCCGAGAACAGCACCCTCTGATGGTGGGCTGCAGTACAGGTCATAAATCCGGCCTCCGCCAGCAAAGCTAATGGGACTGTGGACAAACTTTAGAAATTTATTACACAGAACATAAATTTTTCTCCCCCCTGCTTGTGATGTTGTCTTATAGTTACAGTAAGACTGGTTTGTGCCCAAGTCCTTTTTTTTCTGTACAGCTCCGTTTTTAAAAGTTATTAGGGGGTTCATGTTTTCTATGATTGACACCTGGTATAGCCTATGGGCATTCAGGGATTGCGTAGCTCTTCCGGGGGAATACGCTGTTTGACCCGAGCGTCATCACAGGGACTCTCGGCGACTGCGCGGCCGAATGCGCACAACGCTACTGCACAGCTCTGGTTTCAAGGAACCCGGAATTACCGAGAGCTTTTTGGCTTCAAATCCGTATACAGGCAGAAGGCGGAACCACGGTGTCCATCTTATATACAGTCTATGGCTGAGGAGTGTGATCCCCCTGTAGTTGGAACACACCCTCTGGTCCCCTTTCTTAAAGATAGGGACCACCTACCCGGTCTGCCACTCCAAAGGCACTGCCCCTGATTTCCATGCAATGTTGTAGAGGCGTGTTATCCAGGACAGCCCCACCACATCCAGAGCCTTCAGATACCCTGGGTGGATCTCATCCGCTCCTGGAGCTCCGCTGCCACGGAGTTGTTTTACTACCTCGGTGACTTCTACCCCAGTGATTGGACAGTCCACCTCCAGGTCCCCTGACACAGTTTCCCCTTGGGAATGCATGACAGTAGGATTGAGGAGCTCCTCAAAGTATTCCTTCCACTGTCGGACAATCGACCCAGGTGATGTCAGCAACTCCTCACCCCCATCCAGAATGGTGTGGGTGAGTTGCCGTCTGCCGTCCCTGAGGCACCGGACAGTTTGCCAAAACCATTTTGGAGCCGACCAAAAGTCTTCCTCCATGGCCTCACCAAACTCCTCCCAAGCCCAAGTTTTTGCCTCTGCAACTGCCCCCGGCTGCGTACCGCTTAGCCAACCAGTACCATTCAGCTGATTCCAGACCCACAGGCCAACCATGACCTGTAGGCCTCCTTCTTCAGCCTGATGGCTCCCCTTACCTCTGGTGTCCACCATCGGGTTCGGGGATTACCGCCACGACCGGCACCAGCGACCTTGCGGCTGCAGCTCGCAACAGCTGCTTCGACAATGGCCGAGCGGAACAAAGCCCATTCGGACTCAATGTCCCCCTCCGCCCCCGGGACACAGTTGAAGCCTTGTCGGAGGTGGGAGTTGAAAGCCAACCTGACGGGTTCTTCCACCAGGCGTTCCCAACACTATACGTTTGGGCCTGCCAGGTCTGCGTGGTGGCTTCCCCCGCCACCTGACCCAACTCATCACCAGGTAGTGATCAGTTGACAGCTCTGCACCTCTCTTCACCCGAGTGTCCAAGACATGCAGCCACAGGTCAGCTGATACAACTACAAAGTCGATCATTGACCTACAGCCTAGGCCGTCATGGTGCCAGGAGCACCGATGAACAACCTTATGCTCGAACATGGTGTTAGTTATGGACAAACTGCGACTGGCACAGAGGTCCAACAACTGAACACCACTCGAGTTCAGATCGGGCAGACCATTCCTCCCAATCACGCCCCTCCAGGTCTTGCTGTCATTAACTCACGTGAGCGTTGAAGTCTCCCAGGAGGACAAGGAGGAGTCCCCAGTCGGGGCGCTGTCAAGTGTCCATCCTAGGGTCTCCAAAAAGGGTGGGTACTTTGAACTGTTATTCGGTGCATACGCACAGACAAAAGTCAAGACCCGTTGCCCGACCCGGAGTCACAAGGAAGCAACCCTTTCCTCCAGCCGAGAAAACCCCAGCGTCCCCGCGGCAAGCTTTGGGGCGAGCAAGAAATCCACCCCGCTCTCCGCCTCTCACCCTGAGCAACGGCAGCATGGAAGAGTGTCCAACCCCTCTCAAGGACTTGGGTTCCAGATCCAACGCTGTGCATAGAGGTGAGCCCGACTATATCTAGTCGGTAGCGCTCAACCTCACTCACAAGCTCCAGCTCCTTCCCCGCCAGAGAGGTGACGTTCTGTGTTCCAAGAGCCAGTTTCCACAACCAAAGATCAGACCGCCAAGGCCCCCGCCTTGGTCCGCCGCACAATCCGTCAAGCACCAGACCCCTTTAGTTCTTCCTGCGTGTGGTGGGTCCACAGGAGGCAGTGCCCATGTGCCTCATTCAGGCTGAGCCTGGCCGGGCCCCATGGGTGCAGGCCCGGCCACCAGGCACTCGCCAGCGGGCCCCAACCCCGGGCCTGGCTCCAGGGTGCGACCCTGGTGTCCCTCCGGGCTGGGTACACTGTTTCCCTTTGTTGTTTTCCATGAGGGTCTTCTGAACCATTCTTAGTCTGACCCTTCGCCTAGGACCAATCTGCCTTGGGAGACCCTACCAGGGGCAAAAAGCCCCTGACAGCATAGCCCCTAGGTTCATTAGAGCACGCAAACTCCTCCACCACGGTAAGGTGACGGTTCTTGGAGGAGATTAATCAGTTCTTTCAAACAAATTCCAACTAGAAATGAGTTCAAACAGGGCTCCAGAAATTCAGCTAATTGAGGTCATTATGGGATGTTTTCAGGATTTTTATATATTTGAATGTTCTCCACCTTAAAATCATTTTCATTATCAATTCATTATCAATTCATCATCTTATTTTCAATCAATCATTCTCATTATTCAAATTATCTGTTTTAAATCGTTTTCACTATTCAATTCTTAAAACCAAATGCAACTCATTTGAAATTCATTCATTCTTTTTAATTTTTTATTTCCACTTTAATTTTTTTTTTTTTTTTTTTTTTTTTAGTTTGACAGCTGCTTTTTTTTTTAAGCCTTTTTTCTCCTGCTGTAACAATTTATTTACCTTCAGCATGGCAACCGATTAGCGCATCCGGAGACACAAAGCTGACTGGGAAGCTGCTTCTCACCCCTTTCCTGCTCTGTGAAGTTTTTGTGGCTGGGTCCGACACATGACAGCTTGTGTTTTACAGCTGAACAAACATGCGGCACCATGGACCGATTAAAATTTCTTAGCAATGTTTTGAACCCTCAAATTTTCAAATGACTCTTACTATTCATTTCTTATTCTACAGAAATTCTAACATCAACTGTTTCATCCCATTCATACTTGCCTTGTTTCAGACCTAATTTTCCACGAGGCAGTGGCTTCAGCTTTGAATTTCCCACATTGTAATCATTCTGACCATCTATGCCTCATTCTGCTCCTTCATACAATTTTCTATTCATTTAAACAGTTCAAACTTTCATATTTCACACATTTAAACTGATTGTAAGCATGTGTCATTCATTCATTCTATCCTATAAGTAAATTAAAACTCCAGAATTTCATGTTGTTTCTTTATTGACATTGAATCAGAAAAAAAATGTGTGGTATATGTGACCATCAGCCTTCGACCCTCTAAGCATGTCAGGAAAAACTCCCCCAAAAAATGGATTTCTCAGGATAAGAGGAAGAAACCTTTAGATAGGCCAGGTCTTAGAGGGATCCCCTACCAGGACGACTGAGCATGCAGTATTTTATAGTTCTAAGCTCAGCAGAGATCACATGGCTTCAGGGTCGCTGGTTGCTGGGTTTGGCTCTGTGGCTCAAGTCGAGCTGGTTCTGTGATGAGTTACACCAAGAGAGAGAGAGAGAGACAACAGTTACACCAGTGTTACAGACATCAAACTCAAATCTTAGACAGCTGGTTGTAGTGTGGAAAAGTCAAAGATTTTGAAGATGAAACATACTTGGTTAAGTTCAGCGCTGCTGCTCCCCAGGTCGGAACCCTTTTCTGCCGTAGACTCGGAGCTTGGTTCTAAGAAGCCACAGTCACAAGATCTGCAGGATTTTTCTACTTCTTCAGCTCATGTCGACTTCTGTGATGTACAGAGAGGAGAGAAGTTTGTAACATCAGATGAAGACAAACAAATGATGTGACTGCTGAAGACAAATACATACCGGTTAAAGGGTTAGTGTGAGCAACAACTTGTCCAATCCTGGATCAGAAGTTCTCTCTGCTGATTGGTCACACGTGGAGAGGGTTTGGTATCCTGTACAGCACTGGCAGACAAAACTTTTCCATTCATTATCATTACCTTTAAACCTGTCTAGCAAATGTCACAAAACTATTCATGATCAATAAACTGTTCAGTTGACTCACAACATGCTTGAGTCCTGTTCAAGATCAATGGGGGCACCTCTTGTCAGGATGGTGCTGACAAGAAAACTTTGAGTCTTCCCCCAAACTTTGAGCTACAGAAACCATCCAGGGCTAAATAAATTCAGCTCACTGAGGACATTATGGGATGCATTCAGGAATTTTAATTTTTTTTTTTTTTTTCAATTATAATATTCATGCATTATTTAATTATTCAAACAAATTACAAATTATTCAAACTAATTTAAACCTTTCTGATACTTCTAATACTTTAAAATTTTTAATCATTTTAATTTCCCCGTTTTCAATCATTTTCCGATTTATACATCATTATATTCTTCTATGAAATTCCAACTCATTCAAGCTGATTCAAACCTTTCTAGTACTTTAAACCTTTCTCATACTTCAGGATTTTAAATCATTTTAATTTTCCACACACTGATTTTTTTTAAACAATTTATGCACTTGTCAGTGAATTTATCCAAATTGTTCAAAAAAATTCAAAGCTTCCTTAAAATTCAAACATTCTTATCTTTCATAGACTTTCAAAATTCAGCCATTCTCAATAGCAGTTAAGCGATAGCAATTTCAATCAGAGCAATCTCACTCGCAATTTCTTCAGAAATTGAATTTTCTAGTTATTAAGTGGAAATGCTTAATCAGCATTTCCACTTATTGCTATCCTGTTCTTTAATAAACTAATTAAGTGGAAATGCTGATTAAGCATTTTCTCTTGTTCTTTATTAAACTTATTATTATTCTTCCACCGATTTTTGCCGTGCTTCTCCTCCTTCAAACTTTGTGCTATTTCAACCATTCAAACTTTAAACTATTCCACTCCTTCAGGACATTATTGCTATTACTTTTTTCCTTTCTACCCTTTCTACTTTTTTTTTTTTTTTTTACTTTTTGTGCCAAAATTTTAACATTGAAGTCAATGGGGAAATCTTCCAATTCTTCATTTTATTCTTCAACCTTCTGAGCCTTATTCACCATACTTTCACCTAGAGACTGAGGCTGCACGATATTGGAAAAAATTAACATTGCGATTTTTTTCAACCCTGCGATATATATTACGACATTAAAAATTACAGGAATTTTCACCAAATGACCTGAATAGCACTTAATGTTATGCTGCACTGCTGAAATCTTGAGGACAGTTAACCTGCACTGATCTTACCTCTTTTTGTGAATGTTAGTAGAATGGCCTCTGTCTGTCTCAGAGATATTTTTAGCTTTTATTGTGCTGGGACGTTATTGTGGCAACAGATGAACACAGAACGTGTTTTGGTCGACATTATCCATCTTGTAACGGAAATAATTCCAGATAACTGACTTTCCTTTTCTTTTTGGCAACAAGTCTTCATCTTCTGTGGTTTTCTCTGTTTGTTGCTCAGTTGTTGTTGTTGTTAACGGGGTTGTGCTGAGAAACCCATGTCCTCCGAGAATTGCGGGCACCTCACAAAACGCGCACTGCTTATAATAGAGTGGTCCACAGAAATGTACAATTTAAAACCCATACAGTTCTTATTTGTTGGGCTAAACAGTGATGAGGAATGTTCCGAAAGTAATTCTCAGGGGACACGCGTCTCACTCCATGTGCAGGACATGTGCAGGGGTGGGTTTCCTCCTCTCTGATTTTGATTGACAGCTGGCAGGATAGTCTGATTGGCAACTAAGAACTGAGTATGATTGGCAATTGAGTAAAGAACGAGGGTGATTGGTGGATCGCTGCACAGCACATCCAGAGTCACATGCAGTGTATCTCAGTCAGTTACCCTTGAAATTCACCTCCGACATCGCAGGCTCTGCGATGTGACTATTGCACACACGTACATCGCGATAACGATGTTCAAACGATATATCGTGCAGGCCTACAAGAGACCTCATTCTTGCTTTAAAATGTTCATTAACTTGTCGATTATTAAAGTTGTATTCAATTTTTTGATATCTCTTACAGTTTTCCTACAATTTAGCTTTAAGCGTCTCATGGTTTTCAGCAAATTTCAGGCTTTATAATGGGTGTGTATTGGAGAGGCGAGAGTGTTTTATGCATAGACTGTATATAGAATGGACGCCGTCTGCCTCCTAGCGGGGTGAAGCCACTTCGAGAACAGCACCCTCTGTTGATGGGCTGCAGTATAGGTCATAAATCCCGCCTCTGCCAGCAAAGCTTATGGGGCTGTGGACAAACTTTAGAAATTTATTACACAGAACATAAATTTTTCTCCCCCCTGCTTGCGATGTTGACATGTAGTTATTGTAAGACTGGTTTGTGCTCAAGTCCTCTTTTTTCTGTGAAGCTCCATTTTTAAAAGTTATTAGGGGGTTCATGTTTGCTATGATTCACACCTGATACAGCCTATTGGCGTTCAGGGATTGAGTAGCTCTCCCGAGGGATACACAGTTTGAGCCGAGCGTCATCACAGTGACTCTCTGCGACTGCGCGGCCGAATGCGCACAACGCTACTGCACAGCGCTGGTTTCAGGAAATGAAGAAAAATTCCGAAAATACCGGGAGCTTTTTGGCTTCAAATCCGGGGTAGGCGGAACCAGGTTGTCCGTAGTATATACAGTCTATGGTTTTATGTCATCGCTAGAGTGCAGAACTCCTCTTGGATCGACAAAACCTAGCTCAAATATATCACTACCACGCCCACAAATTTCACTCCACAGCCATAAAAAAATACATCAAAATGGAGGTATATGGAGGTCTTGTGGTTCTCACAAGCTCCTTATCATGAATATATACAGAGGTTGACCATCAGGGCCTCGCTGGAGAGCTATTTCCTCAGCTTCAAGCCTCCTCTCTCCTGCTGAAGTGACACATCTTCCTTTGCCATGGCAACCAATTAGTGCACCTGGAGACTAAGGGTGTGGAAAATAATCTAAATTAATCGATGCATCGATGCGCATGTGCGCGATGCGACTGCGTCGACTCATTCACTGTGTATCGATGCAATTGACGGGTTAAATCTAGATTCATCTAGATGCGTTGGTGGGTATCGGTAAAATCCGATGCAAGCGCCGTTTGATTCATGTTAAACTTCACCCCATCTGCTGTTCCCCAGGCGCATTGAATGCACCATCATTATTTCGCGTTTTGTATTGAATACGGACGGAAGCCGTGAGGGACATACAATGCACTACTAGTAAAACAGCATGGACCACATTCAAGTGAGCAGCAGCGAGGAAGAGTTTATATGTAATGCACCCGCTACGTTTAAATCATATGTTTGCAAACACTACGGATTTGCAAAGAAAGACGGAAAACTCGACAAAACGTCCGTCATTTGCAAAGAATGCCGCGTTAAGAAGCCGCACAACGGCAGCACAACAAACATGCAGACCCACTTAAAAAGAGTACACCACATCACCGACAAGTCTAACGCCACCTCCACTCCCTTAACATTGATTGCACTGTTGAAAGTGTCACTTAAGGTTACTCATTGAGAGTGTTTTGTTGTTGCCGTTTACTGTACTTTTTACAGCAGTAATTATTGTGTAATTGTTTTACTCTTTTATTATTGCAGAACTCACTCAAATCACTGATTTTCAGTGGCCAGTTAGAAAGTCAACTCTAGCACATTGGTTTGGCAGACAGTAGTATGGCCATTGAATGGTTTATTTGCACCATGTTAGGCAGTGCATTAGTTGTTTAATAATGTAATAATGTGTACTGTAATATTACCCAACAAGTATAGAGCACTTGTGTGATGTAGGGTTGGGATTGGAATCCTTTTTTTTTTTTTTTTTTTTTTTTTTTTATTGATTCAGATTCCTTAACAGTTGCAGGAGGTCTGTCTAATCTGTGTAACTGTACAAAATGGAACCCAAAGGAGCATAGAAAAAAAGACAAAAAGCACTTTTGTTGAATTTACTGCCAAGTGCCTTTAAGGAATAAAGCCAAATCATTTTTGTAGTACCATACTGGATTCCATCTTTTATTTTTATTTCTTTTTTTTCTTTGCTTATTTGCATCATGTTGAATTGCATCATATCGCAACAAATTGCATCATATCGTATCGGATCGCATTGATTTGAACTAAATGAGTATCGTATCGTATCGCATCATGAAGAGGGTGAATCGTATCGCCAGAAAATTCCATGTATCGTTTAAGTATCGTATCGCTGGCAGTGCATCGAGATGCGTATCGAATCTTCCTCAGTGCTGAGATTCACACCCCTACTGGAGACACACAGCTGACTGGAAAGCTGCTTGTAACGGCCATATGAGACACATGAAACCAGGCTCAGTACACAGAGCACAGGGGATGACATTTAAAACCCTTTATTAGAGTGCTTGACAAACTTCGGCCCCTATCTCCACCCATGAACTTTGACCTACAGAAACCATTCAGGGCTTCAAAATTTAAGCTCATTGAGGACATTATGGGGTGTATTCAGGATTTTTATTCATTTAAATTTTCCCCACTTTAAAATTAATCCCGTAATTAATACATTATTCTTCAGACAAATTTAAACTCATTCAAACTGATTCAAACCTAATACTTCAAACTTGTCTAATACTTGAGGATTTTTAATTATTCAAATTTTTTCATTTTAAAATCTTTTTCATTATTTTGCATTTTTTAATTCTTCAGATTCACAGTTTTTACTCCTACAATTACTACTTATATCACTTTAACTTGTATCTTCACTTCTACCTTCACTACTCTTGCTTCTCTAAATATTTTTTTACTGCGTCTCTTACTTTTACTGCCACTATTACTTCTACCATGAGCTTTACCACTTAGACTTCTTCTATTCTAAAACTACTTCTACTGCTTAAATGACTACTAATATCACTACTACAACCACCTATTATCATACTACTTGTGGTACTGTGACTTAAACTTATGCCACTTCTCACTTTTCTGTGTTTTAAGGTCATTTTCGTCCTTATCCATTTTTTTTTTTTTTTTTGCAATTTCAGCCAGTTTTTCTCACCTCTTTCAGCATGAATGCAACTTTAATTTATGAAGCACATTCATACTGTTTGGACTTCAACAGTTTTCACTTTTATCCAACTTCTTCTTCTTCTTCTTCTTCTTCTTCTTCTTCTTCTTCCTTTTAACCAATTTTACATTTAAACCTTCTTCCATTTTTCATTAGCAGTTTTGCATTGCTTTTTTAACTTTCAGCACCCAGCATTTCCACGCATTTTCTGCAAGGAAATGAAAATTTTCTAGTTATTATAGCAACTTCCACCGTTTTTTGGCCCTCAACTACTTCCACATACTTCAACATATTCAAACCATTCAAACTTCAAAATATTCATCTCATCAGGGAGATTCCGGCTTGTATTCAAAATTTTCCTAACATTCATACTTTCCGAGATATTCCCGGTTTTCCGACCGATTTCTCCCATTAGAAATGCATTACGGAATGTTCAAAACTGCCTTTTTCTCACATTTTCTTCACAGCGCTTCAAAAACCTTCAACTCCCCTATACTTCCACTTAGAAACTTCATTCAAACTTTAAAACATTCACACATCTTCAGACATTCACTCATTCATTCACAATCTTCATGGCATTCATACTTTTCTCACAGTGACACTTCGAAGAGTCATGGGATTTTCTGACCTCCTCAGGTTTTAACATTAAATTTCTTTCCACACTAGATTCAATTTTATTATTCATGCATTATTTAATTCCTCAAACAAATACAAAATTATTTAAACTGAATTAAACCTTTTTGATACTTCTAATACTTTTAGATTTTTTAATCATATAAATTTTTCCTGTTTTAAATCATTTTTTACGATTCATACATCATTCTATTTAATAAACAAATTCCAACTCATTCAAGCTGATTCAAACCTTTCTAGTACTTTAAAACTTTCTCATACTTCAGGATTTTAAATCATTTTATTTTCCACACATTGTTTTTTTTTTTTAAACAATTTATGCACTATTCAATGAATTCATACAAATCATTCATATAATTCAAACTTTCTTATCTTTCATAGACTTCCAAAATTCAGCCATTCGCAATAGCAGTTAAGCAATAGCAATTTTAAACAGAGCAATCCCACTCGCAGTTTCTTCAGAAATTGCATTTTCTAGTTTACTTTTTTCTTCTTATCCCCCCCAGCATGTATTTTTTTTGCATACTTGCTCACTTACCTGTTGTTTTCTAAAAAGAGCTGGCCATCGTTTCAACATTCTTTGCGACTTAATGAGAAGGTCTGGTTCATCAGCTGATTCACATGAACTGCATTTGGGAATCCTTTCTTTATTTCATTTTCAAGCACCTGTTTAGAGCATTCACATAGTGATGCATCTTGACCCTGTGGGAAATCAGACAGAAAGTTTGTACCACTTCTTCTGGGTCTCTTCAGACTTTTTCCAGGTGACTTCCCCTCTGGATTCTGCTGTGTTAATGTACTGCTGTTGACTGACAAATCTGCAATTCCACATCTGCAAAGGAACCCATTTTGAATTTTAGACTATTCTTCCGTCCATAGCAACCTGTGGTTGACCCAGACTCAGCAAGGCATGGGTGCTTTGCAATCAGTGCTGCAGTAACAGTGGTGAAGTGTTCATCTTGAGGGTAAGCCGAGAACTTGTACATCTCCTAAGCTAACTTCTGCAGAATGTCATGCTTCAGAGATGTAGAGGTATAATGGCCAATCAACAGGGTAAGGAGTCTTATCAGGCTCCTGTTTTCGTGACCATTACCCCCAATGGTCCCTTTGGCATGGAATGTTTTTGAAATTGTCTGAGGCTGATTTGCTTTGTCTGAATGTGTGTAGGAAAATTCCTTTATGGCAAGATTCAATGTCTCAAGTGAGAAGAACTTTTTTATAGAAGTCCTGAATGCAAAGACACAGCTCAGAGGGAACAACGCCTGGTGTTTGATTTAAATTCTGGTTGAGACAGAAACATCTTCACAGTGTCATCATATGCGCAAACTTTCAAAAAATGAATCCCCGAAAAGCTGGATAAAGTTGCGTAGATTTCATTGCAAAACTGAATGAATAAAAAAAATGAGCAACAAAGGTTCTTTTAACAATAAATCACAGCATTTAAAGCTTGCGGTCAAAGATAGTAGGTGCTGTGAGCCGTCATGTGGCTGCGTGTCAGCTGGCCCTACTTATAGGCGAGTGCCCTCACCACCTGCGGAGGGCGCAGACAAACTTAAAGGTCAGCAGAAACTAGATTTTAACTATATGAATACAAACTCAAATGTGGCTCCTACACAATCTATATTTAGTTGTCCATCATCAAGCTGTAAAATAAATAAATAAATAAAGTCACAAAATGCTAGTAATTACTTCAAGTAAAGAAACTTGCGGTCAACAAATTTTGGCAGAGCAAGAAGGGCATCTCTTATTAGCATTTCTGCTCATTCCGAGATCCAGAATGACCACAGCTACACAGTTCTGAGCAACACACATGTAATGCCAGCTATACATCAGAGGACATTGAGTAGATTTGGAAAATCGGTTGTTTCAAAGGGGTCTGAGTGTTCACATATAGTCAAAAATTGCTGAGTAATTGATCTGCGTTCATTTAGAGGGCTAGAAGGGACCGTGTGTAAACACCCTTAGACTTTGATCTGAGCCCTGATCGTACCAGATGTGCTTAGGTTGGCTGTCATTATGATGATCATGCTTTACACTTAGTTGACTGGCTGTACAGCAGAAAGTTTGTTTGAATATTTAATAATAAAGTGAAAAAAATAAATAAATATAAAAATTTAGTATTCTTAGGCAGAGTTTACATTATTTATATATGAAACACGTGAATTTGGTAATATTAATAGATTCAAAACAAAGCTGTGGGGCATTCTCAGTAGGGCGTGAATTAAAATTTTTTGCTGTTACTGTAATGGGGGTAATATAAGGCTAAGTTCTGTTTTTTAAAATTTTTAGATAAAATTATGGTGTGACTAAACTTGACTCCATCAATATGGAGTTTTCCTACAGATGTCTTTCATGGTTTTGAATCTGATGAGCAGTGGAGTATATTGACTGTGAAGCTCATTTTTTGTGGGCTATTTTTAGTTATCACACTGGAAGTAATACTCAGAAGGAGAATAACAAATCCATAAGGATAAACAACAAGAAATGCGCCACTCGCACACGAGCTGTACTGTTGTGTTTCATTTCACTCTCAAGCTTCAATAAGACTGTTAATCCCTCAAATTAACATCATATTGATCAGATTCATTGGTTTGTTTTTAAATTAAAGCTTTTTTGGCTCACACTGTCACTAACTGATTGTTTTAAAGATTTCCAGGATCCTGTTTATTTCCCAGACACCATCATATTGAACACGCTGACCCCCAAGGCCCAACATTACAGTCTAAATGGCTATGTGCGTTCGTGTGTGCGTGCGTGAGTGCGTGAGTGCCTGCGTGCCTGCGTGCCTGCGCTTGAAACTGTCTGCCAGCTGTGATTTAGAGTCTGGCAACTAAGATACAAATAATAGCAACCATCTATCTGTGTTTCCATCACACTGTACTGTTATGCATGAGTGTGTGAGTGAGTGTATTTATCAGGCTGGTTCAATACGTTAAAAGGCAGGAGGTGTAATGAATTCCGTCTGACAAACACGAGACAGAGCTCTGAGTGATAATGCTTCTCTCTTCAGTGCTTCAAACAGGGACATTACAGCTTTGATTACCCTCTGTGCTTTTTAGTCAAACAAGACCATTAAAGTAGAGAGTAAAAAAAGCATGTGTTTTACTGAGCCTGTAAGACTACTTTAAAAAGTGAAACTTAGTGTTTGTTTGTTTTTTTTTTTAAGTCTTGAGAGATAATTTCTTGATAAGTCACTTGAGATATACAGGAACTCCATGTTTAATGTGAAGCTGTCCTCAGTTAAACTAAGTTAAATGGAAATAAACAGTATCATCATAGATTTGGTTGATCAAACTCAAGTTTTTAATTGGTTATCAAACAGGCTAAAATGAACACTCTCCATTAATGACAAGACTAAGAATTTCTATAAATTATTTTTTTATGTGAAGAAACAGTCTGAGTTAATTTTTATAATGAGAGATAAGTTTTACTTTAAAACAACAACTTGAGGTTTTATTAACACGTCTTTCACAGGGACGGCTCAAAATTAGCAACAATATAAGGGTTACCACTTTGTACACAGGGGGTACAAAGTGGACACAGACAGATGGCTCTTCCCAGGAGCTTTAAATAACTTGCTCTGCTCACAGAATTGTTCAAAAACAATACAACGCTTAATAGTGTGCTGCTGTACTTAATACGGGAACATCACTGGTTATCTTTGGCAGTTGTCAGCCCCTGATCCTGATATTCAATCTCAGGCAAAGAAGGACTCCCACACTGAGACCCAAAGATGAACTGAATGCATTCATCTAGATATGACTGTGATCATTTTCTATGATGGTATGCTTTTTTTATACTGTATGAAAGTTGGTACTAGTCCTACAGCTTGAAGAGTTATTGGAAAAATTATGTATCAAATCGGGATCTTTGTGCTATTACTTTCTCTATTGCATATGATTTTTGTGACGTAAAGGAGCAAGTATTGGAGTTTTGTAAATGTCTACCCCCCTAGCTCAGTTTTTTTTTTTTTTTTAAATAAACACTTTATAAGGAATGTTTGTTGTAGGTGTGCTCCTTGTATATAATATCACAATGCTACTAGTATTTATAATTTGGAATCTCTGAAGAATCTCTTCATTATGTACACACCCCAGCAGTAGCGCCTGCAGCCCTTCAAAATTTCCCTGAGGGAATTTTCTAGTTTTGGTATGTTGTTTTGGCTCTAGTTGTTTTGTGTTAATTTTACTTTCAGGGTTCCCCTCAAAATAAGATGGAACATCTCAAGAGGCTATTTCTTATGGAGAATTCAAAGAATTTAATCCTAATTCTAAACTGTTATCCACAGGGTAGGCACTTTGGAGCTGTCTTCTGCCTGTAAATCATGGTTTCAGACCACTGAGCAGCATCTGTTTAAAAAATAAATCTTAAAGCTCCTGTAAGGAATCTTTAAATTGTGTCAATTTTGGTGCTCCTTGTGGATTAAGTAGCCATTTCTAATTTTGCCATCTATATGCTTAATTAGAATCTTCTGACAAAAGCCTCATCCTGCTGACTTTGGAAAGACTGATTTATCTTTTTTGTGAATAATATATGCAGATATTGCAAAAACAACTCTGATTCTTCAGCTGCTTAACTGACCCTTAGCCCCTCACACAGATTTCAGGAATAAAATATTACAACATCAAACTGTTGCTGATAGTCCTGCTTGCTTTTGTTTGTCATAAGAATAAATTTTAGTCAATCTCTTAAATGTCAAAAAACACCTCTCATGAGCTTTAAAGTAAAATCAGCAAGTACACTTCATTGAAATGATTTGATTCCCAAATCTGGACTCTGGTCGTAACTGCTTTATTCGGATAATATAAACTTGTAAACTATTCTGAAATGCAAAATAGTGAACTGAAAATGGGATTATTCACAAATAACTATGGAAATTTTAGGATAAATTACAGTAAACAGCCAGCCTAGGTATACGTATTTGTATGGAAACACTAGAGCTCATGCAACCTTCCAGCAAGAGCAAATCACCTCCTCTAATGAACCATGAAAGACTCACTCAAATCCATGTCACCACTGCACCAATTTTGACATCATACATGGGTGCACAGTGAGGTACCCAAACTCTGTTGAGAGTATCTTATTAATTTATTCAGTCATTCAGGGAATCATCATTTTTGACCGGAAAAAACAAAACCATGTTAGTGTAAAATACGAGAATGTTTAGCAAAGATAGTTTAGGATGTGAAACAGGCTCTAATTCATTAGAACATTTTCAGGATTTGTAACTTTTTTAAATCCTAAACACACTTAAAATGTCTTTTTTGTCCATCGATTCCAAGTGGAGCTTAGTCACTATCCCTGCTCTCTGCATTAGCTGATGAATCAATTTATGAATGAATTTGTGTGTGTGTGTGTGTGTGTGTGTGTGTGTGTGTGTGTGTGTGTGTGTGTGTGTGTGTGTGTGTGTGTGTGTGTGTGTGTGTGTAAAAACCCGTTCATATGTAAATAAGCAATTAGCGTTGAGTTGTTAGTTGTTCATTGCAGGCCTCTATCCTTCCATTACTCTAATTCTCCTGCGTCGTTTTACCACCAAACTGCTTTCAACCAGCACTTCCTCCTCTTTTTATCTTCCTTCATCTCATTTTCTCTCCTCTTTTCCTTCATCCACACAGACACAAATACAGACACAGACACACACACTTACACCAACTTCTCTCTCACACATCCCCTATGGTGTTGACAATGTGTGAATGGAACCAAATGATGGGTTGGGATAAAATGTACACACATATGACCACCAACAGATTTGTGTGTGTGTGTGTGTGTGTGTGTAGTGGAAGAGTCTTACCAAGAAGGATGACTCACTCTCAGCTGGACACATGGCCCACTCGTGGGAGACTGCATCCTCGTCAATATGACACATACACACAGCATCTACACACACTGATTTAAGCCATGTGGATCTAAAAGGCTTTCACTTGCTTGCATGATTGATAGTGTTCATGTATCAGTGTAATGAGCTCATATGACTTGTGTGTGTGTTTGTAGCTGTGGTAGTTTTCCATGCAAGTGTGAGGTAGTGTGTGTTGTTGGGTGCAATAAGGCTTTCCAATGGTGTTTCGTCACACATGTCCTGAAAGCAACAGTGCTGTCCTGGACAATTTGTCATCCATCTTTCTCTCTTTTTACATATATATTCTTCTAACTCACCCCGAGATTCCACAGGATCCGGAATGGCTCTGCTCCACCACGGACCGGCAGGCGGATCACATACGCAAGCATACAGTGCCCACCGGATCCAATCTGCTGCAGCAAGCGCAGGAGGAGCATTCGCAATATTACCGATATTTCTCCCGAGACTGGATGAGATCTCATGTGATCACACGTGTTTTACCGTGAGACACTGAAATAGATCCGCTGATCGGTGAATGTAAAGGGCGGTGTATATAAACACCCACATCCGACAACGCTGGCCTCTCCTATTATCAAGTTAAGAACAGTTAAAATTATTGACTTTATTTTATTTTAAGAAATAACTGGATATTTTACTCAGTAGCCGCATACAACTGCACAGAACTGATGCGCTGTGCTGCGGCATCTGGCAAAAATAATATCTGATCCGACCACTGGAGCCAATCCGTAGCAGCGCTGGATGGCAGACGGATTGTGTAAAATCACACTCATTGATTATAATGCCTGCTGGACTGGAGCGGAGCTGTTCTGATCCTGTGGATTTTAGCCATCTGCCTCCCTGCTTTCTGCTGTTGCTTTTCAACTTTTTATGTATGTTCAACACAGACACAACGGGCTCTATTTTCCCCTTCCTAACTCAGCTCCTCCCAGCGGCGTAAGTCGTAGTGAGGGAGGAGAGAGGACGTGGAGTGGATTTAACACAGCTGAGACCTGTATTGACCAATAACATCAGCTCCTCTCCTCGCCTTTAAATCCGCCACTGGCGAGGCATATTACTATTTTCGTGAGGTAGTCAAAGAGATCAATAGATGTCTGAAGACAGTGATGCCACACGATGGCGACAGAAGGCAGCTCTTCAACAAGTGTCACTGTAAACGCTGTGACACTTGTTGCTCTCATATGAGCACAGATGGATTTGGTGTGTGTAATGTTGGACCCACTAGTAAGACAAACAACCCTTTCCACAAATAAAGACACTCACATAAAGTTGCACATATTCAAACCTCACGTGACAAAGGTGGGTTGTGCGCAGAGATCACAACATAAACTCCAATAATGGCATTAAAATCGGAACCATCTGTGCATAATGACGCTCTTTCTTTTATAGATGTTGGCATATAAAATAAATTTGGCTCACAAAACTGAATATTATAATATTTGTATGTAGGCTTGAAGTAAATAACTCATCTGGTCACTGAAACAAATCATCTGTTCAGCCGCAGCAGCTGCAGCTGCAGCAGGACGGAGAGAGGACACGGAGACATGTCCAGGTCGAGCTGCGTGAGAAATAAGAGGAAGAGGAAAAAAGAAAAGGAGGGAGACAAATTACATATCTTGTTAACTTCATCATGTGTGTCTATTTACTAGATATTTAATTAAGTGCGGTTTCAGCTGTGTTGATTCGGTTGAGTGTCCAAACATGTGCCAAACGTGCTCATCAGATCAGAATATATCTATATAGATCTAAATGTATGTGCTGACTCAGATTATTAGTTGTTGATGATTATTTATTGCACTGAAATGTGCCTGACACTGTGGAAACCTGCCGGTGAGGCATTGGTGACATATGCCGATACGCCGCCGGTCTACCAAAATACCACTAGATCAGCTGTGCTCCGCCTGCGCTGAAAGCTGACCAGGTTTAAATCTGCGAGTTTTCGGCACACTTTACACGCCACCGGAAGCACGAAAATGTCACTGCGCCTGCTGATTCTGTCAACACCTGCCCCTGCCACGCCACCATGCCCAGCTTGGCGGATCTCGGTGCGTCTCAGTCCACGAAAATACCAAACTAGCTGTATGCCGGGCTCCGCCAGACAAAAATACCACTGCGCGGGGTCCGCCGCCATCCGCCGCCTCCCCGGCGCACACGAAAATAGAGCCCAACATGTTCATACATGTTAACATACATGTTCATGTATGTTGTGATGGGATCTTGCGCCACAAAATCACACAAGTGGGACAACATTTTTTTGTCAAGGTGATTTACACAGTTGATAAGGGTTTTCTTGCATAGGAAATTATTAGCAGCATTACACTGTCGTGGTGGCCTAGCTTTATTAAAATGAGTCCAGCGCTGCAGAAAAGATGGTGCCATAACTGTCAAACAAGATAAAAAGTTAATCGTAAATAATTTTATGCTACCAGAAAGGGCAACCCTACAAAAAGCTATGGCTGAAAATGTAAACATAGACCACTGATCTCACATTCAGTGTGCAGAAGGACTGTTTATATGTCTGTTTTCCCTATTTCAGACACCAGGCTGTTTATTTCATAAACAGCCTTTCTCTCTCACTGTGTTTATTCTGTCCCTTTGCTTTTCAGTCACACATCCTGCTCCTCTCTCTGCTCTCCCCTCTCTTCTCCTGCTCCTCTTCCTGCTCTCCCCTCCCCTCCTCTTTCTGCTCACTAATTATTCGTCTTAGTGTAAGCTGCAGCTTCCTTGTACTCCCAGAATTTAAATCATAATGATCCCAGTGAATATTACAATAACTATTATTACATTGATCCCTTCCATTACCACATATTTAAATAATATAGCTTGGGTTGATTTGGCTTGTGATAGTATTCAAAAGTTCCATAGCCATCCACCTTATTCCCAGGCCCCATGATGCTTTGCGTGAATTATGTGCATGTTTTCCGGTGCCTTCTGTTATTTACCATGGAGCCAGCATTTTCCATAGTATCTGTGATCTAATTTTGATTATTAAAGCCATCAAGGATGAAAACAATGTGGGAACATTATCTGACACCATTAACGAGACGTTATTATTCAGCTGCCCTCCTCTATTGAGCACTAACATTTAGCTTTTTTTTAGCACCATTGTTATAGACAGGGAGGCTGAGGTTTATCAGTTCTTACATAACTACAAGGTCAGTCCCATTTTGTTGACAGAAGTTGGACATGATCTTAACAACTTAAAAGCAGATGTAGAGTCGTGTCAGAGCCTTGATGCCCCACATCACTGATCCTGGGTTTGAGTGTCAGCTCCAGGTGAAATACAAACAGCTGCTCATGGACTGCATGACCAGAGTGATCCTGCAGTCATGCAGCTGCAATACCGTGGAAGGTGTGATAGTATTTTGGCAGACTTTTACAAAATTATTAAATAAATATACTGTATATATATATTTTTTATCACTATGACTGTTTTTGTCTAACAGGCAATTTTCTAATGTAGGTATATTTCTAATATGTTTCTTAATTGAGCCCCTGTGATGGTGTTCCCTCAGTTTTCTCAGTTGTTTCATTTATATTGAAATCATTATTATTATTATCGTTAATATTATAATTATTATTTTTTTTACAGCTCTTATTTAGTTAATGTGTGTGAGTGTGGAGGGGGGTTATTTGTCTTGTTTACCTTTTCTTTTCCTGCACAGCACTGAGCGTTGCATTATCGTTATATGGAAAGTGCTATATAAATAGTCTGATTCTAAGCAAAGTTTGTCAGAGGGCAGACGATATAAATAGTGACAAGGATCAAAGGAACACTTCAATTCTACTTTGTCTGGCTGTTAATACAACCACAGACTGCTCAACATGTCTGAGAACTACGCAACGACATTCCCAAATATATAACACTCAATAAAAACCTAGCATAGGTTTAAAGCAAGGCAGTATGGGGTATTTTATATTTACTGCTATCGATGTTTAGTCAATAAGATTAGTCACTATGAGAAACCAACTCAATGCTATTTCCATTCTATTTCCCGAGGTTTCACTTATAATCGTAAATACAGTAACGCCCTCATCAATAAAGTGGATAAATTGAAATATACTGTGGAATTTCATCACTGGTGTCTGGTTGGATGTAAAAATCTGACTTTGACTGAGCTGATGTGTTTATCTTCCTGCAGGAACATTCAGAGGAGTGTGTAAGAAGATCGATCACTTCCCAGAGGATGCTGACTACGAGGCAGATGCTGCTGAATATCTCCTCCGTAAGTCTGATACAAACATGACCAACTATTGACCTATTGACCCAACCAGCTTTACCTTTTCATCATCCTTCAACCTCATGTAGGACCCACAAAGTTCTTGGACCATCAGAACATTTATGTATTTTATAACTTTTATCCACCCCACAGCTCTTTCCCTCTGACTTCACTCTCATACTGGTTTCGTAATCTGCTTCTGTATCAAAGGTTTTAATTTACGGAAATCCAGGACAATCTAAAAAGTTATCATGACTTTGAATTTAATAATTGATCAGTCACTAAAAAGATGACAACTTCACAGCAGCTATTGTTTGCATTTGATGAGTTCTTCGCTAACAATAGCACAACCTAGAAATGAATGAAATGCATTCACTGTTGCAGCGGGGTTAAACGATGGGCTCTATTTTCGTGCCCCGCTGGAGACGTGCCACAGGCGCGGCGCAAGTCAGGTCCGCCGTGCCGACAAGGCGTTCCCGAGCACAATTTGGTATTTTGGTGAGCGGCGCAGCCCAGCGTAAGTATCCCCCCTCCCTAACTCAGCTCCTCACAGCGGCATAAGTCGTAGCGAGGGAGGAGAGAGGGCGTAGAGTGGATTTAACACAGCCGAGACCTGTTTTCACCAATCACATAAGCTCCTCTTCTTGCCTTTAAATCCGCCACCGGCGAGGTGTATTACTATTTTCGTGAAGTAGCCAAAGAGTTTAAGAGATGTCTGAAAACAGTAATGCCACACGATGGCGACAGAAGGCAGCCCCTCAACAAGTGTCGTTGTAAGCGCTGCATTGGGCATCCTCCACACTCTCTCATATGAGCACAGATGGATTTGGTGTGTGTAATGTTGGACCCACTGGTAAGACAGATACCCTTTTCCACAAATAAAGACACTCACATAAAGTTGCATATATTCAAACCTCTCACAAAGGTGGGTTGAGCGCGCAGATCACAACATAAACTCCATAAATGGCATTAAAATCGGAACCATCTGTACGTAGATGACGCATCGCGCTCCGTGGTCTGGCTCTTTCTTTCATAGATGTTGGCATATAAAATAAATTTGCCTCACAAAACTGAATATTATAATATCCGTATGTCGGCTTAAAGTAGATAACTCATCTGAGCACTGAAACAAATCATCTGTTCAGCCGCTGCAGCAGCAGCTGCAGCAGGATGGAGAGAGGACACAGAGACATGTCCAGGTCGAGCTGCGCGAGAAATAAGAGGAAGACAGAAAAGGAGGGAGACAAATTGAATATCTTGTTAACTTCATCATGTGTGTTTATTTACTAGATATTTAATTTAATTTAATGCGGTTTCAGCTGTGTTGATTCGGTCAGGTTGTGTGTCCAAACATGTGCCAAACACGCTCATCAGATCAGATATAGATCAGAATATATCTATATAGATCTAAATGTATGTGCTGACTCAGATTATTAGTTGTTGATTATTTATTGCACTGAAATGTGCCTGACACTGTGGAAACCTGCCGGTGAGGCATCGGTGACGTATGCTGATATGCCGCTGGTCTACCAAAATACTACTGGACCAGCTGCGCTCCGCCTGCGCTGAAAGCTGACCAGGTTTGAATCTGCGAGCTTTCAGCGCACTTTACATGCCACTGGCGAGCACGAAAATGTCACTGCGCCCGCTGATTCTGTCAACACCTCCCCCTGCCACGCCAGTGTGAATCTTAGCATGACATACAAACAATTGCAGCAAAAAACAGCTTTGAAAGCAGATGTGTCAGCCTGCTGCTTAATGTAAAATTTACTTTGAAGAAAAACTGGTGATTAAGATATACTGTACACACAGATGAGAAAATAAGGAGAAAGGGGAGGAGGTAGTGTAGTGTTATTTCTAGAAAGAGTAATAGGACAGAATGTAAAGGAGAGAGGGGGTTGGTCTGTTTTTCTCTCACAGCGTTAAAGATGGACTGAGCGAAAAGCAGCAACAAAAAGGTTGGAGGAGGGATGGAAGGATTCAGCCTGAGCATCTTTTTCATTGCCCCACTGAACACAGAGCAACATCCCCAAAGGCAGCCAATTACGTCTCAGGCCTTGGAGCCAGCCAGCCAATGGGGGGCAGGGGCCTAGTGACCGCTATTGCTTACTGCCCAAGGGTGTGGGCCAGGGGGTGGGGCTTACATGCTAGGCCGCACAACGGCACTGGTCACTGCAGCTGACATGTCAAGCTTGAAATACTGAAGAATTACTGTCTGCAGGAATGAAATGTTTTTGTAACAATATACTTAAACATCAGCTTTGAAATGGACACCACTCTAGTCTGCATGACAAGCTGTTTGCAAATACCCTCCAATATGTTAGCTCGTCACTCACACATATGGGCTTCTGACAAATATTTCACTCCTGCTGTAGCCTCACTCTCATTTTCATCATCTCTGCTAGTCATTATTTTGCCTCGCATATGTGTCAGTGTGACTCTCCATCTGTCTCGATTTTTCTCCATTCTCTCTCTCTCTCTCTCTCTCTCTCTCTCTCTCCTCTGAATGCTTTAACATGTTCTGGACTCAGACTCAGTCAAGCATGTAGCTGTACATTCAACCATGTGTGTTTTATGTGTATGCACACTGACATAGTCCTTGAGTTTATTTCCAGCACTGGAGATACTGAATGGAGCTCACCTTTGGTTTGATGTGGGAGTTCAAGCCTATATCAGGCAAAAATGATGGGTTTCTTTTGAGTTTAATGATGAATATCAGCCCCCCCCCCCGAACAGAATAGAATAGTCTTTATTGTCATTACACTAGGTGCAACAAAATTCCCCTGTGCCATTTCTGAATAGCAGAAACACATGCATGTACACATTCATTCGCACATATAAAGAAACATCATGGATAACATCAGTATTTTGATTCAGAAAATGGAAATGAGGTTGTTTTTTAAGGCTGTCTGGTTAAGAGGCATAGAACTACTTGACAAGAGCAGCATGACACCAGTGGGGCCAATCAAATTGCCTTTTGTATTACACTTTAGGCCTCCTTCAATCATAAAAAAGGGATTATTGAGATAAATTCAATAACCTTGTCTTTTTGCTCTTGTTCTGCTTAGCCTGCGCTCTGCTCTTCAAACAGCTCTCCCCTTCATCATCAACGAAAACAAAACTGCACGTGTGTGCGTGCGCACGCGCCCGCGTGTGTGTGTGTGTCTGTGTGTTGGAGGAGCACAGCAGGCTGATGAGAGCTGTCAGAGCGGACTGAAGCTGCTCCTATATGTTTAGCGTTTAACTAACTGAATTTTGCAACTCTGTTTGTCGTTTTCGTCTCGTCCCGTCAACGTAAACGCACTTTCGTCTCGTCACATTTTAGTCATCTCCGACTTATGTTTAGCTTGTCAACGTTACGTCTTCGTCGTGGAAGAAAAGGGAAATATTTGACGAAATATGACGAAAACAACACTGCACTGTAGCAGGTTTAACAACTTCCTCTTTTTTAAAGTGTGGGGTGCCAGTCAGAGTCAGGCCTGACAAATAATATATCAATAAACAAAGAATTTGTCCGTTAAACCATGCACACACAAAAATAAAACAGTTCATCAAGCAATTTGGGGTGGGGGGGTTGAATGGATGAAACCTAGCATTGGGCGCTACAATACTATGACCCACATCCTCCAACAGCCCTGATAATGTGCTGTGCATTGTGTAATAATAATAAAAAAGAAAACATCCTTCTATTTTAACTTTCCATCACAATCTTGCCCTCAGCTCTGTCATCATTCTGAGTCTGAAAAACTGTTCTGTGCAGTAATTGTGTTTCCACTCTTCTTCCTATACAGGAGCTGTGCGTGCCTCCAGCATCTTCCCCATCATGAGTGTGGGTCTTCTGTTCCTGGGGGGGCTCTGTGTGGCTGCCAGTGAGTTTTACCGGAGTCGACACAATGTCATCCTCAGTGCAGGGATCTTCTTTGTCTCTGCAGGTGAGTCTGCTCTCTATTGTTGTGTTTTCTTTCTTTCTTTTATCCTTTTTTAATGCTCTGTTTCATCGGCCTTAAATGTACAAGTTCCAGCAATACAATCAGGAAAGGCTGGTTCTTGATGAAGATCACAGCATCTTGACTCCTCTGTAAAGTAGACTTTGTCCTGATACTTTCTTTCAAACTACATTTTTTGAATACACTGCCATGTCAAAGGTGAATTAAGATTGTTTTACATGTCAAAGTTTGGGTTACAGCAAAGCAGAGGATCTTAACTGGTATCTAGTAAAGATGGTATAGAGATGTGTACCGAGATAGGAATTTTCCTATCTAACAAAGGATATCCTTCCTTTGTGAACAAAGAACACCAGTTTTGTTTGGAAATTGCTGAAGACCTACCTACCAAAGAGGATCCAATGGTAAGGGAGGGATTTTGTGTAAGTAAAGACACCAAGACATGCACAAGTCACTAAATCAATGGTAAACTCAGGGAGAGGTGCCCTCATGTCTGAAAAAAACACTGCAGAAGTGTCCACCTGGATGCTCCTTGTGTAAACAACATGTTTTTAAATGCCCTTTGTAATGCTCCTTTCATGGAAAATGCACAGAAATTTGCTGCAATGGCAGCTCTTTAATGGGATAAAATTTTAAGAAGTGCCATTTCGATGGACTTCCAGCATTAAATGCATGGAAAAAAATCCCCTCTCAGTATATCAAGTGTAAATAAGGGCCCTCTGCATGCACTTCCAGTATATCAAACATGTAAAAAGTGCTATTTGAATGCTATTCCAATGGATAACATGTGACAAGGTGCCCATTTGGTTATTTAACCTTACTAAAGCAATGTCTGTACTGAGAAAATGTCATTTGATACTTGGAAGTTGTTTTTTCATAAACCATACCAATTTAACAGTTTGACAAGTGAATCTCTAGACTGACACGATTCTACCCAAATGGGTCGTTGGTTGTTGAAGCTATAACAAATGTTGAAAATGAAAGGAGTCCTTTTCATTTTAATGTCAGACTCTTTGGGGACAACTCTTTTCACATTAGACATTTGTTGCACCAGCAGTAACCACAGACGCACCAGCTGGGAGTCACCAGTTAACAGGGTAACTTGTTAATCCATAACAGAAGCTTGAATTATGCTTTCCTTAAACGTCTGTGCCAAATAGCTCAAAGGGTGTTAACAGCTGTTGGACTTGAAGTTAATAGAGTAAGGGTTGGCTATTTTATCTCACTGAACAATAAGGCTGCAACAACGAATCGATTAAGTCGATTCGTCGTGATGAAAAAATTTGTTGCCAACTAATTCTGTAATCGATTCGTCGGGTCTTTATATATGTCCATGGACACCGGCGTGTAAACATCAGCAGGACGCACAGAAAAGAAACAGCCATGGCCGAGGCAGCGGCTGAGAAAAACATGGACACAACCCAACCCAAATCCCGACCTAAAACATCAGTGGTGTGGGAAAACTTTACCAAGACTGAAAAGGAAGGCGTTCAGTGCAACATTTGCAAAGCCCGTTTTGCATGGCACGGGAGTACATTGATGATGCGTGAGCACAGGGCTCTCAAGTCTCACGCATTCAGCGTATGACACACGCATTCCCACTCGTTCACACGCTCACACACCACACATTGTATTTAAATGAACATGGTGATGTCCACCAAGTTGCACTTCTTAACTATAGAACAGGGGGAAATCAACTGAGTTTCTCCGAGAGTTCAGAAGCTGCGTGCCACGCGCAAGCCAATCAAATAAAGTATATCTACTGAACAGCCAATCAAAAAGCAGCATTGCTGTATCCAGGTAGATTTTGATATCTTACGGTTTGACTACAGAAGAAGACAGACACTCGCCGAAATAGAGCAGGTTTTTATAAGGATGAGATCGACCCGATGATTACAGTAAGTCAGTAACCTACACATGCAGAGACCTCAACACCTCATGGCAGATAAACTCATATGATAAACTAAAGCCCTATGCTATTGCTATTAACAGCTGCATTGATGAATTTAGCCTGTTTATCCGACTAATCGATTAGTTATTAAAATAGTCGTCAGATTAATCGATTATCAAAATAATCGTTAGTTGCAGCCCTACTGAACAAAAATCATTTGTGCTGAACAACTTGATCTTTGAGGGTGGAACTTTTCATCTTAATGACAACGCTGTTGAACAGAAGCTCCACAGTTCTACTTGTATGCGCGTGTATTGGTGTGTTTGATTGGTTGTGGGACCATTATAAACAGAGGAAGGGCAACAGTCGTATCTGTGGAAGATGCCCATTCTAACAGAGGGGCCTCCATGATTTGCCAGACTGAGGAGACATAGCAGCTCATTAATCAGTCAGCCAGAACACCATGACACCACCATGAGAGTGTAAACACAGACATATATTCTCACACACAATCTATCACATGGATGCTGACATATAATTACATGTAAACACACACTTATGCTTCTTCCCCTCTCCTGTAATTGCTGTTTAGTGGGATGTGTAGGGTCCCATTGGGTTTTGTAGTAGATTTATGGATCCAAATTGGTAATTATTTACCACAATAGTGTGGGGCTGGTTCTGCTTAATTACAGCTGGCTAATTGTTCCTGTTCTGTGGGTTCCAGCACGCTGCATGAGCACTCTATTCTGGACTAATGATATGGAATAAGAGACCCCAGCTGTATGCAGCAACTCTCCTCCTCATCCTCTCTCTAATACTTCATTTTAAATCTCGACTGTCCCTCATTTTTGCCCCTCGAAAACCACACTTTTTTTCACACGTCTTGATTTCTCAAGACATAACGTCTCAAGACGTAACATACCGAGGATCCTGACTCATGCATGCATGCATGCAGCAGCAGTAGCGATCAGATGTTAACATCAGTATTAAGTGTAATAAACTTCATCAACAGAGTCTCCACTATTTAACAAAGATCTGACATAAAATAACAGAGGGAAAAATTTCTTACCTTCACTCTGTCAGTATTATCAGTCATCCAGCTCCAACAGGTTACTGATATTATTCCCGTTTACATCCTGTTTGAATCCCGCTTACAACCTCGCGGTCAGCCTCTCATCCATTCGTGTGAAAAAAAAAAAGTTTTTAGCGCTGTTTCTGGTCGGCCGGCTCAGTCGTTTATTTCCTGGTCTTCCTCCACCGGGACACGAAACACGTCACGGTTCCGACACGGTGAGTAAGTCATGGCCTGTGTGGACCTGTTGTCTGGACTCAGTACCAGGTCCAGCGATGCTCCTCCTGTCGGCCTCTATCAGGACACCTGAAGCTAAATTGAGCTAAAAAGTTTTATACACAATGCAAATGAATGAAACGCGCTGACCACAAGAAACAGGATGAAAGATGCGAGAAATGGAATATCGGTGGATTATTCAACTGTTGGAGCTGAGTGACTGATAATGCTGACTAGTTCAGACTCCAGAGTGAAGGTAAGAAATATTTCATGAAGGTTTGATCAGTTATGTCTCTGCTCAGATGTGTGGTGGACAGAGATCAGAACGTTTTATATTTTTTGAGGTCACATTTCCTCCCTTATTTTATGTCAGATCTGTTAAACAGTGGTGTGGTGTAATGAGCTGCTGTTGCTTGGTGAACACAGTTGTCTGTGTGGATGAGAGGAGACAGGTGTGTTAATGAGGGAGACTGGTGATGAAGTTTATACAGTTCATACCGATGTTTACATCAGATCGCTGCTTTGTGTGTGTGTGTGTGTGTGTGTGTGTGTGTGTGTGTGTGTGTGTGTGTGTGTGTGTGTGTGTCGTTGTAAAAGATCCACAGTGTGTGAGCCTCTGTCCCTCTTGTCCTGCTTACTTGGTCGTTTAAGTGGCTGGGGCAAAATAGTAGGAAACTTTAATTGACATTTGTCGTGCTGTGCATGCAGCTTTTTGATGAGGTAGGCTGTAAATTGGTCTATTTCCAACCGCTTGGGAGTACTACATCTCCTTTGTACTAATAGCCGGTAAACCCCCACCCCCACCCCCCTCCTGACATGGTTGAGAACCACTAGTGTAGATAAAATATGTTTTCTGATGCTGAAAATTTGGTCCATGCCTTTGTCTCCCCTGGGCTAGACTACCGTTAGCTAGTCTCATCAGGATACAAGATACAAGGCATTCTGAAGCCCCAGTGCATCTGCGACAAGAACTCTGATGAGAGTGCACAAAAACAAACATATCACGCCCATCTTTGCATTTACCCCTCCTCCACCTCCACCTCCAACCCCCATCCCCCGGACTACACTCACCACAGGAGATTGGGAATTCCATTTTGTTGCTCCACGCTTGTAGATTGCCCTCTTTGACCATCCAGGGTTTCAACACTGAATTTTCTAAAAAGATCTTAAAAGGGCACTGATAGCCAAGCTGTCTTGGCACGCCCGACACATCTAGGCAGCTTGGATCCCACCCTATGGCCCCTTTCTTGCATGTCATTCTCCACTCTCTCCCGTATCCTGCACCATGAGTTGTCCTCCACCTATCAGTGAAAACTGAAAAAGCCCCAACCTCTTTTTTTGTATGTTGTATATTGTTTTTAATCCCATTTTTAATCAGTTGGATCATATATGTTGTTCTTGTATCCTTTTTCTTTTCTTTTTCCTGACTTTTTTTGCCTTAATGTGGAGGGGACAGGATAGTAAGAAGTGTCGGAAACATGGAGAGAGAATGAGAAGTGACATAAGGGAAAGGAGCCAGGGGCAAACCTGGGCTGACCGACTCAAGGCATAACCTCAGTACATGGGGCGTCACCACAGAACACCAGGCCAGCCTTTTTTATATATGCTTTAATAATGTGCCGTTTTTATACCCCATCTGTAGCACTTAAGATTTGCTTTAAATTGAAAGTGTGTCACAAATGAAATATATTTTTTTATCAATATTAATCAGCTGGTGCCATTTTTCAGCCTTTTCTGTTGGGATTAGCGGGTCTTTAAATGGTGCATCATTTTATAATCAGTTATTTTTATACTCACCATGAGGACATAATTGAGACTCAAACTCAGGAATAGGCATCTTAACTCGGACTGGTTTTTGACTTGATCACTGAAGTCTTGAGTCTTGAGATTGGGTGACTTGACTCCAACGCTGTCTCTGATAGCTGTGTAGCATTGTGAAGGCTGAGCCCTGCCTTTCTGATCTCATGACATTTTCATGACAGCAAGCTGTACCAGACACTACAGTCCTTACAAAAGAAATGTCAAATGAACTTTAGAATCTTCTGCACTAAGTGTTTTCCAGTACCTTGTTTTCATTATGAAACATTAACTGTCTCCTACAATTTGGACATTTTCCGTCTTCTCTCTGAGTCAGTCAACCTGCAGACTCTACCATCCTGTTTCTGACTATCTTCCCCTTCTCTCTCCTGCTTTCAGGGCTCAGTAACATCATAGGAATTATTGTATATATCTCAGCCAACTCGGGGGACCCAGGCCAGAGCGACAGTAAAAAGTCCTACTCCTATGGCTGGTCCTTCTACTTTGGCGCCCTCTCCTTCATTATGGCAGAGATGGTGGGCGTGCTGGCCGTGCACATGTTCATCGAGAAGCACCGCAAACTGCGGGCAAAATCCCGCACAGAGCTCATCAAAAAGTCTGCCTTCAGCCGCATCCCTTCTTATCGCTACCGCTTTCGACGCCGCTCAAGCGTGCGCTCATCTGAGGCCCCAAGCCGTGATGCATCACCTCTAGGTAAAGGTGGTTACACGGGGCCTGCTGCCTCAGAGATGCCCATGTATACGCTGAACCCACGTGAGGTGGGAAACGCTGGCTCTAAACCTGGTGGTGGAGGGATAGGCGGCCTTCTCAACTCAACTGAGAGGGAGTTTCTCCAGAGCAGCACACTCACTAAAGACTACAACAAGGACCCCAACCGCAGGACCACGCCCGTGTGAGAGGTGCAACTGCAGGAATCAGCCAATCAGTGTATAAAAGAGGAGAACGGTTATAATGGGGACACACAGGGTTACGGGGAGGGGGAGGGGTTTGATAAACTTCGACTGTGAACTGTGAACTTTTAGCCTTTGAACTGTTAATCCTGAGCCCTGTGAGAGTTTCAGTGTGTGTAGCAGGGTCGGTTCTGATGGAGAAGTTGTTCCTGACTCCACTTAACCACATATCACTGTAACGGTTCCTCTTGATCCTTACAAATGAAGGCACATTTTATTTATTCTCATAAATTAACCTCACTTAGACTGGAAGAATTTAAAAGCATATTGAAAGTGGTTTTCTGTTTGGGGCAACTTCTCCTGAAATCTACAGATAATGTGAACTAAAAGGAGAGGAGGAAAAAGGTGAGACCCTGTGATCTTTGACCTTTGACCTCTGGCCTCCTGTCTTTTTGAGCATCAGCAGAGTTGCATTAATGCAAGGATGCTGTCTCTTGAGCCCCTTTCACAGATTTTCTTCATTTCTGGATAATTTCAGGACATTCAGGGATGTTACTTTTACACAAAGCTTTCACCTCAGCGCTGGAGTTTCTCGCTGTTTAGGAAAGGAGGCTGGGGAGTTCAATAGTTTCAACAATAGTGGATGGAAAATTAAAAACTGCAAGTGAGCAGTAAAGAGCATAAAGCTTTTCTCAGCATAAATCTCATCACTCATTTGCTCACAGTTAAATTTGGGAAGTGGGATCATTTTGACACCAAATAAATATTTTACCAAGAGGTTGTCAGTAAAATTGTGCATTTTCTGTTGAACATGCACCATACTTTGGAAATGTCTGGAAGTCTTCAGCAGTGTGGTCCATGTGTGAAAGGGGCTTCAGAGTATGATACTGTATAAAGTATGGAAGATAACACTTCAGGATTTAGGTCAATTCATTTTCAGTTCATCTTGGATCAAAAACAAACTGAAAATGAAATTCCATTTATGGAAGCACTTATGTGGCACTTGTTTTTTTTTTCTATCCATATTCTTTGTAAATATTTTCCTTTTATATTTATTAATTCATCCTAGCTCACTTCAAAACTGAACTGAAACTGAATTAAGCTCATCCTGACCCCTTATCTCTCTGCTGTTAAACCTTGAAAACTTTTTTTAATGAAGGTAAAAGTTCGATCATTGGTGCTTCCTTTAACCCTGATTTCTGTCACACGAGTCATCTCTTTGTTTATTTGATAACCAAAGGAGATGGTCAAATATTAGTCCTTTCATGTGTGCGCCTTCGCTTGTCGCCTGTCACCTTTCACTTTTTCCTGTACAGCGTCATACTTCACCTCACCTCACTGGCACCCTCTTCACATCTCCTCCATCTATCCTCTCTGTCTGTTTGTCTCTCTCTAGATCCCATTGGTGTGATAGACTAGTTAGGGTTTCTGGAGGTTGTTGGTTCAGGAGACCGCTGAGCTGTGAATAAACTTAAAGGCAGAGCCAAAAGATGTGAAAAAATGGATGGACATATTTTTCTTTGCTACCTCTTGGTAAAAATTCTGCAGATGAAGTCACATAGATGTTTTTCTTAGAAGAACAAAATCTTTCCAAATCTTAGAAATCAATCAAACACTGGAGTCAAAAGCAAACATATATCTTCTCTTTTCTAAGAGGGATCTGTTTGAATTGATCTAAAGGTATATATAATGAGTTGGAGGAAACTGGAGGACATCCAGAGTTGTTTTTTAGTTTCGTGCTCCATTTATTAAGTAGTCTCTCACAACCTCTCCTCTTTAAATCACAATGGCACATAATGTATCGATCATCAAAACACAGTCTTGTACCACAAACTGTTAAAAAAGAAGTGGATGTAGTTCCAGTGACAACATCCATCGGTTTCTAAGGAGGCTTCATGAGATCCCAACATCGTGATCACCATATTGAAAATACTGGCTCCAACTAGCTTTGTGTTAATGTAGAAACTGGCAAAGAGATGAACAAGTCCATAGCCTGGCCAGCTTTCATCTGCACATATGTCAACACCCAAATTATGCCTTATGTGCATAACTTTAACCCTCAAAAGAGTAAAGTGGATTTAGAAATCCACCTTCTTTATGTGTGACAGCTGCAACAAATATAGAAACGAGGTAAGAAGACCAACATTGATTTTCTTTGTGCCGGGCATTATACACATTTTATTTTGTTGTAAAAATCTGTATTTGATATGGGCTTTAATTGGGTTATCCTTGACTTTTGGAGCCAGCTTCGAGTGGACACCTGAGGAACTGCAGTTTTTCTAGTTCTCAACTGTTTCAACAAGTTGTATCACCAGAGGTTACTACTCGATTTGTACATAACCACTGGCAGAGATGGACATCTGAGCAGTTTCTATAAAGGTAGATTATAGAGATACAACAGCACATTCATAATAATGTGACTGTCCTGCTCTCTCACATTAATTATAAATGGAATTTATGGACTAAAAAGCTAACACTTTTTTCCTAGATGTGTACTACCCTCAATCTACTTGTGTATTTCTGAGAGCTCTTAAGTGTTAATTAATGTTGCTCATTCTCTTTGAGAGGTCTCAGACATTAGTAGCTATTAGATAACTGCTTCTAAATGCTTAAAGGAGGAGTTTTTAATGTCTTTTTGTAATCCTAGTTATCCTATTTGGTCATTAACAAGAATGCAACCTCCCTTAAAGTTTGACAGGTAAGAGGTAAACCTACTGAAAGGTATACACTTCTTTTTCTGTCAATAAGAGTCAATGAACCATTTTCACTTCACAACACACTGACTGATCTTTACAGAGGTAAACAGGAGGAGGGGGATGTGACAGATAGAGACTGAGCTCAAAGATGGAAGAAAAACACACTTTCCTTTTTCTCCAAAGCCACTGCACTGTTTTGTACAAACTAAACATGACACGCCACTGAGCTGAGACAGTCACACCATTACATGGTGACCTTGATAATAAAAATGTTTTTGAACCTCAGTCACTGTTTAATTTATGACGCTGCTGTTTTATCTTATGTCTTGGATGCCATAAATGGAGCTTAAGGGGACAAACGTGTACAACCGCAGATGAGCTCTCGCTGTCCTCCACGTGTAAATATTAATTTTGCAAGCTAACTACAACATCAGCAGTTGTCACGGACTGTGGAAGGGAAAAAACTGCTTTTCTCAAAGCAAGGGCTTTTAATATTTAAAGGACAGGAGCACACAAGGGCTTTTTATGCTCAGCGTTGTGGCGTTGTCTTAAAGGGTGTTATGTTCGGAGCCAAGGAAGGAAAGGCAAAGTACATTTGCACAGGGACAAGAGTTTTTAAACCAGCTGAATAGCTAACCAAGGATATAACACACTGAAGAGGGGCAGAGGAAAAGAAAACACAGGACTGAACTCCTCTGCTACAGGTTAGCTTAAGCCTTTTTGCTAACTTTAGCTTAGATAGGTAACTTTCTGACATAATCAGTGATTAAAAATATTGCCTTAGGCGCAGGTAGGAGACCAACTACTGGTTTAAAGTTCTTTGAGTTATCTTAAGGATTAAACATGTATTAGCTTAATATTGTTAATCATACTTGGTGCCAAATATTACTAGTAAATGTATCCTGTAGACCATGGCCTCCAGGTTAGCTTCAGATCATGGGTTCACTTCTTTAAGTACTCTCTTCTCAAAGGTTTTCTTGCAGTTTAGTGACTCAAGAGAAGTATCCATGTAGCTCAGCACATCAGAGGCCCCCAGGATCCTGAGGGTCTGTTAGGGGTCAGATTTCAGAACTGCATCCATGAGCCATGTCAGCATTGACCTCTTATACCATGCATGCCATATCCATCTGCTTCCAGAGCTAACACTTGCTGTAACCTCCATTGAGTCTCAAATAGCACCCTAACCTCTAAACTCTGGACCGCTACTTTCAAAAGACGCCTTACAAAGGGTGTGAGGGCCCATAAGCCTGTGCTGTGTGTACTGATGTTTACTCCAGTAGAGCACAGGGTGCTTTTTGAGACCTCTATCTCTTCTTACCGCCATACAGCTTTGATACTCTGATATCAGCAACAGATAACTGCATATTATTAGTAAAAAAAAAAAAAAACTACTCTAAAGGTGCCACTGTGCAGAGGATGATACACTCTGTCACACATAATAGTTATTAATCTATTACTAAGTGGGGGTTGAGCAGGGAGCAGAGTTGGGAAGCGGGATTGTAGTCTTTGTAATAATCTATTATTCTAGTTTCATTTTCTACTTTGATGTGTTTTGTGAGATTGTGTTTGTTTTGATCACATCTGAAGCCTCTGAGATGAGGAGGAGACAGAGGAGTGCTCAGACGATCTCTTGTGGACATTAAGCTCACCTCACTGGTGCCGGAGGTCACTGAACACTGAGGACACTGAACACTGATATATACAGTACAAAGTCAAAGGAGGGTTACTACACTTATGAGGACTTATAGAATAAATAAACTACAGCCAAATTCTTAAATAACTGATAAATCCCAGAAATCCCACAAGACAATACATCCAGTGTTACGTTTAAACATAGTTGTAGAGACTTACAGCGTTGAAAAGAAGCAGAAGAAGAACTTTATTGATCCCCGGAGAACCGGAGAGTTTAACACTGTGTTAAGCAAAGTGCTGTTTTTGTGCTACTGTGGAGCTCTTTTAAATACCTCCCATTTTCACCATTCTGTATGAAGAACTCAGTCTTATGAAGTACAGACCCACTACCTACAACTGGTTCGCACCACCCACCCCTGGTCACTTAAAACTAAGGAGTGTCTTCCATCAAACCAGCACTCAAGAAGATTTATTTATCCAATAGTATACGATATTTTTCTTTAACTACAATTACCATTAGATAGATAGATAGATAGATAGATAGATAGATAGATAGATAGATAGATAGATAGATAGATAGATAGATAGAACTGGCAGTAGTGTAGCGTTACAAAGGCACAGTAAACAGTGCAAATGGAAGTAAACAGTGCAAATGGAAAAAAATAGTGTAAAAAATGCAGTAGTCACAATGATGGGACACTTGAGGAATTGTAGTTTTTTGGGCTCCTCCAATGGCACTTTTTTTGACACTGGAGAATTACTTTCTGCTATAAACTCAATCAACATACCAAAGTGTGACAGATAAAGATAATCAAGAATGAAAAATGAACAGGTAAATGAGCATAATAGGTCCTCATAAGTATAGGAACACAGGATGAGCAGCAGTACACTCACTCATTGTACGTCTCAAACATGCAACACACATTCATACAGTACACACTCACAGCTAATGCTTTGCCTGGTGCCGTGTGGGGAAATGTGTGTCATGTGACAAGAAAAATCACTGTGTCATGTTTGGATAAAAAAAAAATCATCCTAAGTGTTTTTATGGAAGAAAAACTACAAACTGTATCTGTCGCTGTTGTGTCGCTCCTCGATGGAACTGCAAGTACACTGAGCCAGCTAATCCAACATGGAGGACCAGAAGAACTGTGTGAGACATCTGAATTCAATGGAAATTATGTTATGGTACGCATGACTACACAAACACACACAATCTCTCTCTCTCTCTCTCACAAACACACACACACACACACACACACACACACACACACACACACACACACACAATGAAATGTACAAGGTTACTGTGTGAGGAGGGCTTACTGGAAGAGTTATGTGCCTGCATGTTTGTGAGTTAGTGTGTGTGTGTGTGTGTGTGTGTGTGTGTGTGTGTGTGTGTGTGTGTGTGTGTGTGTGTGTGTGTGTGTGTGTGTGAGCAGTTAGCCTCTCCTCACCCATGCACCCAGTGCCTGCCTGTCCTGCCTTCAGAAAGCTCCCAGATCAGCCACGGGGGCTTCCAGTATAACCTCTGCTGTGTTCCCACAACCTGTTATGGTTGAACTGGGATCAGTTTTGGAGCTGCCTGCGCCGATCATTTGTCAGCAGCCATACAAGGTACTAGGACTGTTCCGGAGTCTGTGATTTCTGGTTTCTTAAGAAAAGTGGGTTACTAAGACAGAAGTAATATTTTTCCTGGCTTGACTGTTGGCCCCTTATTTTAAAACAGCTGTTCCTCAGACCTAACTTTTCTCTCTTCCTGCACAGCTGATTCAGGATCGGCAGAGGGGACTTAGCAGCAGAGTCAATCATCTATTAGATCCCTAATGACAGCTGGTCTTGAATCAGCATTACTTGGTGTAGCCTGCTGGTCTGTGTTTTTTGATCTTCCTAAAAGCAGCCACATAAAAAGGGAAATCTACATTTTTAAGAGGTTGTCTAGACAGGCATTGAGATGACAGTAATTCTCATTCTGTGATGATAAAAGAGGTTTTCTAGCTTGTACTGCCAAAAATAGAGCGTCTGTTATTTGTAGGAAATGATACAAAGAGGGAGCAATAGCAGGAGCATTTCCAGAAGAGGCAGAAGGTGACACAGCCCCCTGAAAATCTTCGGCCACCCCAAAATCCTGAACTATGATTTTGATATTTGCTTTATGAGAGGCAGGACTTGTGTTAAAATCAGCAGTTTAGACAGTGTTGCAACAAACTACTGGTAGCTGTAGCACTTCAATGTAGCATATTTGTCAGTACGCACAAGCTCATATGTAAATGGTTTGCTTGTGTTGTAACAGATTGAAATCTATAATTACACTTTTTTTGTCCTACAATAGCAAACCCAGGCCCTAAGGGACAAGACTGATTTTTTTTTCTTTGTTTTAATGCTTGTATGTAAGAATATGTTTATTTATCAGCTTTGTAATTAAATGTTGTCATCTTAGAGTCCCTTTAGTCTGCACAAAAAATACTGACAGGTTGATCTCTAACTATTAATATTTCTATTTGTTGGCTGAAAATAGCAGTCAAATGTTGTCTCAACTGTAAAGTAGCCAACCACCACTAGCCAAGGCTGTAGCTCTGGTTTTTTGCAACCGCTATAATTCTCCACTTATTAAATGTAAACAAGCACAGATAACAGATGGCGTTTTATAGCACTGCAATGTTTATCTATGATTTGCTCAAGAAACTGGAAGTAAAGTTATTGGGGTTGAGTCGGGTCACAGTGGTCAACGACTGTAACACAGGAAATATGGCAAACCAATGTGATACTAATTACCCACAGACTCTGTAATCTCATTCAGTGTGTAAATAAACTGTACACAGTTAGAGTTTATTTACCTTTAGACTAACTTACTAGCAGGAATTTTTTTTTGTTTGTTTTGTTTTGACAACCAGGAAAATGGTTGCCGTCCGTAAGAATAACCACCAACAGAGGCTGCTAAAACAGCCTTTGGCATTTTAAACACAGCACACTCAGATTTTCACGATAAAAAGTCCTCATCCACTGTGGTCACCAAAATGCCCACAAACTGAAGGTTCCTGACAGGAACCTTAAAGTGGGACCATGGAGCATCTTTTTGTAGAGATCTTTAGGAGCTCAGTTTAAAAGGTTTCTGTTGCCATCATCTTACTGTTTCAAAGATTTTGTTAAACATCTGTAAGCCACGTAAATACTACCGTAGATATGAGTTGTGGCATCAGAATGGGTTATATGTATTTGTGTATAAACCTACACATACGTCTTGCCACAGTGGTACATGTTATTATCTAAGTTTGGCCACCCCATTCAAAAAGTCTAGACACTTCTCAGGCAAAGCTCTCTGAAGCCACAATAAATAACAAGCAGCAGGATTTCAAAACTTTGTCTGGCCTTGACACCCATTTAGCCCATTTTAGACTTCTGCTTACTACGCAGTTCCTTGTCTCTGTGTGCCAAACTTCTTCCCTTCAGCTTGAGATTTTCTAACTGTCTTGCATTTTATGTGTATTATCTTGACAGGCAGTACAAAGTGATTAAAATGTGTTTCTGATGGTTTTTGCCCCCAGCTCCATGCTCTGAAAATGTTGTTTACACACACACACACATATATATAAATATATATATACTTTTTTTTTTTTTCAGACCAGAAATGTTCAACATTTAGCAGGGGTTGAGAGTTTTGCTCAGCATCAGGTGGATTCAAGCTCCCCCAAGCATAAAATGTTCATGAGCAGCAGAAGCAGTACATGTAAAAAGGTTTTTATCTTCTTTAACAACTGTTTCTGACCATGCTAGGATTATTTAAATTCATATTTCCAGCTGAGTTACATTCAAGTTCAAAGCAGCCTACTGGTACCACAGCATTGTTTTAACATTAGCAGTGTTCCTTAAGTGAGACCATTAGGTTTGTATTGGTATGTATTGATATTGCAGTGTGTGGCAGGTTTGTTGTGAGGACCCAGAAGCAGACACGGAAACAGAGATAAACTTGAAGTGTAATTTAATGTCCAAACAAAAGGGGTAGATAATGCAAACGAGGATGTCCGGTAGGCTGGTTGGCTGGCTGTCGTGTGGGCTGGAGACACTGCAGGAGAAACCAGAGGAGACGGGAGTTATAGAACATGAAAAGAGTCACGAGGAGCAAAGTTCTGGTACTGATACAAACAAGGTCGACCAGGAGAAGCGTCTTTACCGCTAGGAAGGGTAGACAATACTCAGGCGCTGAGACTGAGGGCTGCAGGCTTCTTAAAGTCCCTTGATTGGAGATGTGGAGCAGGTGTGTAGTCTCGCTCAGCCTCAGCGCCGGGGGAGGGGAGGAAGCTCTGGAAGAAAGTAAAGCCAGACAGGGAAACACAGGAAGTCCAGCCAAAATAAAACAAGATGAGGAGGCATCTCACCACAGTACCCCCCCCCCCCCCCCTTAACGAACGCCTCTTGGCGTTCTGCCGGGCTTATTGGGGTGAGCGACGTAGAAGTCCTCAAGGAGTTGGTGGTCCAGGATGAGGGAGCGGGAGATCCAGGAACGCTCCTCTGGACCGTACCCCTCCCAGTCCACAAGACATTGGAAGCCTCGCCCCCGAGGCCGCACGTCCAGGATCTTCCGTACAGTGAGGGCAGGGAGTTCGTCAATCAACCGGGGGGGTGGAGGGGCGACGGAAGGAGGGCTCAGGGTGCACGACGTAACAGGTTTGTTGGAGGAGTGCCCCCGCTGTAGGACCTGGGAACGTGCAACCCCAAGGACAAATGTTCTGTTTGGCGGGCCAGTTCCCGGGTCTGGGTGGTTCCGGAGGGCCTGGTCCACGATGGTGTCGATCTCCCAAGAGGTGGAGCCGACGACACAGGAGGCAGGGAGGATGGTGTCTGGTTCACTGGGGTCCGGGGTATCAGAGGAGTGGATCCAAGAGAGGGCGTCTGGTTTGAGGTCACGGGAGCCGGGACGACAGGAGATGGTGAAGGTGAATCGGCGGAGGAAGAGGGACTAGCTGGCTTGCCTGGAGTTGAGGCGTCGAGAAGAAAGGAGGTGATGAAGGTTTCTGTGGTTAGTCCAGATGAGGAATGGGTGTTGCGCTCCTTCCAGCCAGTGTCTCCATCTTTGGAGTGCCCACACAACAGCCAGCAACTCACGGTTTCCCATGTTGTACTTTCGTTCGGTGGGTGAGAATTTCCGGAAGAAGTAGGCGCAAGGATGGAGCTTCTGGGTCTCGGTATCCCTCTGTGAGAGGATGGCCCCCACTCCGGAGTCCGAGGCGTCGACCTCCACCATGAACTGGAGAGAAGGATCCGGGTGTCTGAGCACAGGGGGCGAGTGAAGGCAGTGAGAGTGGCAATGAGGGCTCCAGGCGGAGATTGACGCTGTGGACCAGTTGATCTGGGGATTGTGGATCTGCAGCCACGGGAGTCCAAGCACCAGGGGAGAGTGAGGAGAGGGAAGCAGGAACAGCCGGATGTCCTCCCGATGGTTACTGGAGAGGATGAGGGTGAGAGGAGCAGTGCAGTGGGTGATAGAGGCTATCACTCTGCCATCGAGAGCGGTGACCTTACGGGGGACCAGGAGTTCCTCCAGGGGGAGCTGAAGTCGCGCTGCCAGTCCGGCATGAATGAAGTTATCGTCCGCCCCGGAGTCAATAAGAGTTTGGAGCGAGGTCGAGCCCTTCCCCCACAGGAGACAGGCAGGAACAGCGATACGTCCGGGAGAGCTGGGAACAGAGGAGGTGTGGCTCTTCAGGGTGCCGACTGTCACTGATGCCTGGCCCTTTGACTTATTCAGGCAGTTGGCCAAAAAGTGACCGGCCTGGCCACAATAAACACAGAGCTTTAGCTCTATCCTCAGTCTCAGTGTCTGCATCTGGGTGTAGTTTGGTGCGGCCGATCTGCATGGGTTCCTTGGCAGAGGGTGCCGGATCTGGGAAGACTGAGGGCTGCAGAGGAGACCCGCTGACCGCAACAGAGGAAGGGGAGTCTATACAATGTACCGGGGAATGAGTTTTCTTCTCCCTCCGTCTCTCCCTTAGGCGATTATCTATTCTGAGGGCTAACGCTATTAGCTCCTCAAGGGAGGAGGGCTCATCTCGAGCCGCTAGCTCATCTTTCAATTGTTCAGAGAGGCCCAGAGTGAGTATCCCTTTTAACTCGAGTTCCCCCCACCCACTCTCGGCCGCCACTGTACGGAACTCAATGGAGTACTCCGCCACTGAACGAGAGCTCTGGGTGAGGGAAAACAACTGTTTGGTACACTCGGGGCCCTCGAGAGGAAAATCAAATATCTTCCGGAGCTCCTCTGAGAATAGGGCGTAAGAGGAGAACATAGGTGATTCCCTATCCCAGACGGCCATAGCCCACTTAGCGGCTCTACCTCTCAACAGATTTATTGTGTAAGCTATTTTAGACCAATCTGAGGGGTAACTAATGGGCTGTTGGTCAAATACTAAGGCGCAGCGGAGCAGGAAACCTCTGCAGCCCCCAATCTCCCCGGCATACGGCTCAGGAGGAGGGACATAGGGCTCTTTGAGGACAGGAGAGGGTGAAGAGGAGGCCGTACTCACAGAGGGGGGAGACCCAGATTGCTGCGGGGGTAGCCGGGAGAGGAGTTGATCCGCCAGTTGCGCTATTTGAACGGTGAGGCCCTGAAAGGCTTGGTTGAGGCCCTGGAGCATGTCCTCATGTTGACCGAGGCGAAGTCCGAGCTTTTGGATGGCTTGCTGGTCTCTGTCTGGGTCTGCTGGGTCCATTTTCCTGGCCTGGCCTATTCTGTAGTGTGTGGCAGGTTTGTTGTGAGGACCCAGAAGCAGACACGGAAACAGAGATAAACTTGAAGTGTAATTTAATGTCCAAACAAAAGGGGTAGATAATGCAAACGAGGATGTCCGGTAGGCTGGTTGGCTGGCTGTCGTGTGGGCTGGAGACACTGCAGGAGAAACCAGAGGAGACGGGAGTTATAGAACATGAAAAGAGTCATGAGGAGCAAAGTTCTGGTACTGATACAAACAAGGTCGGCCAGGAGAAGCGTCTTTACCGCTAGGAAGGGTAGACAATACTCAGGTGCTGAGACTGAGGGCTGCAGGCTTCTTAAAGTCCCTTGATTGGAGATGTGGAGCAGGTGTGTAGTCTCGCTCAGCCTCAGCGCCGGGGGAGGGGAGGAAGCTCTGGAAGAAAGTAAAGCCAGACCAGGCAGACAGGGAAACACAGGAAGTCCAGCCAAAATAAAACAAGATGAGGAGGCATCTCACCACAGATATGCTTGGTTCAGACTAGGTGAGATGCTTTTAAAATGATGACGCTCCAGCCAGTATGAGCAGTACTGTATGTTTGAGTTAATTAATTGCACAGAAAGTTCACAGTTGGACTCTTTCGTGATAATCTTTTTGCGATTTTTTAAAAACTGACTCCCAAGAAAGTCCATAACAAAGTCTAGGTCATTGTAAGTTCATTGTAAGAAGCATTGGTAAATCAAGCCCAAATTGCTTATGTTAGCCAAGTCATTACTAGCATTTTACAATTATTAAAACAAGGTTTTTAAGCCTCACAGTGCAATACAGATTTTTCTAGTATTTACAATAATATATAAGACTTCTGAAGGTGTCAGCGTTACATGGGTGTAACCTGACTTTGTCCATTTAAAAATTGACCTGAGGACTGTTACAATCAAAAGCCAGACTGCAATCTCAGGAGACAGAATGTAAAAGTGAAGATTTTAATTTTTTATGTTTTTCTCAGAGGGTTTTGGGTTTTCATTTATGCAGTGTACAGCAGCAGAGATGAAAAAAACCCCACAGAAACAGAGAGAAGGATCAAGAATATCTGGGTGGCAAAGCAGAAGTTTATCATTATGTCTTCTATTAATGCTAAGTGTAGCAACAGCAAAAGTCATAACTTTTATTTTGTCAGGGAGAGTTTATTGCCGGCATTGTAGCAGTTTGCTTTTACGTGAAACTTTTTAGATGGAGATCAGAAAGATAAACAGCAACTGATTGTTCCTGTTTCTGTTTTAGTCTAATGAAAAATGAAATTTCAAGACTAGAAACAAACATGCAGCTGGAACCTGAAGTAGCATTAGCCACTACGTCCCAAATGAAATGTGAGCTGTAATTTTCAATCACTCAAAACCATAGTGAGGGGTGGTACATGTTGAGAGGATTTTGAAATCTGTGTTAATGGGCAGCTTTTTATTATCCTGCTCCATTACTCTGAGGCCAAGCCCACAGTCCTCTGCAAACTCACACACACACACACACACACACACACACACACACACACACACACACACACACACACACACACACACACAGAGAAAACATACTGGCACTCAAATCTCTCAATACATTAGCGCTTCGACTGTATAACTCTCACAGCTTATACACACACACAGGTGTACACACACACACACACACAGACACACACACACACACACACACACACACACACACACACACACACACACACATACATTGCTGCCAGCCAGATTACAATACACTTTCTAATGTAAACCTCCAACGAACAGCAGTCTGACATGGACACTTGCTGTGAATAAAAGCACACTTTTACTTACATGATATAAATATGATTACCTATATCTAGAGAGAAAGAATATTATATACAGTATGATAATTAGAAAATAAAGAGTCACCTTTTCAAAGTGCTTGTGTTGAGTTCATTTTGTGTTTGACTGTGTAGGTGCTTGATATTTAGCTGTTGAATCCGCCCTTGCATGCTGCACACACAGATAAAAAAAATAATTTATTTACAGTTTTTTCCAACACACAATCTTGCAAACGAGTGTGGTTTTATCAAAATACACAATTTACAAAACCACACACCCAAACTACAAAATACTTCTTATAGCCTGCAAATGAAGCACTGCAACAAAAACTGCATATAGCATTGCCAAAAACAAACTTTTGCACCAAGTGGCACACACTTCATGCATATTACCAGATTGTTGTATAACCAAATACAAACTGTTGGGCATAATGTAAACCATTCCCATCTTTAGTATGCTTGCCATAATATGTAGAAAACTGTAGAAAATTCTTCAGATTGTTCATATGCACAGAAATATTTGCAATTGCACTCATGCTTTTGAAATATTTTGGTGTTCCCCAAACAGGACAGTGCAACATATGCACAGCAGATTTTTACATTGGAATGAACAAGAAAATGCTCACAAAAAACAAAACAAAAAAAAACAGTAAACTGAAAAAGAAAATTGCAGAAAAAAAATATAGGCAACAAAAATAATTAGGCAGCATCTTGCCACTCAGCTGGGTTTGGCCACAACGCCTTGTCCACATCACAGGCAATATCTTCCCTTGCCAGGCATCCAGGGAAGAAGCGCCTTGAGTACCCTATCCATACCTGAATCGCACCCACATTAATTTCATCACACGCCTCTTCCATAGCCTGGACAAAAGGAATGAGCACATAGGGCTGCCGGTCATATACTTTCCATCGCCAAGCCGAAAAGAACTCTTCTATCAGGTTCAGAAATGGTGAGTATGGTGGGAGGTATTGCACAAGAAACAGTGGGTGGTCACCAAACCAATTTTGAGCGGGGGCTGCACGATGAAAGCTCACATTGTCCCATACCTACAACGTACCAGTTTCTTTGATAGTCTGCATCATTCATACGCTCTAGTGGTATGATAATATTGTGGAGTCTGTCCAGAAATGTGAGAATATGGGCTGTGTTGTATTGTCCAAGGTGTTGCCAATGATGTTTCTTCCCCTTCTTCTGGTCTTTGATGGGTTGAAGCCAGCCTCATCTGTGAAGATGAAGTTATGTGGGATTGCATGAGCATCCATTTCCATTTTCCTGAAAACAAAGAACAAAAAGTCAATATGGTGTTATCCAGTGCACAGGAAAACATATTGCATGTAGTGTACTTCAGTCAATATTGTACTTCCATCCACATATGCGCGTCTGAGATCTTTGTTTCTTAGAGAATTTCTCTCAAAAGGCAGCTTATAAAGTTGTATCAGTCTGATTTGGTTTCCCTTGAGAGTGGGAGCCAATGTGGACAGACTAACTCATTGAATGTTGTTGAATATGGTATTATGGTATTGGTATTTCCAAAACCAAGTTTACAATGGCAGCTTCCTGTGCCCCAGTGAACATTCGGCCCCTTCCTCCACCATGGTTGCGTCTCTCAGTCCTTTAGAAAAATGGAAAAAAAAACATATATATATAGGGCTTGGACAATGTAGCCTTAAGATATTTCCCCAACAGAAGAGTAACATCAGCCATTCATGAAATCAACAGGTGTCACCTAACTGATACACTATGACATGGGGTTTATTGCATAGTAAGAAGAAAGAAATTTTGGTTACATACCTGTGCTACAGTCTAAATGTCCGGATGACAGAGGCCACAGTAAAATGGCTCAAAACAGGCTGCACTCTCTGTCCAGCTTCTCACATTGTCAGCCCATGGTTGATGACATGATCAACTAAGGTTGCTCTAATTTCATTTGAGTTGTTGTCTTCTTTGGCCATGAAATCCTCTACCGACTCTACTCCTACCTCTCACTCTTCCTCCCCCTCTCATTCTCACCCTCCCTCTTACTCTTACTCTCTCTACAGCATCTTCCATAGTTGTTGTAAAAGAAAGAGGTGGTCTTTTTAAAGTGCTTATTTCCTGATTGAAGTGTTATACAGTGTTAACAATTAAGCATTCAGGTATTTGGCCAGGTGGCATTTGGTGCCATTTGAATTGCAAAATGTGTGTGAAGCAGAAAATGTGTTCAGACTTTTGGAGACGTATGAGGAGGTTTTGCTCTCTGTGTGTCAGTTAAAATAATTGTGATATGGATGTCATTTTAGTGTGTTAGAAATTGGAAAAATCTGTAATAAGCAGTCTCTTCACCACACTAATCTTTATAAGCATGATGACCACATGAAACAGTTGTTCTGTACCAATACTGGTATTAAGAATATATTTGATATATATTTTAATATTCCTTGATGATCCAGTTTTGGTAGGTACCAAGTAGATACCATAATTCATGACCCATGAATTACAAATAGCTATAAATCATTTCTTAGAACATCAATGAGAACTTTTTTGACATCTATGAAATACAGTGAAATTCAAATTGAAGCCTTTTTGTCACGATATGTTCTGTTTATTGAGTTTTTCCCTGCGATTTGAGTGTATTTTCCCTAGTGTTTCTGCGCCCTATTGCTCCTGTTCCCCTGTAGTCCAGTCTTGTGAGTTTTCAGTTTGTGTCTGACCCTGGTTCCCTCATGTTCTCAGTGTTTTATTCCTAATATCAGTGTTTGCGGTTTTATTCTGTAGTAGTTTATTCCCTGTGTTTCTAGTCTTGTTTTACTTCCTCAGTTTTCCCTCCTTAGTAGTTGTGTTTCTGTGTCTCACCTGCCTCTCGTTGCTTGTTTCCCTGTGTGTGCATATACAGTCCTTGTCTTCCCCTGTTACTTTGTCGGTTGTTGTATGCCAATGCCCCTGCGTGTATGCCAGTGTCTTCAGTGTCTCCTCGTGTTTTTTCCCCCTGTGCATTTTCTTGTTTTTTTGGATTTTTGAGTTCGACATTTACCAGTAAGTTTTTGTTGCTTCTTGTTTAGTTCTTGTGTTAAATAAACCCTTTTTGCCATCCTGCATCCTCTTTTTGTTTGTTTGTTTGTTTGTTTCAACCAGGATTTTGGCACTTTTAATAATATCCAAATGCAAACAAGACTATCAGTGGGAAGAATGGCAGAATTTTCCTGTAGTTTTTAATGTCTGAAACTTGTGCAGGAGAGTAGCCAAGTAGATCAAGAAACAGCCCTGTTTTTTATATTTACTACTTTACAAAATTCTCACAATAGTTGATTAATTTTACTGTCTTAAGTCAAATTTAAAATAGTTTTTGTCAGAAGACACTGAGCAAAGGACAAGATGAGCAAAGACTGCTTTGTCAACAGGGGTTGCCAAACCAAAAGTTCCTCACAGGAGCTTTAACTGCTCCAGCAAAGTAGCTTAAAGATCATGATGGTCTGTACTGCCACTCTGGGGGTATAATGGCTACAACTATTGTTTCAGCTTTTAGATCTTTTGATTTAACATTGGAAGAAAGTGTAATATTAGTCAGAGATCATGTTTACATGCACAGGTAAATTGAGCTACAGTTGTAGCTCAATTAGATTATCTAACTGGTCAACTGTTCTTGACCCAGTTCACAAGCTCCTGGTAATTATTGGCAGAAGAGTGTCCAGTAGGTAATGGCATGCCCTCTATCAGCCCTTTACCACTGGGGCTCATGTGTTAAGTGTAGGGCTGCAAGCTAAGCTGCCATTCATGCTAGCTTGGCTTTATTTTGGTGCAAAGCCTCTCTTTAGATTAGGATGTCTGCACAGTCTGTTGGTCCTGAGTTTTTAAAAAGGAATCGAACTAAAGCTGACAGCTCATTTGCCTCAAAACAAATATGCCTTGCAGTTAAAACAGTTGAAATAGGTAACAACATTTGGACAGTAAAACTGTGTCATTCTTACTCTATTAAACCAGGACAAAGTAAGATAGGTGGGTCAGATAAAACTCCTGAACACTAAGTCATATCCACACCAGGATTTGATTAATCTTAGTCTTTACTGGGAAAGGAAGATACTGTATCAGAACATCTGTAATCTAAAGCTGCCCAGTATGGATGATAAAACATGAACATATAGCATGCACTCTCTCCACCTCTGCTCACATGCAGACATCTGTAGATGTGTATCAGCTGTGCTGTATGAACTGTTATGAATAATCTCTCCATTAGTTAACCCCTGTGTTTATCTCTGCAGCCACCTCACAGATGTCTGAATGACATAAAGGCTCAGAGAGGGAGGAAGACAAGAGTAAAGATGGGAAATTGGAAGAGGAGAGAAACAGTTAATGAGGAGACAGGAGGGTGTGCAAAATTTGAGGTGTTTGAAGGTGATAAAGAGACGGGAGCTTTAAGAAGATTATGTGTGGATGACTGTGTACGTGGACAGCGTGTATATACATACATAAGTGTATGTGTAGGTTAAGGTCTACATGAGCTGATCTCTGGCTGTGCACCGCATTTCTTGGAAATTCTGCTTTTGGAATGGATCCATCTGATAGCATCCCTGCATCACTAATGTGCACTGTTAATCCATGTGTCACATCAGGTGGTCCACATCTGTTCACCGAAAGTGTGCAGGAGCCACTGATCAAACAACTATGAGGAAATATGGGTGAGTAATTTTAAATCTAGTAGAGGCTTCAGGACAAATCAAAGGGGCTGAATATTGATCAACCAAGAATAGAACTGACTGATGTAGCGATTTTAATTTATAATAAATGTCCTAAAATAATAGAATTAAATTATGACATTCATGCACTCGTTGAAAGGGCACCACCCACCCTTACCGGTGGGAAAAAGAAAGAAAACAAGGTTTAACTGAGTAATCAAACGTTGAATCAGTCTTCAACAGATTTAAATCAATCTCACATCTGAGGCCGGAATTCTCATTTCAGGAAATTCACTTCTGGAAGGACCACTAAGAGACGACAACTTAAAATAAATGGATATTTTTTTGACAAATGCTAGGTGATAACATAAATTCAATAAATGATGATAATATAATAAGAAAATAAAAGAACACCTAATGGAAAAATGAAGGAATGGTTTGAATTGAGTTAAGACTGGTGGTTAATGATAGTGAGTGAATAAGGAAAAATTTAACCTACGTTGACAGTGTTAGGAGGATACATTTGGAAGAGAAATTTGGAGAAACAAAACTATAATTAAGAATATAAGCTACTGAATGTCTGACACATCACCCAGCTGATACAGCAGTGTTGAGGGGTTTGCCTACTTATTTGACGCCGGTTCTCAGCGGGCAATGTTAGAGTGGATCAGCTGAAGTTCCAGGCTACCAGTCGGGTTCTGGGTTCGGGGAGGAGTTCTCCGCCGACACTGGATCTGATGTCACACTCAAGCACACAGCACAGGCCCCTGTGGCTACCTCAGCGCTCCTGTCTCTCGGAACCGGGTGGCAAACGCAGCTCGGCAGATGATGCGGGTTGGTCCGTTGGGCGTTCAGAATTAGCTTTACTGCAGATTAATTCGTGCCAATTACTTAAGAAAATCATTTCACTGGCCAGCCGATAATATTTTCAGGACTCACTTTAGCGAACTAAACAAAGTAACAAACTTAGACTTAAAGAAACTTGGGAATGGTTTCATCCAAGTTTCTGAAAAAGTCTGAAAACTTAGGGTGAATAAAAAATTGCGGAAAAAGATACACAAGACGATGAAGACTAGGACAAAAATGCCAACACAGGAAAAACACAAGAGAAGAAGATGATAAGAGCAAAGATGGTAAGAGAGTGAACAGCGTAAGCTCAGCGCCTTTAACCCATTCGTGTGGGGCGTGTACTAAAAGGGGGGCCCATTGTTCACTGCACGGGCTGATCAGGCTGGCAAGCAAATTAATTTTGACTTGTGGGATTAATAAGTGAGTTAGATCTAATTTACTGTCTCACTTTGATTAATGCTTTTTATCAATCACATATGATATAGTTTCACTTCATAGTTTCTTATGAGCAGGTTCATCAAACCATAACATTAAATGCAAGGTAAACTTTAATCACCCATTTTCCTGGTAGTCTGTAACCTAAGGATTGAGAAGCTCTTTGAAAGTTAGGGATAAAAACCAAATTATCTTTTCTTACAGAAACACCATCAAGCATAAGAAACACATATGTGATAACACTTAATTGGAACATAATCTTGTCAATCTGTACTTAATAAATGATTAAAATATATATTCTGATGAGGTATACAAACTTAGCATTTAAATGTTCAAAACACTCTTAACTCATGTATAAAAGAGTTTTCAGTTACTATAACTAATATTGGTAACTTATTTTGGGAAAACCATTCACTAAGACAAATGGAACAAAGGGCTCTATTTTCGTGCCCGCTGACTGTGCCGCGGAGGGTGGTGGACCCCGCGCAGTGGTATTTTTGTCTGGCGGAGCCCGGTGCACAGCCAGTTTGGTATTTTCGTGGACTGAGGCACACCGAGGTCCGCCAAGCTGGGCATGGTGGCGCAGTAGGGGTCGACAGAATCAGCTGGCACAGTGACATTTTTGTGCTCGCCAGCAGCGTGGAAAGTGCGCTGAAAGCTCGCCGTTACAAACCTGGTCAGCTCTCAGCACAGGCAGAGCACAGCTGGTCTAGTGGTATTTTGGTAGACTGGCGGCGTAGTGCACCTACGTCACCGATAGGGTTGGGTATCGAGTGTCGATGGGGACCGGGACTAACATTTCGATTCTTCCGGTATCGTTCAAATATTAAAATTTCGATTCCAAGTTTCGATGCCAGAGTCCGCCGACCGGAAGAAATAGCCGCTGAAAATCAACGAAGAAGAAGCCGCTTAACACCAATGAGGACGGAGCGTATGAGACGAAGCCACACAGAAAGTGAAGAGAGACAGAGAGAGAAAGTACATTGCAACCCACAGCAATGCAGTCGCTGTGGGTTACAATGCACTCTCTCTCTCTGTCTCTCCCCTCTCTCTCTCTCTGTGTGGCTTCGTCTCATACGCTCCGTCCTCGTTGGTGTTCGGCAGCTTCTTCTTCGTTGGTCAAAAGTTTGGCTAATTTTAGCAGGAAGAATTAACTGTTATCTCAATGCAACATTAGCAATACAGTTATGTCATGCAAAGGAGGGTAAACGACCAACATGATTAAACACCTCAGGATTCATGGAGGAGAAATACCCGAGTGCTCGTCTTTGACGCGCTTCGCCGGTGTTGTGCCATAGAATGCACCCCTGCCGTAGAATGCACCCCTGACGGGAGCGCGGTTGAAAGTACACAACAAGGAGAAACAATCCAGGTTTTCCTTACCGTTGAACGGAATCTAAAGCGTGTGCCTTTAACGATTTCATTCAGGCTATTCAGATAAGCTGAAAACAATAGTCCTCTGATTCAGAATATTTGCTGTCCCGAAAATATAATGTTCTCTATCTTAACAGCTTACTGTACAGTTTATATACCCAAGTACACCTCTATGTGTGCATTTTTGAGACACATTAAAACAGAATGAAAGTTTACTGCTCCATTTGACATGTTTTCATGATCTAATACTCGTGTGTTTTTTAAATATGAGATCATTGTCTTCCACTTTCAGAAGCTAATGAGAGGAGGGGAGGCATTCTACGGCAGGGGTGCATTCTACAGCACAACACCTGTCTTCCGCTAACCAGTCAGGATCAGTTAAGTGAAACAATAAATTACTTCTGTCCTCTGCTAACTTTGAAGCAGCAAACAAATCGTACTGTGTACGATGATTAAACTTAAATATCCAACTAACGTTAGCCCTTGTGCTTTTTCATAGACAAACGACCTGACAACAAAAATTGATATTTATATACTGGTTGAAAATAGCCCTGTGAGAAATTCATAGTGAAGTTCTTAAAAAGTTAATATGATTTAAAAATTCATGGAGAAGTTCAGAAATTTCATCCAAAAAGAAGAGCTCTGGTTAGCGCCCTCATTCAAACCATGCTTTTTTTTTTTTTTTTTTTTTTGATATCCTGCCTTTTAAAAGAATCGAAATAGAGAATCGATAGGAATCGGAATCGGAACGAGGAATCAAAATCGGAATCGTTCAAAATCAAACGATACCCAACCCTAGTCACTGATGCCTCACAGGCACTGTTTCTACAGTGTCAGACACATTTCAGTGCAATAAATAATCAACAACAACCAATATTCTGAGTCAGCACATACATTTAGATCGATATTGATATATTCTGATCTATATCTGATCTGATGAGTGCATTTGGCATGCGTTTGGACACACAACCTGACTGAATTAACACAGCTGAAACCAAATTAAATGAAATAAAAAATTTTAGTAAGTAGACACACATGATGAAGTTAACAAGACATGTAATTCGTCTCTCTCCTATTTCTTTCTTCCTCTTCCTCTTATTTCTAGCACAGCTCGACCTGGACTTGTCTCTGTGTCTTCTCCCTGTCCTGCTGCTGCAGTGGCTGAACAGATGATTTGTTTCAGTGATCTGGGGCCTCATGTATCAACGCTTGCGGCGCAAGAAAACCTTGCGTACGCCAAAATCGGCGCACACGTCCAGATTTATCATCGCGAAACGAACGTCGGTTCCAGCGCTAATCAACGCAAAGTCAGGAGGTGGTGTAGAAATTGGCGTTGAGCAGATACTTGCGTTGACTGTGATTCGCACTTTGGCGACGCTATGTGGCGGTGTTTGGTGACTCACTATGTGACAAGCGTGCACCACATCCCCGTGGCCGAGCAGCACGTCGCCCCACATGACAAACCAGCAGCAGACGGAGGGATGCGAGCTGATCCCTGCCGGGCCGCCGTCCTCGCGCGGGAGAATCTCATCGCCACAGTGTGAATGGGTAAGAAGTGAATACACAGTTCAATGAGCCAAATTAATTTATTTTCTCCACCAGACACTCGCGGGGATCAACGAGCCGGTCCAGCCGCTCGTTGATCCCCCTGATGATTTCTTCCTGCGATTGCAGGACCGCCTCCGCGAGGACCCTTCCACTGCGTCCGGGTGGTCCAGCGGAAGCGCCGCGGCTGGTGGACGCTCCACCGCTTGTCGGCGCGCTGATGCTGGTGCTGGTGCTGGGGCCGGGGGCCGGGGTGGCCCGAATGCCGCTGGTCCTGGCCGACGACTCCGAGCCGGCGGACGGGCTGCCGCGGGCCGGGGTTCCGCAAGCCGGCGACACAGCCGACACATTGATTTCTGTGACACAATAAAAATATTGGTTCATTTCAATTCCTGCTTCTGTGTATCTGTTGCGTTTACATCTCTCTCCACGGTATCATAGGTAATGTAATCCAGTATTTCGAGGTCAGTTATGCACATTACAGTTGTTTATTGCATAAAAAGTTATCGAAAAATGAAGTTAAGGGCGAAGTATAAATCACGTCTAAAAATAGACTGAATCCCGACGTTGAAATGAAGTAAAAACTTAGACTAGACGTCTAATATACGTCTTTTGCTCAGTGGGATGACAAAGCATGTGGACATTTGTGTGACACGCCACTTACCCTATAATAATAATCGCCACCACCCGCTGCTCAAACGGTGTGAGGGTCTCCTCCCCCGGACCCCCACCTGTCTGGCCAGTACTCCTCCGGAGGGCAGCTGTACGCCGCTTGACCTCCACCTTGAGGTCCGACCACTTTTTTTTAATCTTCGGAAGTCTCGGAACCCACCGCATTCACCCTCTCGCAAACTTTCTCCCACTCCAAGCGTTTTTGTTTTGCACTGACGCCACTGGACAGGCTGCCAAACAAAACACGCTGTCGCTCCTCCACCTCCGCCACCAGCACCTCCACCTCGCACGCCGTAAATTTAGTTTTTCTTGTCATTTTGGGAGACCCTATTTAAATAAATCTGCATATTTATAGGAGGGCGTAACGGGGGCGGGCCCAGTCACTCCGACATCTGCGCTCAATTCCACGCTGATTGGGATTTATCAAGGAAACACACGTGGATTTCGGCGCCCGCACACATTGATACATACAGATTTTTTTCAGCGTGACGGACCTTGCGTGCGCTCGTTTCTGGTATGAGTTCCACGCAAGTATTGATACATGAGGCCCCAGATGAGTTATTTACTTTAAGCCTACATACGGATACTATAATATTTAGTTGCGTGAGTTAAATTTATTTCATATGCCAACATCAATGAAATAAAGGGCCAGGCCACGGAGCGCAATACGTCATTTACGCACAGATGGTTCCGATTTTAATGCCATTATTGGAATTTATGTTGTGATCTGTGCGCACAACCCACCTTTGTCACGTGAGGTTTGAATATATGCAACTTTTTGTGATTGTCTTTATTTGTGGAAAAGGATGTTTGTCTTACCAGTGGGTCCAAACTTACACAAATCCATCTGTGCTCATACGAGAGTGCGGAGGACGCCCTCTGCAGCACTTACAGTGACACTTGTTGAGGGGCTGCCTTCTGTCGCCATCGTGTGGCATTGCTGTCTTCAGCCATCTCTTGATCTCTTTGACTACTTTGCAAAAATTGTAATATGCCAGTGGCGGATTTAAAGGTGAGGAGAGGAGCGGTTCTGATTGGTGAAAACAGGTCTCGGCTGTGTTAAACCCACTCCATGCTCTCTACGACTTACGCCGCTAGGAGGAGCTGAGTTAGGGTGGGGGGATACTTATGCCGGGCTGTGCGGCTCAGCAAAATACCAAAATGTGCTTGGGCAGGCCTTGTCGGCGTGGCAGACCTGACTTACGCCACGCCTGTGCCACGCAGCCGGCGGGGAATGAAAATAGAGCCCAAAGACCGTGTCACTGCTGATGTTGTGTACAGATAGAAAATCCTGGTTATGTGTCCATTAAACCTGAAATTATACCATTTGCAGTTATTCTCTTTAGTCTGTACCTAAAGAGAGTCACAGGAAAAGCAGCCACTCTGAGGATTTATGGCTGTGGTCTGTTTCACAGATGAATGCTTTTGATGCCCTCTTGAGTTGAGTTCCCATGATCTTCTAGGGTACTGTAACCCATGTTAAAATATGACATAAATAAGAATAAATAGTTGAATAAAAACTGCATATATAAGTTTGAAAGTTAAAAGTGACTAATTTAATGTCAATTAATCATCAGAGATAATTAAAAATTAAAAGTCTGCTGACAGAAAAAGACGTCGCTGCCCCTTTAAGGGACCAGCGACACAGACGCAGCACCTCAGTGACGCTGCAGAAAGAGACCTGAGGGAGAGAGCAGAGGAGGAACCGGAGAAGACGAGCAGTTATTAATGAACAGAAAAAGCAGTGAAAAAGTTGATAAAACAGTTGAAAACCATAACTTACTTGGTCGGGAACTGACAGGGATTTTATGAGAACTAAGCCACATCGGTTTTGGTGAGTTTTGTGTTTATTTTCATGCATTTTCACCGTGTTGTACTTTTTTTCTCTGGCAGAAAGCTAACACTAAAAACGTAACTGTTTACAAAGAAATACTCCATCATAAACTGTTATCCAGTTAATATTTTAGGTTTATAAAGACTGTTAATGTTATAAAAGTGCGTGTAAGCTGTGTAAATAGTAGATTTGTGCAGTAATTAGTACGGGAGACGGAGCCGTGAGATAAGAGACCGCTCCGCTGCCATTTTGAGTTGAAAAACACCGTAGCAGTAAAGTTACAACTCGGAAACTGTGAAGCATTTAATTTTGTAATTTGAGGATTTAAAAAGAGTTTTATTGTGTTTATGGCCTGTTACACAGGTCAGGTTTTTTGCACGGTTGGAAGCTCGGTCGGAGCGAGGATCGGTCTGCCATGTGCAGGCATGCACATTCACAGACGGGATTCAAGATGGCGAGCCAGACCCAGACCTTGAACTCATCTTTCCCATCACATCGTGAGGGTGTCTCCTGCGTGTGGTAACTCCTTGCGAACTCCTCCTAACTCCTTGGGAGATCACCTCTTGGTTAGTTTCCCACCATAGACTGTATATACTATAGTCAACTTGGTTCCGCCTCCCACCTGTATACGGATTTGAAGCCAAAAAGCTCTCGGTATTTCTGTGATTTTTCTTCATTTCCTGAAACCAGTGTTGCGCAGTAGTGTTGTGCGCATTCGGCGGGAGAGTCACCAAGAGTTGCTGTGATGACGCTCGGCTCAAACAGCATACCCCCAGGTGAGCTATGCAATCTTCGTACGCCCATAGCCTGTCCCACTGAGCAATAGAGGGCTATTAGACAGCTAGTTGTTTTTTAGATCCAATTTCAACTGTCTAGATTCTGTATGTTTTTAGATGGAATCTAGACGATGCACCTTAACCCATTATTTGATAACTATTTATTTCAAAAAGCAAATGTGAGTTGCCTAACTGATCTCCATGTACTTAACCAAAATAATTATGATAGCCGTTGAGCAATATACAGTGTAGTATAGATATAGCCTAGGTTTAGACTTGGTCTAAACTTGGTCTAAATTTAGACGTCTGAAAAACTTTAATTTTTTTAGCCTGATTTTAGATCAGTCATCTAGGCTACATTTAGACGTCTATTAGACCTTTTTTAGACCAAAAAATGCTGAGTGGGTGTATCAAGTGTCAATCATAGAAAACATGAACCCCCTAATAACTTTTAAAACTGGAGCTGCACAGAAAAAAGAGGACTTGAGCACAAACCAGTCTTACAGTAACTTCACATCAACACCGCAAGCAGGGGGGGGGGGGGGGGGGTGTATATTCTGTGTAATAAATTTCTAAAGTTTGTTAACAACTCCATAAGGATTGCTGGAGGAGGTGGGATTTATGTTCTATACTGCAGCCTGCCAACAGAGGGTTCTGTTCTTGCGGAGTGGCTTCACCGAGCGAGGAGGCAGATGCTGTCCATTCTATATACAGTCTATGTTTCCCACAGACAGGAGGTTGTAAAAAGACCATGGTTTGGTGTGGAAATTCACCCCCAATCTCCTTTGAGTGAGTAGAGTCACTGCATTCCTTTAAGGGTGGATTAAAGGTGAAAAAGCAGAAACCAGTCATCTCGGCTGCACTGAAGAAAAGAATTCCCTATTTGATTATTCAACCACAACTTCATGAGTGGGTCTGATTCAATTTCCTTTTTTCAGGGAGCATTAAGCAACAGTCTCTGGAAGTGCCTCTGGAAACAAAAAGACAGACCTACAACCAATCAGAGCACTTTGGCACCATTCTTCGATATCTCAAACTTCGAGGTCTTTCCATTAAAACCATAGACTGTATAAACTATGGACAACTTGGCTCTGCCTTCTGTCATTATACAAGTTTGCAGCCGAATTGCTCTCTGTATTTCTGGGATTTTCTCCACTTCATGGAACCATCTCTTGCACCGTGGCGTTGTACGCACTCCACCACTTGCACAGTAGCATTGTAGGCATTCGGTGGGAGAGTCGCCGAGAGTCACTGTGATGACGTGCTGCTGCTGCTCAAATAGCATATCCCCAGGTGAGCTACGCAATCTTCGTACGCCCATAGCCTGTGTCAAGTGTCAATCATAGAAAACATGAACCCCCTGATAACTGTTAAAAATGGAGCAGCACAGAAAAATGAGGACTTGAGCACAAACCAGTCGTACAGTAACTACACATCAACACTGCAACCAGGGGGAGAAAAATGTATATTCTGTGTAATAAATTTCTAAAGTTTGTTGACAACTCCATAAGGATTGCTGGAGGAGGTGGGATTTATGTTCTATACTGCAGCCTGTCACCAGAGGGTGCTGTTCTTGCGGTGGCTTCACCCAGCGGGGAGGCAGACACGTCCATTCTGTATACAGTCTATGATTAAAAACAACTTTTTACAATATTTATTTGCTTTATGATACATTTCCATTAGCTTTAAGCATACTGTAGGAGCCAAGTTTGAGTTTGTATCATAGACTGTATATACTATGGACGACCTGGTTCTGCCTTCCGCCTGTATACGGATTTGAAGCCAAAAAGCTCTCGGTAATTCCGGGTTTTTCTCCACCTCCTCGAAACCAGAGCTGCGCAGTAGCGATGCGCGCATTCAGCCGCGCAGTCGCCGAGAGTCCCTGTGATGACGCTCGGCTCAAACAGCGAATCCCCCATAGGCTGTACCAGGTGTCAATCATAGAAAACATGAACCCCCTAATAACTTTTAAAAACAGAGCTGAACAGAAAAAAAGGACTTGAGCACAAACCAGTCTTACTGTAACTACATGTCAACATCACAAGCAGGGGGGAGAAAAATGTATATTCTGTGTAATAAATTTCTAAAGTTTGTCCACAGCTTCATAAGCTTTGCTGGCGGAGGCGGGATTTATGACCTGTACTGCAGCCCGTCAACAGAGGGTGCTGTTCTCGGAGTGGCTTCACCCAGCAAGGAGGCAGACTCTGTCCATTCTTTATACAGTCTATGGTTTGTATTTACATAGTTGACCTTTTAAGTTTGTCTGCGCCCTCCACAGGTGGGGAGGGCACTCGCCTATAAGTAAGGGCAGCTGACACATGGCCACATGATGGCTCACAGCACCTACTATCATTGACCACAGGCTTTAAATGCTGTGATTTATTGTTTAGAAAGCTTTTGTTACTCATTTATTTTATTCATTTATTTTTGCAATAAAAACAACACAACTTTATCCAGCTCTCCAGGGGTTCATTTTTTGAAAGTTTGCTTGTATGATGACGCTGTGACGATGTTGAGATAGAAGGGAAGGGAACTATATCCAAGCTGCCATGTCTCCCATCCTGCTTCAAACAGCCTCCATCTATTTGCAAAACATGGTACTCCTGTGTCATCACCTTACAGCGCCTGACTTATTTCCAAATGTAAGACTTTTATTGGTTTAGCTGGAGTCCTTGAAATGGTCAAGAATGTCAAGCATTCCAGATGCACCAATAATCACCAACCCTTTTCTCAGTTTTAAATTTATAGCTCTTAAAATTAAACATTATTAGAATTGTACCATAGATGATAAGTCTCAAGGTCTGACACCATCTATCAATTCCTGATTAGTCTGTTGAGGGTTGCATAAGGCTGTGGCCAACTCCAGCTGTTACTGGGCTAGAGGTGTAGTACACACTAACAAGTTTTTGCACTTTGGAAAGAAGCCAGTGCGCCTAGCTGGAAAATCAGACACAAGAAGATGATTACTTTTAAAGTGCTCAAAGGACTTGCTCCAAGCTATATTTCAGAGCTTTTAATACCTTATGAGCCAACTCGCAGACGAGCGGACTGACTAATGACCGATTGACCGAAAAGAACGAAATGAACGGGTCTTTTTACTGAACGACCCGGAATGATCCGGTTCCCTGAAATGACCGGTTTTGCCCACCACTAGAAAACTCACTTTTACAGACTTGCTTTTGTGTGATGCCGTCTTTTACTTTTTTCTCCTTTTTCTTTTATCTCTTTTACCTCTATCTTATTTCGACTTGCTATCCTTTTAGCCTTTGTTTTACTTATAATCTTTTCTTATTTTATCTCTTAGGTCCCTCATTGATTTTAATGTTTTTCATTATTCCATTTTATCATTTATGTAACCATCATTATTATTTTATTATGATTTTATTATAATTATTAATATCCTCTTTTATACTTACTAGCCTGTTTCCTGCTTTCTGCCCTCCTTTTCTAATTCATTTTTTGTTTTTATTCTGGTCCTCATGATCCCATTTTATGTTGTAGGGTTCTTGTATTGCCTGGGTTTCTTATGAAAAATGAAACTGGCCTTCAATTCAGAGGCCTTGTTTTTAACTGAGCTTTTGTTTTTATTTTTTTATTTTCATGTGCTGATGTTCTGTGCTTGCAACTGTTGTCAAAGCACTTTGTAAACTTCTGTTTTTAAAGGTGCTATATAAATAAAGTTATTATTATTATTATTATTAAGAAGATCATGCTATCTCCTCAAAGAAAGGCCCAGCAAGGATTTGACAGTGTTGTCACAGTGCTAACTACTTCACCACCATTTGAAAGTACCCCAGGTCAAGAGTCTGGTAGGTAAGTTAAGGGCATATCAATCTTTACACTGTACCATTTATCATTGGTAAAACTGTTCCCACCAACATGGACACTGTCAAATCTCTGAACCCACTGGCCACATCCAAACAACTTACAGCTGCCAAATGACAGGTCTATGTTTTCATCCCTGACTGTGATCACACATTGATGTGTGAGATCAACATGACAAAAATGAAATATGGGCTGCAATATCAAATAATGCACTTCCTTATTTGCCACATTTCTAACTCTATAGTGTTGTTCTTTGAGTCAGATCTGTTATTGAATGTTTCCATATGATAGTGTCCCATCGGGACCAGGAGTTTGTGCTTAAAAAGGGTGGATTTAGTGAAAAGCTCACTTTCATCTGATGAATATTTATAGGAGTGACGTCACCTATAGAGCTCTGCATCATCGCCATAGAAATGAGTGGATGACGGGATTATGGGAGAGTCTCCGACACACTGGGATTTTTCTGCCAGTCTGCTTTTATTCCTTTTTCACTGCTTCTACATTTTCAATTTGTTCTCTCTCAATCTCAGGGTTATTGTGACCATTGCCCACATTTCATTTCTCCATTTCCCTTTTTTTTCTTTTTTCCCCTTTTCCCCTTTTACCCTGACTCTCTAACATGTCCGCCTCTCAGTGATCCTCTAAGACATTTCCCCCTTCTGCCTCATTTTCCTGTCTGACCACCCCACCCTCCTATCGAGAAGTATGCTACTGTGGTAATTGCTTTCTTCAGCTCCATCGGCCCAATAAGAGCAAATGGGCCCTTATACTAATAGCCCATAAAGACATGAAGCAACTCCCTGCAGGAATGAAACATCAGATTATTTTACAGTGCTGTAACAGACAGTCAGGGTTCACATCTACAAGATGTAAAAATAAAACAGGAGTAGGTGTAGAGCGTTATTTCCTCTGAATACTGAAGGTCAGAGAGTTTATTTAGGACAAAAATATTGAAAAATCATTCTTAACAGCAGGTTCAAAGACATGCACACACATACACTAATGCACAAACCACTTGTACGTACACACAACTACAAGAATCTGTGTTTGTGTGTGTTTGTGTCCCAGTTGGATGCCACTCTAACAGCTGTTTGTGACTGAATGAGGCTCTGAGGGAGAGATACTGTTGGCTTTGATATCCTAATTATCTATCTATCTATCTATCTATCTATCTATCTATCTATCTATCTATCTAAACTGATGTTGGTGTTTTAGGCTACACATTCATGATAGCATGTGCGTACATGCTGTTCATGCAAATGTGTGCTTAAGTATTTTCTTGAATCAGGTTTATTATTCTACAAATTCACCATGCATGTTATTCAATGCTATATTATAGATGCTGTCATTGTAATTAATGTTTGTCAGTGTTATGATCATAAAACAAACTGTTGTGATGTTCATGTTTACTAAAGCTGGAATAAGCTTGAGTCCTGATTTAAATAAAAACCAAAGCTAGAGAAAGCCATAGTGCAAATATTTATCCAAATGAAGCCAGAGTTAACCAATGTGATGATGATAGTCAGTCAGTCCAAAGCTACAATGAGATGTCTCATGATTACAAGGCCAGTTATCATGTGGCCTGGTATAAAGCATAAATTAAACTATGCTTTTATTTTGAAGTTAACAATTTCTGGTAGATCAAGAGTTAGAAAACAGACAGAAAGAAACAGTTAGTATAAATGTTCAATTGATTAGTAAGTTAAAAGGTACCAGCTTTGACATTGATTTTGCATACACAATAAATCTTTGAATGTTAGTTTTTAAGTGTTAAATTATGGGGCTGATAGAGGTAAGTTGCTAGCAGCCTGCTACTACATCTGTGTGTGTCCTTTATTGAAGAACACGTGGCAACCAACATAATTAAACCACTACTATGTACTCAGGGTGTTGCTTTATGCTTATTTTGAGTAGGTATTAATAAGTAGATTTTTTTACAGTTTTTCTCAGTCGCTTTGGTGCATTTCTCACATCCTTATTAACATTTGCACAACAGTTGGTGCATTTCTCAGACCAATTAGTACAAACTGCTCACTTTGGAATTCTACAGCATTGTACAAAAAAAATTCACAGTCACTTATTTTGAACAAACAGGAAATACCATTTTGATAGAGCTGTGCTCAAATGTAAACAATATAACAGTACATGTACGATGTACTTGGCCTCTTCTTCCTCTTCCCCTGTTTTGTCCCCTTCCCCTTCCTCCCTGCATTCTCACCCCTCCTCCATGACACTGACCTTCCATTTTTGTGACACAGAATTGTAGAAATGGTACACACTATCTCATGCTTGGTTTATATATGCTTGCAAACTGAGGGTTCATGGGATTTGGCTCTAAGTGACTATTGACAAGTGGCTTGTGATTCGTAACCACTAGTGCTTTACACACCTCCTCATGAGTTAAAGCTGAGGTTCACATGAGAGCAATTGTTCAATTTAGGAGACATTTTCAGGAAAAAAAATGATAAAGAAATGTATGAAATCAGCTTGACAGATTTTGACAACTAGTTCAACAATTTTGTTTGTAATGACTCAAGCATTGAAATAAGGATTGTTACTTTTAAAATGACTATTCGGGATTCATAAGTATGTTTCATTTTGACTGATATGACATAGGCAAATGATAATGTTATAAACAGCAGAGAATTGTATGAAAGTAACTGATACATGTCCAAGAGCGTTTGCAATTTGTTCAGAGGAATGGGAGATGATGTGCACTAATGACTAAATGTTGTGGAGGTTGAACTAATAGTTGTGAAAACTTTCATTCTGATCTGAGAAATGCACCAAAGCAACTGAGAAAAACTGTAATGATACAGTTACTGTCTATACTGGTGTATTGTGACAAGAAGCTAAAAAAGACTGAGATACACCTGGTCTCTACCATATGACTCTACCAAATTGACACTGGGCTGTAAAATAAGCTTCCATGCTTCCTTCAAAACACTTTACAGCCATAACTTGATGATGATTGCCACAGTCTGAACTTGAAGACAAATAAGCTTGAGATCAGTGTAGCAAAAACTTGTGCAAGTTGAGCTTTTAGGACAAGAGACACTTCTGATCTATGAGAAGGACAAACTGAGCGAAGAGCACGCTGAACCATCGCCACTGACAAAGAGAGCAATAGTGTGTGTGTGTGTGTGTGTGCGCGCGCGCGCTTCTTGAGTGGAGTAACACAATGGCAATCTGCAGTGTGAAAAAAAAAGAAGCCTTGGAGCCGTGAATGCTGCTCAAGCAGAGAGACAAGATGGAGAGAGTGAGAGCTGAAGGGGTGGATGAAAGGAAAGGACAAAACTAAATCAAACATTCAACCTGGCATTGCTGCGAGGCCAATCATTACATCTCAGTTCATTTAACATTTTCAACAGCATTATTAACGAACCCAGCAAAAGGACTTATGGACCAAACACCAGTTAAAAAAACAAATATGGAATGTAGCCACTAACCGCTTGGCTATGTTGCCGGATTCAAAACTTGTTTTGCAACATGTATAAGCATTTGTTGAGACATGAAAGATGAGCTAACACCAACCATGTGATGACACAAGGAGCTACCATCCTTTTTGATGCTTGAAGATAAATAGTGTTTTACATCAGTGATAGTAATCTTGGCTGTAACAATCAGAGTTTTAAATCCACACCATATTGGAGAAAAATTTGTCACTGACCCTCTGAACCACAAAGGGGAACATCCTCTGTGTTAGGATTCAGATTTTAAACCACTTCACGGTTACACCATACAGCCATGAACTGTAGTATTACAGTTTTTCTCAGTCACTTTGGGGAATTTCTCACAACACTTTTAACATTTGCACAACAGTTAGTACATTTCTCAAAACAATTAGTACAAACTGCAAAACCTAGTTGATAACCTGCAGGAGCATGTCACTTGCTCAAAATGGATAGTTTGCTCCTCAAAAGCAAGTATGGCAGTGACAGTGTCAGTGTCATCAAAATGAAAACTCTTGATACCACTGTTTCTGAACCAGAAAGTCAAATGGCTTTGTCATGTTTTCATTATGACAGTTTACATCTGCGAGTGTTTTCAAATACAAAAAAAGTCAAATCTTGGTGACACTACCTGAAAATGCTAAAGACAGCACCTTACACTATTTGCAGAGTCTCTTGAAAACTCCAGTAAAACACATTACTGTATTTAGTGGGTAACTCTATAACAGCACTTTGTGTTTCTCTCAACCTTATGGCATTGTTTGCAATCACCATTGTACAAATGTCTTCTTCTTGTTGCTAAGTAAGAAGGGTCCCTCTTCCACCTCTGTGCGGTTGTCTCGCAATCTTGTGTGGCGCAGAGTAAAATCACAGTAATGTACAGTAAACATAAGATATGCGGCAGGGGGAGGTGTCGACAGAATATGCTGGCGCAGTGACATTTTCATGCTTGCCGCCAGCATGGAAAGTGCGCTGAAAGCTGCCGATTCAAACCTGGTCAGCTTTCAGCGCAGGCGGAGCGTAGCTGGTCTAGTGGTATTTTGGTAGACCGGCGGCGTAGTGTGCATACGTCATGCCTCACCAGCAGGTTTCCACAATGTCAGGCACATTTCAGTGCAATAAATAATCAAAAACAACCAATATTCAGTGCAACTGTCTGAGTCAGCACATACATTTAGATCGATATCGATATATTCTGATCTATATCGTTTCTAATGAGCGCATTTGGCACGCGTTTGGGCACTCAACCGGTCGAAATAACACAGCTGAAACTGTGTTATTATTAATTAAATACCCAGTAAACAGTCACACATGATGAAGTTAGTAAGATATTTAATTCCTCTCCCCCTTTTTCTCCTTCTTCCTGAGGCAGCTCGAACCAGACATGTTTCCCATCCCCGTCCAACTGCTGCTATGGCGGCAAGGCTGACCAGGGGCCTCATGTATCAACGCTGGCGGCGCCAGAAAACCTTGCGTCCGCCAAGATCGGCGCACACGTCCAGATTTATCATTGCGACACGAGCGTCGGTTCCAGCGCAAATCAACGCAAAGTGAGGAGGTGGTGTAGAAGTTGGCGTTGAGCCGATACTTGCGTTGACGGCACTTTGGCGACGCTGTGTGGCGGTGTTTGGTGACTCACTATGTGACAAGCATGCACCACATCCCCGTGGCCGAGCAGCACGTCGCCCCACATGACAAACCAGCAGCAGACGGAGGGATGCGAGCTGATCCCTGCCGGGCCGCCGTCCTCGCGCGACAGAATCTCATCGCCACAGTGTGAATGGGTAAGAAGTGAATACACAGTTCAATGAGTCAAATTAATTTATTTTCTCCACCAGACGCTCGAGGACATTTACGAGCCGGTCCAGCCGCTCGTTGATCCCCGCGATCCCCCTGATGATTTCTTCCTGCGATTGCAGGACCGCCTCCGTGAGGACCCTTCCACTGCGTCCGGGTGGTCCAGCGGAAGCGCCACGGCTGGTGGACGCTCCACCGCTTGTCGGCGCGCTGGTGCTGATGCTGGTGCTGGTGCTGGGGCCGGGGGCCGGGGTGGCCCGAATGCCGCTGGTCCTGGCCGACGACTCCGAGCCGGCGGACGGGCTGCCGTGGGCCGGGGTTCCGCAAGCCGGCGACACGGCCGACACATTGATTTCTGTGACACAATAAAAATACTGGTTCATTTCAATTCCTGCTTCTGTGTATCTGTTGCGTTTACATCTCTCTCCACGGTATCATAGGTAATGTAATCCAGTATTTATAGGTCAGTTATGCACATTACAGTTGTTTATTGCATAAAAAGTTATCAAAAAATGAAGTTAAGGGCGAAGTATAAATCACGTCTAAAAATAGACTGAATCCCAACGTTGAAATGAAGTATAAACTTAGACTAGACGTCTAATATACGTCTTTTGCTCAGTGGGATGGCAAAGCATGTGGACATTTGTGTGACACGCCACTTACCCTATAATAATCGCCACCACCCCCTCCTCCGGAGGGCAGCTGTACGCCGCTTGACCACTTTTTTTTTATCTCCGCGGGGGTGCGTGTCTTGGAACCCACCGCGTTCACCCTCTCGCAAACTTTCTCCCACTCCAAGCGTTTTCGTTTTGCACTGACGCCACTGGACAGGCTGCCAAACAAAACACGCTGTCGCTCCTCCACCTCCGCCACCAGCACCTCCACCTCGCATGCCGTAAATTTAGTTTTTCTTGTCATTTTGTCTGTGTGCGAGGACAGGGAGACCCTATTTAAATAAATCTGCATATTTATAGCAGGGCGTAACGGGGGCGGGCCCGGTCACTCCGACATCTGCGCTCAATTTCAAGCTGACTGGGATTTATCAAGGAAACACACGTGGCTTTCGGCGCCCGCACACCTTGATACATACGGATTTTTTTCAGCGTGAGGGACCTTGCATGCGCTCGTTTCTGGTATGAGTCCCACGCAAGTGTTGATACATGAGGCCCCTGATGATTTATTTTGGTGATCAGATAAGTTATTTACTGTGAACATTTGAACAAAAAAAATTAAAACAAACTTTCATTTAAAATTACCTGTTTATCAAATGTCCTCACATCCTTAAAATTCTGCGAATATTCAATAAGGAGTCAGGCCCACATAAGAGTATTATAATATTCAGTTACGTGAGCCAAGTTCAATGAATGTTGTGATCTGTGCGCACAACCCACCTTTGTCACATAGGGTTTAAATATATGCAACTTGATGTGATTGTCTTTATTTGTGGAAAAGGGTGTTTGTCTTACCAGTGGGTACAACCTTACACAAACCAAGTCCCTCTGTGCTTATATGAGAGAGTGTGGAGGACGCCCTCCGCAGCGCATTCAGCGACACTTGTTGAGGGGCTGCCTTCTGTTGCCATCGTGTGGCATTGCTGTCTTCAGACATCTCTTGATCTCTTCAACTACTTCACGAAAATTGTAATACGCCTCGCCGGCGGCATATTTAAAGGTGAGAAGAGGAGCTGATATGATTAGTGAAAACAGGACCCGGCTGTGTTAAACCCACTCCACGCCTTCTCTCCTTTCTCTACTACTTACGCCGCTGGGAGGAGCGGAGTTAGGGAGGGGGGATACTTACGCCAGGCTGCGCTTCTCACCAAAATACCAAAGTGTGCTTGGGTGTGCACGCCTTGTCAGTGTGGAGGACCTGACTTACACTGCTGATTCTGATTCATAACTGTAGCCCTAATTTCATCAGGGATCCACTTATGTCTTTGGCCTCTTCTTCCTCTTTCCATGTTTTGCCCCCTTCCTCACCCCTCTTCCACCATGCTGAACTTCCCTTTTTGTGTTACAGTATTGTAGAGATGTTACACACTATGTCCTGCTCAGTTCATATATGCTAGCCAAGTGAGGGTTCATGGGATTCTGCTCTGGTTGACTGTTGACAAGTGGCTTGACATTGGTTACAAGTAATGCTTCAAACAACCCTCCTCATGAGTGAATGCTGAGGTTCACCTGAGAGAAACTGTTCATTTTAGGTCAGAGACATTTTCAGGAAAATATTATAAAGAAATGTTTCAAATTTGATCGATTGATTTTGAGAACCAGTTCAACATTTTTGTATGACATGAGGAATGAAATGAGGACTATTAGTTTTAGGAAATGACTGATTAAGTCATTGTGAAAAGTATAGTTCATTTTGACTGACATGACATAAGTAAATGATAATGTTATGAAACAGCAGAGGATTGTATGAAAACAGTTGATGCATTTCCAAAAGCATTTGCAACTTGAAGAAAGGAATGAAAAACTGCTGCTATGATGTGCACAAATGACTAAATGTTGTGGAGGTTGAACTAACTATTGTGCAAAGGTTAATAGTAATGTGAGAAATGCACCAAAGTGACTGAGAAAAACTGTAAACAGTTCAATAATGCCTGATACCCAATACCAAGTGCAACTATTGCCACCCATCCATCCTAAAGCCCCACTCGGTACAGTCCATATTACCAACACTTATCACCAACACCCCCTTGCCATGAGTGATATAGTGTGTTTTTTGTCATTCTTTTTATTTTACTGATGTGCCTCTTTAGCCAGAAATATAGAATTTTCTTTCCACTTTCCTCCCTTCTGCAATAAGGCTTTACACGAACTGTAATAAAACTAGACTCACACCACCACTTTTTTCCTGGCATTTGAATGCTGTATATTGTATATAGTTTTATTTTTCTTCTCCCTTTTTCCTTTTCCTAATTTTTTTCTTAATTATTACATTTATTTCAGTTCTTAATATTACGATCTTTATTTTATAACTGCATTTTTGCACTCTTTGTCTGTGATGCTGCTGTGACAAAAAAATTTCCCCCATGGGGGATCAATTCTATTCTATTCTATTCTCTTTGTCTTACTTTTTCCTTAGTCTTTTAAGTTTTCCGCCATGTGTTCATTCACATTGGTTGATTTTTCTTTAACATCGTCTTAGATCAAGTTTTACTGCCAAACTCATGTGAGGAACTTTTTGGATTTGTCAACTGTGGCGCCCCCTGTGGATAAAGTAGTCTCTGCTCAGCTTGTCTGCTACATGCTTGAGATGGAATTTTTTACGTCACTGTTGTTGCTAATGGTCTTGTTTACTTTTGAACATTATTAGAAGACATTATAATGAATTTCAGTCAATTTCATTATTGTCAGACACTCCCAATGGAAGCCTTTAGCACATTATTTGCATTCACACCAGGGCCTATTCTGAGGGAGACATGGTGCTCAAGCATCAGTCGCTGCAATCTGAGAAGTCTTAGAGATTGACTTCAACTCTATATGTTGCATTTAGAGGCCTCAGAGATTGATTGCTCCCTTTTTACAGATAAAAAGTCATGAATTATATTAATTTATGCCAGTGTGGCAGAGACCACCACCTTCTCATCCCAACCCCCCAAAAGAATGTAAGGCCTACATCTGCTTACCGGAGACAAGATGGTGTAAACCTTTAACACCAAATCACAATCCTTCTACAACCTCCTGTCTCTATACAAGATAACCAAAGAAGCCTTCCCAAAAGGACAAACCTTCTATCCTTTCTACTTCAAAGAGACAAAGACACTGTTTATGGCCAGCAGGAAAGAACTGCAGGACCACTCAATCAGATAGACATCTGTCATCACACCTTGACTGGGAAGCGTCAGGTTTATCAGTTCAGCCATGAATCCTAAATTTGGTTGATCTTCCCTGTGCTCTCTGTGAGTACAATCCAAAGAGAATAACTACAACTAGTCCAGTTACAGGTTGGATGGACACTACACTATGATTTTCTATCAGTGCTCAACATGTGCAGTAAAACAGTCTTTGTCCCATTTGCCTATCATGTTCATAAGCCAAGATCTCACACTGACAGAATAAATCCTTCAATCACAAAGTTCCTTAAGATCAACAGCTTTCCAAACTGTTTCATGAACTTTTAAGAGCTGAAGTTATTATGTTTGAATTATAACCCTATTCTAGTAGGAATAGTGTAGAAATGTTTAGTTTATCTCTTAATCATTTGTTTATCTTTATTAACCAGTAGGTAGTTATACTGTTAGTTAATAATCTGAATGTTGGTTTGTAGAATCCATTATTACCTGTTATGAAGTTCATTTACATGTGTTTACCTTTGTGTTATTCACAGTTCATATGTGTTACTATCTATTTCATTTTAAAGTAATTTAACATGATCAATGTTCTTTGAAAAGTGATACTTAAAGCATAGTGAGAATGTTTGTTAATGTGATTCTACAATTCTGTACATGTGTTTAGCATAAAATCCTTTATTATGAACCAAGCATTCTTTAACATTAATCATAGTGAGTGAGTATTTGATCTGACTCCTTTACTAGCCAAAGTATAAGTTGGGTCAAACAATCAGGGCTCTTGAAAGTCTCCTCTCAGGAAGCTGCAGCTGGGGATCAGGACCCCCTCTTTTCTCTCCTCACACCTCAGAGACACTCCCAGTTTGAAGAGTATAAAACCAGTAAAGATGGTATGCTCACTCTCTTGCTTTTGCCCTCTCTCTTGCCTTTTGCTCTTCACACCCTTGTTTTTCCCTTTTTTTTCTTTTTGTTTCTGCTAAGTTTCCTCTTAGCTTGTTTTCACTTCAGACCTGTGGCCCTCACTTCTCATCTGGTGAAGACTCTGGAGAGGATCGTGCTGAGGAACCTCCACCTCCTGGTGAGCTCTCATCTGGATCCTCTGCAGTTTGCGTACCAGCCAAACATTGGGGTGGACGACGCAGTCATCTATCTGCTGCAGAGGTCCATGGCTCACTTGAAGAACACCAGCAGCACTGTGAGGGTCATGTTTTTTGACCTCTCCAGTGCTTTCAACACCATCCAGCCTTCACTGCTCAGGGGGAAGCTCGAGAGGGCGGGGGTGGACTGTCACCTAGCCACATGGACCGCAGACTACCTCACCGACAGACCACAGTTTGTGAGGCTTCAGAACTGTGTGTCGGACATGGTGGTCTGCAGCAGGGGGGCTCCACAGGGGACAGTGCTCTCCCCCTTCCTCTTCACCCTGTACACCTCGGACTTCAGCTATAACTCTGGGAGCTGTCACCTCCAGAAGTTCTCTGATGACACAGCCATCGTCGGATGTGTATCGTCAGGGGATGAGCGGGAATACAGGACTGTCATCACTGACTTTGTCAACTGGTGTGGCACAAACCACCTCCAGCTCGATGCCAGTAAGACAAAGGAGATGGTTGTGGATTTCCGCAGGAGGAGGACACCTCAGACTGTTCCAGTGAACATCCAGGGTCTGGACATTGAGATGGTGGTGTCCTACAGATTACTGGGTGTCCACCTCAACAATAAACTGGACTGGTCAACCAACACAGACATCCTGTACAAGAAGGGCCAAAGTTGTCTCCACCTGCTGAGGAGACTGAGGTCCTTTGGAGTGTGAAGGACTCTGCTCAGGACTTTCTATGACTCTGTGGTAGCATCTGCACTTTTCTATGCAGTGGTCTGCTGGGGGGCAGGGAGCACCAAGAGGGACAGGGAGAGACTGAACAGACTGGTCAGGAGGGCCAGTTCTGTCCTAGACTGTTCTTTGAACTCCCTGGAGGAGGTGGGTGAGAGGAGGATGTTAGCAAATCTTGTATCCATCATGGACAATCCCTCTCACCCACTGCACCAGACTGTGGGGACTTCAAGCAGCTCCTTCAGCAGCAGACTTAGACTCCCACCTTGCAAGACGGAGCGCTACCGCAGGTCATTCCTCCCTTCTGCAATAAGGCTTTACACGAACTGTAATAAAACTAGACTCACACCACCACTTTTTTTCTGGCATTTGAATGGTGTATATTGTATATAGTTCTATTTTTCTTCTCCCTTTTTCCTTTTCCTAAATTTTTTCTTAATTATTACATTTATTTCAGTTCTTAATATTACGATCTTTATTTTATAACTGCATTTTTGCACTCTTTGTCTGTGATGCTGCTGTGACAAAAAAATTTCCCCCATGGGGGATCAATTCTATTCTATTCTATTTTCTTTGTCTTACTTTTTCCTTAGTCTTTTAAGTTTTCCGCCATGTGTTCATTCACATTGGTTGATTTTTCTTTAACATCGTCTTAGTTCAAGTTTTAAAACTTCAACTTTTTGTGCGCATAGCAATTCAAGATTAAGCCTTTAATTGATTATTCTTTAATTTCACAAAGCCATTTTTTAAATAGTTTCAACTGGTCATCGAGCCTCTTTTCCTTGGTTATCTGTGTGACTGCCTAGTCACCTCTGAACGCAACCCAGCAGACCCAAAGTCATCCTCTGAGCCAGTGTTGCAGTGAGGCCGAAGAGCACCCAAGGGATAAATAAGGCACTGGTTTTTCCATTCAGGCCTGTGTGCTGTGAATCCTGGCCTGTCCTTTGTCTGACTTTGGTCCTCTTTAGAGCTGAACCTCTTGAACCGGTAGCCTGGACCTTCGGAACCTGCTCCATCCTCTCCAAAGACCAGCCTCACTTAAGTATCCAAACCTCCAGAGCTCCAAACAGGGCTGATGCTGTCTCATGCATTCGTGATTCAGATAACTACATCCAAATTTATCTTTACACCAAAGTTAATGTAGGTTTATATGTTAGAGCATATTCATTCACTATCATTAACTTTAGTAATCCAAGCCTGACTTTGAATCTTTAATTCATCTGTTATCTATATTTATCTTATCCTCATTTATTACATGGATGTTGAACCATCATTTATCCTGTTATAAACAGATCATTTATTTTTCTAAGTCCCAGTGTGTTAGTGTTCTTCCAGAAGTGGAGTCCCTGAAATGAGAAATTCGGCTTTAGTTATGGGGCTCTATTTTCGTGCCTCGCTGGCGACGTGGCACAGGCGCGGTGTAAGCCAGGTCCGCCGCGCTGATAAGGCGTGCCCAAGCACAATTTGGTATTTTGGTGAGCAGCACGGCGTCAGTATTCCCCCTCCCTAACTCAGCTTCTCTCAGCGGCGTAAGTCGTAGAGAGGTCGTGGAGTGGGTTTAACACAGCCAGACCTGTTTTCGCTCCTCTCCTCTAAATCCGCCACCGGTGAGGCATATTACAATTTTCATGAAGTAGTCAAAGAGATCAAGAGATGTCTAAAGACAGTAATGCCACATGATGGCAACAGAAGGCAGCCCCTCAACAGGTGTCACTGTAAGTGCTGCATTGGGCGTCCTGTACACTCTCTCATATAAGCACAGATGGATTTGGTGTGTGTAATGTTGGACCCACTGGTAAGCAAACACCCTTTTCCACAAATAAAGACACTCACATCAAGTTGCATATATTTAAACCCCACGTGACAAAGGTGGGTTGTGCGCACAGATCACAACATAAATTCCAATAATGGCATTGAAATCGAAACTATCTGTGCGTATATGAGGCATCATGCTCCGTGGTCTGGCTCTTTCTTTCATAGATGTTGGCATATAAAATGAACTTGGCTCACAGAAATGAATATTATAATATTCATATGTAGGCTTAAAGTAAATAACTCATCTGATCACTAAAATAAATCACCTGTTCAGCCGCCGCAGCAGCAGCTGCAGCAGGATGGGGAGAGGACAAAGAGACATGTCCAGGTCGAGCTGCGCTCCGCCTGAGCTGAAAGCTGACCAGGTTTGAATCAGTGAGCTTTCAGCGCACTTTTCACGCCGGCGGGGAGCACAAAAATGTCACTCCGCCAGCTGATTCTGTCGACACCTCCCCCTGCCGCGCCACCACGCCCAGCTTGGCGGACCTAGGTGCACCTCAGGCCACGAAAATACCAAACTGGCTGTGCATCGGGCTCTGCCAGACGAAAATACCACTGTGCGGGGTCCACCACCCTCCACTGCATCACCAGCGGGCACGAAAATAGAGCCCATGAGATTAATTTAAGATTTGATTAAATAATGATTAAATTAATGTTTGATTTCTGAATTAAACTTTTGTTTTTCTTTATTTTCCCACCATTAAAGGTGGGTGGTGCCCCTTTTCACAAGTGCATAAATGTCATAATTTAAGATTATTATCGAATTTTAATCTTAAGACATTTATTATAAATTTAAATCTCTACACCAGCAATTAAGCTTATTTGCATAAGTTATGACGATGAAAAAATAAACATTCAAACATGTGGTTGAAAGATTAAAGTTTTAAATAGCCAGTACCGATAGCGATATCAGTACTAGAACCGATAATATAAGATATTGCCTTGCTGATGGCCAACATATCATGTGAATGTTGGATAGTTATTGTTTTTTGCATTTGACAACATACATCAAATTTAAAAGTGAAAAATTGAAATAGCTTTCTTCTATTAAATAAATGTGGACAGAAAAAATCAAAAGTATCCTTCAAAATTATCGCTTCAAGAATATAAAACGCGAGGTCAATATGTGGGTTAATATAAACAAAAGAAAGTCATGTTTAGACTGTAAATGCTGTCAGTGGTAATGAGAAAATGTGTTTCATTTAGAAAAGGTATTGGTGATGGCGGCCTGATGCTGGTATGATATGATTAAGTCGAAATGCCATGAGTGGGTCCAACTGTTTGTGTATCTCTAATCAAAACAAATTTTCTGATCTGTTAATCCAGGGCCCCTTTCCTCCAGTGGGGCCCTGGGTGGTCACTCTCTCTTTCCCCACACTTCTGTGCCCATGATCCACACATTTTCACATGCAAGTCCACAATCACACAGACACACGCATTTTAGAGGGTATAATTGTTTTCAAGCAGCTCTTTGATGGCTGAGTCACTGAACATGTCCAGTATCACATCTTGATAAGAAGAACATCAGTTTAAAGGCAGCAGCTGTTTCCCTTTCATCCTCTCCCACCTCTTTCTCCTTCTGCATCTCTCTATCCTCCCACTGCTTTCACAATGTGCACTAAGCCAGAGAAGATAGGGCAAATCCCTACTCTGAGCAAAACAGGCTGGAGAGAGAGGAGCAGAGCATGAGACACGAGAGAGAAGAGCAGGAGCAAAATGCTTCCTCAAACACTCCTCTCTCATCTTTCCTTTCATTCCTTCCATTTATCACCATCCAACCAATCAGCATGCAGCCCCTGCTAAACCATCATCCCCCAGTTTCACTGTGATATTATTGACTTCCTCCTGTGTAAGTGTATGGTCCTCTGTGTGTGTGTGTGTGTGTGTGTGTGTGTGTGTGTGTGTGTGTGTGTGTGTGTGTGTGTGTGATATCAGGGAAGGTTCCTGCTTTCTATGTTTCCTTCTGGCTGATCGTGCTCCTTCACCTCTCTTTTCAGCTGTTTGATCTCTCTGTCGTAATGATACACACTTGCATCATGCTAGGTTAGCAAAAATTGCACTGGTCTTTAGGCTGTCATGCTCAAAATGTGTTTTTACTGTTGAAATAAGTTACAATGAGTTTTCTGGTTGGTTCCCTGCTTTAAATTAACTCCATAAACTTGAGGTTTGGTATTGACAGCTGTACCCTACTGCAGGGCTCTAAAGTTTTGAATTAAGCTTAGAGTGAGATTTCCTTGGGGGGGGGGGGGGGGGTGAAGAGTGATTGAACATAATTATTAGTATAATAATCTCTTAAATACAACGGAGTATGAGGGCCACATTAAGAAAAAAAAATGTTTTTAAATCTTCGAGAATCACTAATAAGTATAAAGTATAAAGTCGTAAAGTTACCTGTTGTGGAGGAGAGTTGTTAAAATCAGCACTGTGGAGCATTTAGATGAATTGTACTTTCGTATAGGTTTCACGAACATGGAGATACTTAATCCTTTGGTACATGAGCATTGCACTGTCATGAGTATCAGTACTTTAAAAAGAAAAATGTGAAATGTGAATTCACTGTTACTGTGTGTATGAGGAACAAACACAGATGGAACATATCTTTGGTTTCTTTTTGACTGAAAGGAATATGATTTTTACTAAAAGAAACATTGATAAGAATATGAAGAGTCAGTGGACACTTCATGCTAAAAAACACAAAAGATGTCCTGTAGTGTTTTTTTAACTTCAACTTAGTTGTTTGTATTTACAGTTAGATATCTTAGACTGGATCTTATCTTTTCCTAATACCTAATAAGGATATCCTGAATGACATCATTTAAACTATTCATATAAAAACTTTCAACTCCAGTGAAGTAAAGTTAAATGTGTTAAAAATGGAATACAATGATCTTCCACCTAAATACATCTGTATACTCTTCAAAGACATATAATGTACAAACTAATAAAATTGACATTTATTTATTTATTTTTTAAATATTCACTCATTTTCATTTTGATACTGTAACATGGTCCAAAAAAGTTGGTTCAGGGTTAACAAAAAATTTAAACTGAGAACTGCTCCAGGAAAACCTGTTTGGATCATTCCACAGGTGAAAAGATTCAGTGGAAATAGGTGAATGTTATGATTGAGTATAAAGGAGCAGCTCTAAAAGGCTCAGTCCTTCACAAGCAAGGTGAGCAAATAGTCCAACTGCAGGAATTTAGAGATTTGATCATCTACAGTCCATAAAATCATCAAAAGAGGTGTATCTGGATAATATTTTTGTTTGTTCTGAGTCATGAGATGAGCATGTAGAGCATCTGTCTACTGTGTTTGGTCATCTGAAGGAGGCAAATTGGACAGTGAATTTTTCAAAGTGTGAGTTTGGGTAGGCAACAGTAACTTATCTCAGTAAAGTGGTGGGGGGTGGTAGGGTTTGCCTTGCTCAGGCAAAAGTAGAGAGCATTGTGCCCTTCCCTGTTCCAACCAACAGAACCAAGCTACAACACTACTTGGCCATGGTGGGTTACTACAGGGGGTTCTGTAAGAATTTCTCTGCTGTTGCATCTCCCTCAACTGATCTTCTGGATCCACAGGTAAGTTTCAAATGTTCTGATTCTTGCCAGTTGGCATTTGAGCAAACAAAGAGTTTACTGTTAACTGCACCCGTTTTGGTAGCCCCTAAATTCGAACAGCCATTCAAATTGACTATTGATGCAAGTGACACTGTTGCTGGTGCAGTCTGTCAACAAGATGGTCCTGATGGGGTTGAGCATCCAGTTTCAGACCACAACTCACAAGTATTCTCAGGTCAAAGTTTAAAGTGGTGGTCTGGGGGTGTGTAAGTGTCCACGGCTAACTGTCACATCTGTGAAGGCTCCATTAATGCTAAAAGGTACAGACAAGTTTAAGAGCGACATCTGCTGCCATCAGAGCCCCGTCTTTTTTAGGGACATCCCTGACGATTTCAGCAAAACAACACTAAGACACATTCTGCACAAGTTACAACAGTGGGGCTTCAGAGTCAAAGAGTCCAGGCATTATAAAGTCCAAAATACCCCAACAGAGACCCTTGACTGTAGATCAGTGGAAGTGGTCCATCAATCAAGACTGTAAAAGCATTCACCTCCAAAATTTCAACAGTTAGGGCTCTATTTTCATGCCTCACCAGTGGTACGGCACAGGCGTGGCGTAAGTCAGGTCTGCCGCACTGATAAGGCGTGCCCAAGCACAGTTTGGTATTTTGGCAAGCGGAACAGTCCGGCGTAAGTTTCCCCCCTCCCTAACTCAGCTCCTCTCAGTGGCGTAAATTGTAGAGAGGGCGTGGAGGGGATAAGGCATGGAGTGGGTTTAACACAGCTGAGACCTGTTTTCACCAATCACATCAGCTCCTCTCCTCACCTTTAAATCTGCCACCAGCGAGGCGTATTACAAAACCCAATTCCACTGAAGTTGGGAAGTTGTGGTAAATCAAAACAGAATACAATGATTTGCAAATCCTTTTCAACCTATATTCAATTGAATACACCACAAAGACAACATATTTAATGTTTAAACTCATAATTTTTTTTTTTTTTTTTTTTTTCAAATAATACTTAACTTAGAATTTCATGGCGACAACACGTGCCAAGGAGGTTGGGAAAGGTGGCAAAAAATACTGAGAAATTTGAGGAATGCTCATCAAACACCTATTTGGAACATCCCACAGGTGAGCAGCCTAATTTGGAACAGGTGGGTGCCATGATTGGGTATAAAAGCAGCTTTCACCAAAAATTCTCAGTTATTCACAAGCAAGGATGGGGCAAGGTTCACCACTTTGTGAACAACTGCATGAGCAAACAGTTGAACAGTTTAAGAACAACATTTCTCAAAGTACAATTGCAAGGAATTTAGGGATTTCAACATCTACGGTCCATAATATCATCAAAAGGTTAAGAGAATCTTGAGAAATCACTGCCCGTAAGCGGCACGGCTGAAAGCCAACATTGAATGCCTGTGACCTTCGATCCACTTCAGAAAACCACTGTCAGTAAATACAGTTTGTTGCTACATCTGTAAGTGCAAGTTAAAACTCTACTATGCACAGCAAAAGCCATTTATCAACAACATCCAGAAACCCAGCCGGCTTCTCTGGGCCCAAGCTCATGTAAGACGGACTGATGCAAATTGGAAAAGTGTTCTTTGTTCTGACGAGTCCACATTTCAAATTGTTTTTGGAAATAGTTGACGTCGTGTCCTCCGGGCCAAAGAGGAAAAGAACCATGCAAAGTGCAAAAGTCAACATCTGTGATGGTATGGGGGTGCATTAGTGCCCAAGGCATGGGTAACTTACACATCTGTGAAGGCAGCATTAATGCTGAAAGGTACATACAGGTTTTCAAGCAACATATGCTGCCATCCAAGCAACGTCTTTTTCATGGACACCCTGCTTATTTCACCAAGACAATGCCAAGCCACATTCTGCACATGTTACAACAGTGGCTTCATTGTAAAAGAGTGCAGGTACTCGACTGGCCTGCCTGTGGTCCAGACCTGTCTCCCATTGAAAATGTGTGGTGCATTATGAAGCGTAAAATACGACAATGGAGACCTTGGACTGTTGAACAACTGAAGCTGTGCATCAAGCAGGAATGGGAAAGAATTCCACCTTCAAAGCTATAACAATTAGTCCCCTCAGTTCCCAAACATTTAAAGGGGACCTGCCATCAAAATGTAATTTTGTGTGTTTTTTTTGTCAGATAAGGTCCATATTATGTTCGTCTTATGTTGTAAATGTGAAAACAAACCGTTACGTCGTTTGCATTCTGTAAAGGTTTAAAATAAAGAACGGGTTAACCAGGCCAATTGAAAAAGCAGGTCCCTCTGACGTCGCGCTGACCTTGCTCATTATTATTCACGAGCGCGTCCTCGGTGAGCCGCACCCACTCTCTCGTTCTCGTACTCATTCACAGTCAACATCACTCTCCAGCCAGAGCGAGACCCAGCTACCGCTGTATCCGCTATGGGTCTCTTCCAAATGACCGGTGTTTTCCTGGGTTCACTGCCAGGAAAATGAACTTAAAGCTGGGCAGAATTAATGAGAAAACACCGCTGGAGATCTCCCGCTTCTTCTTCAACTTCCACCTCCTCTTCGGACTCGGGGGCTAAAATATATGGTTTAATACCTGCCATTTTTAGCCTTTAGCATAAGGTGACCAGAGGTCCCCGATTTCCGGGGACAGTCCCCGTATTGGATGACCTGTCCCCGGCAAAAGCTGTCCCCGAAAAGGCCCCCGATTTAAGCGTTTCATGAATGAGAGCAAAAATGTTGCGGGTGGGCTCGAACAACGGTTATTACAGTACAATAGGTAGGAAGCACAAGTAAGCAGTCCTGAACAACAGTTTTTAAGGGGGTTATTACAAGGGGCATGTGCTGCTACTAAATAGTACCGAGATTTTGTCTGTGATCACACAGCCCCTGCAGCCCATGCACCCGCCGCCGCACCAAATAGCCCCGGATATCATTACAGACATCTGGGCACCTTACTTTAGCACACATTAGCGAAATGGATAAACCGAAATCCGAACCTCCACTGCTGAGCCAATCAGAGCACAGCAGGCTTCACAGCAGCGATCCAATCAGAGCAAAGCTCATTACCATAAATGTTAATGAGCCAAAATCAGTTGGTTTTCCTGTAAGGTTTTTTAGGCATACTAAAACAAACCATCAAATAACTTTTCAGCTAAAATTATGTTGCATGCCATGAAATTCTGAGTTAATTATTATTCGCAAAAAAAAAAAAAGTTTATGAGTTTGAACATTAAATATCTTGTCTTTGCAGTGTATTCAATTGAATATACTGTAGGTTGAAAAGGATTTGCAAATCATTGTATTCTGTTTTTATTTACGTTTATCACAATTTCCCAACCTTAATGGAATTGGGTTTTGTACATTTTTCTTGAAGTAGTCGGAGAGATCAAGAGATGGCTGAAGACAGCAATGCCACATGATGGCGACAAAAGGCAGCCCCCCAACAAGTGTTGCCATAAGCGCTGCAGAGCGTGTCCTCCAAACTCTCTCAAATAAGCACAGAGGGATTTGGTGTGTGTAAGGTTGGACCATAGACTGTATATAGAATGGACAGAGTCTGCCTCCTTGCTGGGTGAAACCACTCCGAGAACAGCACCCTCTGTTGATGGGCTGCAGTATAGGTCATAAATCCCGCCTCCACCAGCAAAGCTTATGGAGCTGTGGACAAACTTTAGAAATTTATTACACAGAACATAATTTTTTCTCCCCCCTGCTTGTGATGTTGACATATAGCTATTGTAAGACTGGTTTGTGCTCAAGTCCTCTCTCTTCTGTGAAGTTCGGTTTTTAAAAGTTATTAGGGGGTTCATGTTTGCTATGATTGACACCTGATACAGCCTATGGGCGTTTAGGTATTGCGTAGCTCTCCCGGGGGACACGCTGTTTGAGCGGAGCGTCATCACAGCGACTCTCTGCGACTGCGCGGCCGATTGCTCGCATTGCTACTGCGCAGCGCTGGTTTCAGGAAATGAAGAAAAATCCCGGAAATACCGAGAGCTTTTTGGCTTCAAATCCGTATACAGGCGGTAGGCGGAACCAAGTTGTCCATAGTATATACAGTCTATGGGTTGGACCCACTGGTAAGAAAAACACCCTTTTCCACAAATCAAGACAATCACACATCAAGTTGCACATATTCAAACCTCACATGACAAAGGTGGGTTGTGTGCACAGATCACAACATAAATTCCAATAATGGCATTAAAATTGGAACCATCTGTGCGTAAATGACGTATCGTGCTACATGTCCTGGCTCTTTTTTTCATTGATGTTGGCATGTAAAAGAAATTTGGCTCATGCAACTGAATATTATAATATTCGTATGTAGGCTTAAAGTAAATAACTCATCTGATCACTAAAATAAATCTCCTGTTCAGCCGCTGCAGCTCAGCTGCATGAGAAATAAGAGGAAATAGGGGGGGAGATGAATTAAATATCTTGTTAACTTCATCACGTGTGTCTATTTACTGGATATTTATTTAATTTAATGCAGTGTCAGCTGTATTCATTTCGGTCAGGTTAAGTGTCTCAACGCGTGCCAAAAGCACTCATTGGACAAGATATAAATCAGAATATATCTATAGATGTAAATGTATATACTGACTCTGAACGTGTGGGCACTACGCTGCCGGTCTACTAAAATACCACTACACCGGCTGTGCTCCACCTGTGCTATCAGCTGACGAGGTTTAAATCGGCGAGCTTTCAGCGCATTTTCTACGCTGCCGGTGGGCATGAAAATGTCATTGCGCCAGCTGATTCTGACGACACCTCCCTCTACCGGGCCACCATGCCCAGCTTGGCGCACCTCAGTGCACCTCAGTGCACCTCAGTGTACGAAAGTACCAAACTGGCTGTGCACCGGGCTCCACCAGGCGAAATTACTGCTGCGTGGGGTGCGCCACTTTCTGCCGTACTGCCGGCGGGCACGAAAATAGAGCCCTGAGTGTCCTCAGTTCTCAAAGGCTTACTGAGTATTGTTAAAAGTCAGGTGATGAAGCACTGAGAGAAACATGACCCTGAACCAGCTTTTCAGGAATAAGTTATTTAATTACTAATTTCATTTGGCACAGTTAGAAAAAACATAATATGACAGCAGTAGATAAACAGTGCAGGACGAGGCAAAAAGCTCACAGGGCTTATTTGAAGTCTCCACCTAAGTACAATTTAAGAAATGAACACAATATTACACAAAAGCAAAGAAACTCAAATCTGACCTACAAAAAGTAATATAAACAATGATAAAATAATGCTGAATATACTGTAACCATAGAATCATATCAAAAACATCAAAACTTAATTGTAACGGTTTTAAGAATACCTGCATGTCAATTGTTCCTTAATTTGGTTTCCCTGTATTTTAATATAAACTGGCCTCTGCTAGTTAAATATTTGGGAGGATGAAGATTCACGCCTGGTTCACACAGGATGCCGATGCGCGCACGCGCTTGGCTGTTTACACATGAAGCGTTTTCTGCTGCGCTCTGACACACCTGTCAGATATCTTTCTATTCATTTGAATACAGGTGGGAAAGGATTTGCAGATCACTGTATTCTGTTTTTATTTAAGTTTTGCACAACATCCTAAATTCACTTGAATTGGGGGTTGTTTTTTGGGATACCCAAAATTACATTGTGTGTATGTTTTGAGGATTATTATTTTTGTTGTTGTTGTTGTTGTTGTTATAGGATTATTTATTTTTCATTTTATTATGAGATGAAGTAATATGTAGTGTCACCATGATAGCTTTCTAAAAACTGAGAGTTTTCTTTGTTGAATTCCTTTTGAGAAATGAAATTACTTCATTATGAATAGAAATGTGATGAATAGCTAATATCTTAAGTTAGGACCCAAAGACACATGAATGGCAAAAGTGACTTCATTTGACTGTTGATAGCTGAAATGACAATTAAGGATACAAAAAGTATCATTGTGGATATCCTAAATGTTCATTTTGACTTGACAGAATTGAATGACAGAACTCTGTAACAGATACTATTTATGAAAGAGACTAAATATACTGTAAACGGATAGAAACTTGCTGGTGATCCTTCCATGGCATTCAGAGGTGGTTTTTTTGTTGTTTTGTAAAATTTGGCGTATGGGGAGGTGAAGTGTTGAGGTAACACAGGCCTGTAGAATTTTCTAGGAACAGAAAAGGCACTTATTTTGTGGGATGGCCTTGGAACAGCATTCATGTAGGCCTATAAAGAGGAATTGCTTATTACTCTTAACGCCTACAGGAAGCACCTGTAAAATAAAAGACTATTAGACTAGACAGAAAGTTGAGCGAAGTATGTATTTTTTATACAGAAATGTTGAGCTTATGTGATGTTTTACCTCCCCCTAGTGGATGATTTAGGTCAAAAAGCAACAGAACTTCAGTCAGCTTCCTCACTTTATCATACAATGTGTGCATTTTATAGCATTTGTGACAAGAAGATTATCCTGTTAGGCAAGGCCGACTTGTATCTCACTGAGCTTTGCTATCAGACCCCTGCTTTTTCTACAAGGATATTGAAATATACATATATCAGTAGGTAGTAAGTCAAGGAAAAGTAAAAATAAAATAATACTGGTGAAATGACAGCAAGTATGTAAACTTTACGAGGTGTAAATGTGGTTTTATTTTAGCGTGCCTGCCCCAAGGGCTTTAACAGGTGCACTACTCAGAGCGTGGAGTGAAGATGCTGCCTTCATGTGTAGTCGGTTGAATTTAAAATTGCCTCACCTAACCTCGGATTAACTATTTAGTTTGAATATTTGTCAAATTTTTCATTTGAGCTGTACATTTTTCACCTTTTACGTTTGGAAAGACAAAATATTTTGAATCTAATTGTTTAATGGAACGTTTCATTTTAAAACTTCCTCGGCGTTTAAGCTCTTCTCCTACAATTGTTGCTGCAAAGCAGTCATGCTATACTGTTATACAGAAAGACGATGAAATAGACCCATAAATGTTGTTTAACAGTGATTTTAGCCCCGTACTGACATGCGCTTCTGCACTCAAGACTTATCTATAATTGTTTACAAAAAATACCCAACATAACTTTTTTTTAACGTTCAAGGCTCATTTTTAGTGGGCCAGATCGTTCACCCGACTAAATGCTCTAAAATGAGTTTTGATAAGGCCTCTATAAGAGATATGTAAAGTTTAACTTTGACGATCTTGCATTGTTCGAGGTAACATGAACGCAGCATCAGATGGTGCGTGCACTGTGCTGACGAGCCGTTGCTTGTGGAAACAGCTGGTAGTTTCTGTCAGCGAACACCTCGGCTGGAGAGCAGCTTTTGGCTGGAGTAAAAGTTCATATTGCTCTCGGAATTTATTGAAAGCGTTTTCTTTCAACTTTCTGCAGCTATTCCATCAGACGCTAGGAAATGTCATCCTGTTAACGCCACTCTACTGGCCAGTTGTTAATGAAGTACCTAGCTTGTTAGCGGTACACCTCTGACGCTCGACGTCAAGCTAGCCGGCTAAATTTGTAGTCCCATAGCAACAACTACCAGGAGACAAGTTTTCTACCATTGCAGAAAAACTGTCAGCTGCCGGGTTTCTGGCAGCGTAGTGGCAGGATTTTGCTTAATTTCAGCATGACTCATGTTCATTATAAATTTTCCTCCAAGCTCAGCCATGACACGGTGGTTTTCGACGGACTGAACATCACTCTGAGGGACCTGAAAATACAGATCATGGAGCGGGAGAAGCTCAGAGCTGGATACTGCGACCTACAGATCACAAACGCTCAGACCAAGGAAGGTAATAACCCCGATGACTGCGCTGATAATGACAGTGTGTTTATCATGACAGTATTGAACTTTGGAAGACAACACGTGGTCCTGGTTTGACAGCTGTTTGGTGAGAGTGTTGCGTCAACTAAAATCAACGTTTGGGGGTAGAGCAAAGGGGGGTCCAGAAAAGTCAACCACTAACAAAAGAGTGATGAATGGGCAGCATTCCTGCTGTTTTCACGCCTCATGCTCTTAATCAGACAGCCTGATGGCGCGGGATCAGCCCTGTCAGTGCCACCAGAGATGGGGGGTAAAAATAGCAAAGGTAGACTACAGGAGCACAGCCCAGGCATGACCATAAGAATTGAGTTGAGCTTCTAATCAAATAAACATGAATCTCATCAATATGGAAACAACTAGTTTGAGAAAGAGTGCAGCAAGTCACAAGTAGGCTGCCTCACATGCAAGGATAATGCATAATTATTCACACTAGAGTAAACGTATAAGTCTATTTAATTCTAGGCATAAAAGCTTACCATGAAAAGATCTAAAACCGTTGATATATTTGGATTACATCTTTGGCTAATGTGTGCATACACCTGTTTAGTATGTAGGACTGTCAATCAACACAAGTAGGGTTGTATTTGAGAAAAATTGATTTATTAAACATTAGTCTAGCAGCGGGGCAACATCTAAGATTTTCAACATCGACAGTCCCTTATGATAGGTTTGATGTTCAGTTCAGCACATACTGATCTCAACTCATGTCAGGGGGCTGATTTGGTTCACCAGGTTAAAATCTTATCCTGAGTCTGATGTGTATAGATTTTAGAGATGTTAAAAATCACATCAGAGCATTCTGTATATGAATGACACCAATCTCTTGACTAAAAATTAATAATTCATTTATTTATCTGAAGCTAGCAAATCAATCTATCAACTAAGAAAGGTCCTGCTTGAATCATGTTAAATTGCAAAATTGTAAATTCTTCCTTCTTCTTGCTCCTCGAAGTTGCAATACTCAAAAATGAAATGTCTTTTAAAAATGAAAAGGTGCAAGTATTGCTTTGACATATCTCCAGTCTTAATAAATGTAAAATTGTGCAATTACTGGTGCAGTCTGTTACTCTACTGTTGATGGGTTTGAGAAATGAGGGCCTTGGCAGCCCATTACCTTGGATTAAAGGAAGCAGCCTGGCTACTTCGCTCCAGTAGAAAAGTACAGCTGTGGTACGCTTAAATTGAGAGGGTCATTAAAGAGAAATGAGCATCATTAGCAGCTGCAGATTTATCAAACCAAGACTCAAAGTAGTTATGGTATTTTAAAGTCTTAACCAAACTATTTTAAACTCGATCAAAGAACTAGCCTGACACCGGACATTAGTTATCGGTAAATAATGTGCAACATGATGAGTTTTTTCTTGTCTGTCTCACATCAGTTGTTGTATTTTAACAATAATTCTCAATCCTCTTTTCCCTAACTGGCCATGTCTGTCTTTCTCAGAGTACAAAGATGATAAAAGTATGATCCCCAAAGGCTGCTCTGTTATCGTCAAGAGAATCCCCATCACCGGAGGGAAGTCCAGCAAAACCAGCAACATGTAAATGTGTTTCCTTTGTTTTTCCAAGAGAGAAATGTTTGTGCAATTTAATGCCAAATTTCTGCTCTGTTATTAGTGTTGATATCCCAGCCTTAAAGAAGTATCCACCCTAGCTTGTACTGCTACAATTCAAAGAAAGATTAGTATACAGTGGATGCCAATAAGCAGCCTCACTCATAGGAGGATTGATCTTTAAAGGTCAGTGCTTGACCATGAATGCAGATCTTGGACTCTCACTAGTTGAAAGGTGAAGGTTGTTTCAAAACACAACAGTGCTGTGTGAAAAGAAAAACAACACTCCTGTGATAGACTACACTGAAGGTAACTCAGTGTAGTCTGGGTGACTCAGACGTTAGTCAGCCTTACACGGCAGAGCCAGCAGTGGTGTCGTCTTTTGGTGTTGAGAGCAGAAAAAATACCAACCTGTCATGTGATTATCCCCATCAGCAGCATTCAGCTGGGTGGAGAGGAATGAGGGCTAAACAGTGATTTATACAGCTCAAAAGATTAAATTTAGCTCCTAAACTATCAACCTGCAAGAGCATGATAAAGGTGGTTCAACTTTTTCAAGAGCTTCCCAGTAACTCTGTGTCATAAAAAATGTGTTTGACACATATTTTCATTGATTTCTAGAACCAAATATTCACAGGTAGCTGAAGGCATACTCCTGAGTACTTGACACCAATGGAAGCATCATTTGTTAGATGTTAGTTTATCCAGATACAATTTGGTTGAAATGTAACATTGACATTTATAACAGAGTGCCAAAACATTTTGTTTTAATCTTGCTCTACACTTACCGTGTTCCAGATTCAAAAGCATACATTAATTGCTGGAATGGCCAGCCTCTGCGAGTAAAACCAGTGTGGGGACACCTCTTCAGAGCATTACTGAAACCTACCAAACTGAGTGTTTTAAACTAATTTTCGAATCACACGATTATATTAAACATTTGTCACTAGAGAGAAATTCTAGATTATCACAATTGGGAAATGTTTTTGGTTATTTCTGCCACAATTTTGGATATTTGATTAAAATGATTTCTCTTTGTGTTCCAGTGAGAGATCAGATCTCCAGCAGATGCACCAGGTCCTTGGAACTAACAAAGCAGTATGTAACCACACAAAATACCGCTTCACCTCTCCTCCCACAGCTCCTCTGAACACACATTTTTATCATCGCCGCATACCTACTCTTGGGCTGCATTGGTCTAAACAAACATTTACTCAGTCTAAATTATGAGAGGCATCTTGTCATTCCTTGTATTGCAGGTAAAGTTTGTGCAGCAAAGAGGAACTGACTCTCAGTATCCTGCATATGGTTTTAGGAAAAGTACTGTTCTGTGGCAGCAAACAAACAAAAGAACCCAGCCTTCTCTCCCCAAGGCCCCAGTGCAGTACTTCTAATCTTATAGGAAAGAAATGCAGCTAAACCTGATAAAGGCTCTCAGTTGTTAGAATCTGTCAGTGAGTAGTGGGAGCTGACGGGTGGGTCAGACATTATCTTGCACCACAGCTATGATAAAACCAACTGTAGCTTTGCGATGCTATTGCACAGTACTTTCTTCTGTTAAGTTAATTTACCATATTTGCATCTTTACATTTGAAGGCTTTTTTATGGAGGTGTTAAAATTACTTTCAGTAAATGGCACTGTGAGGAGTATTAAACTGGTGAAGAAACAGGGTGAAAGAGATACTCATGCCTCTAAATGTCCTTTCAAAGTAAACAAGACCATCAGGAATGAGTTTAATCCCTGTTGTAGTATTTTTAATGTCTGAACAAATGATTGACAGCTTGCTAAAAACATCCTTTTGGACTTTTTAGACAGAAAATAGTCACAGAGAGCAAAGTATGTCATTGTTATAAGACAACAGGATGAGGTTTCTGTCCCTCAAGTGTACAGGACAACAGAATAGAGGTATCACTTTGTTCAAAGGGGGCACAAACACCAACAAAAACCAAATGTTCCTCACAGTACCTTTAAGTATTACCTTACTTTACAGTGGGAAATACTAAACTATACAAGAAAATATTATGAACTCCCTTATTGTAGAGAGGATGTCTAAACTGGGATCTGTTAGTCAGGCTGGATATATATACAATTGTGGTCAAAAGTTTACATACACTTGTAAAGAACATAATGTCAGGGCTCTCTTGAATTCCTGTTATTTCAACAACTCTGATTTTTGTCTGATAGAGTGATTGGAACAGATACTTTGTCACAAAAAACACTCATGAAGTTTGGTTCTTTTATGACTTTATTATGGGTTAACAGAAAAATTTACAAAATCTGCTGGGTCAAAAATATACATACAGCAGTGCTAATATTTGGTTACATGTTCCTTGGCCATTTCCCCTTCAATTAGGCACTTTCGGAAGCCATCTACAAGCTTCTGGCAAGCTTCTGGTTGAATCTTTGACCACTCCTCTTGACAGAATTGGTGCAGTTCAGTTAAATTTGATGGTTTCTGGCATGGACTTGTTTCTTCAGCATTGTCCACATGTGCTCAATGGGGTTCAAGTCAGGACTTTGAGAAGGCCATTCTAAAACCCCAATTCTAGCCTGATTTAGCCATTCCATTACCACTTTTGATGTGTGTTTGGGGTCATTGTTCTGTTGGAACACCCAACTGTGCCGAAGACCCAATCGTGATCAGCAGCAAACTTCAGTCAAACCTCTTGTCCTTCTTGCACGGTAGCCTCTCAGTCCATGGATATGCAAAACACGCTTGACTGTGGACGCTGACACCTGTGTCCCAGCAGCTTCTAATTCTTGGCAGATCTACTTTTTGGTGGTTCTCGGTTGACTCTTCACCTTCTTGACCAATTTTCTCTCAGCAGCAGGTGATAGTTTGCATTTTCTTCCTGATCGTGGCAGTGACAAAACAGAGCCATGCACTTTATACTTACAATGTTTGCATTGTTGCTCTTGGTACCTGCAGCTGCTTTGAAACTGCTCCAAGTGACTTTCCTGACTTGTTCAAGTCAATGATTCGCTTTTTCAGATCCATGCTGAGCTCCTTTGACTTTCCTATTGTAGCATCTGTGGGCATTTGTATCCAATGAGCCCTATTTAAATGGCCTCAGAGAAGTCATCAGCTGTAGTCACTTATAATCACTCACAAGAAGTTAAGAGGCCATGCTATGAAGCTCATTTCATTGACACAACTTTCTAAGTCACCAACATTTCTAATTCCTGTTGCTGTATGTATATTTTTGACCCAGCAGATTTTGTCAGTTTTTCTGTCAACCCATGATAAAGTCATGAAACAACTAAACTTAATGAATGTTTTTCGGTGACAAAGAAGTATTTGTTTCAATCACTCTATCAGAGAAAAGTCAGAGTTGTAGAAATAACTGAAAACTCAAGAGAGCCATGTCATTATGTTCTTTACAAATGAAGTTTTGTGACTGTTATTTTTTGCTGAATTACACCTAAACCTTTTTCTGATCTAAAATATCCTGGAAAGGTTTGGCTTGCTTCAGACTGAACTGTGCACTGACCTCACCTGATTCTCTCTTTGGTTTCTCAGTAGGAGAAGTGTCTACCACTCTGCTTAGCTCTGTGAGTCGGTCGGACCAGATATACCTTTGTTTCTCTTTGTGTTTTTTTTTTCTTTACAAATAAAGATGTTTGTATGAAGCTGTCTTGTGTATTGTATTATGTGTTTGACTTCGCAGGAAAAATGGCAAATAAAGGCAGCAGAGGTAGACAATCCTTGCTGAAGTCCTCAGTGTGGACCAAGCTCAGAAACCTTCCATAATGTAACCTCAGAGCTTCATTCGCTAGATTCAGCTGGACCATAATAAGTAGGAGGCAGAGAGATATGCCAGAGACAATAGAATTCAGATCAGCTGGCTCATTGGAGTATGTATTAAACAGGGGCTTTGCAATTTGAGATAGCAACTTCTACTTTTAATGTCGACTGCTATGACTGAGTATTGATGATAAATCCTGATAGATCACAACAAAAGCTTCTGTGAAAACATCGGACTCTCTGAGCTTCAGTGTGGAGCAGTGACAGATTGGAAGTAATCGAGAAACTAAACTGATAAATGTAATCTTATCCTCAACCAAGTCATCGTTAGTGTACAGCCAGCTGTGTCTGCACTCTGCAGTGATGATGCTAGTGTCAGCATGCTAAAATGCACAACGCTGACAAAGCAGGTGTACCATATTCACAGTTTTAGTTGGGCCTGGTAATAATGGGAGTGATGTTAATAGTGACAATGTTAATTTTGCAGATGTCTGAACAGAAACCTAAGTACTGGATAAATAAGTTTCTAAGATTTCTATTTGATGGTGGTAAAAGGGAAATGTTTAAAATGTGAAAAAATTGAATGAATGTTTCGACCAAATTTAGCAACTTTCTGCAAAGTTACTGAAGTCACCTGTCCTCACCTATGGGTAACCATCCAAATGGCGTCTTTTGTGGTCCTCATATCTTCTCTGGTCCAAAATAGAAGCATAGGCTCTGTAAGAGACGTGAGGTTTTCGGTAGGGCTGAGGAGGACAGCTGATAAGAGCAGAGATTGTTTCTATCTGACACAGTCCTGTTTCAACAGGCGGAAATTCACAAGACAAGAAAGTAAATCTGCAGTTACTGTCAGATAAGAACCAATAGTTATGATCTGCTGTGTGGAAATCATCACAGACTGCTGTTGGAATTTGGATTATCAAAGTGAAAAGTGGGTGTTTTTATACAGGAGTTGGTTACATGTCTGAGAGGTCAAAGCAAAAAGAGCTCACAGTTTTTACCCAAGTCGCAGTCAAGAGGGTCTTAATGGTTCTTACCTGAGATTGAATTTGTGTTTGATTCCAACAGATGAACGGCCAGAGTTCTACCAGTGATTTCCTCTTTTCCTCCAAGGTATAATATTCCTTCAGCTTGTGCATTTTTATCTGAGATCATACTGATCCAACTTCTTTTCGTGTCATCTTTGTGTCTCACATGCATCTGTGCGTGTACCTGCAGATGGCCAACTTGGCTGATGCCAACGTGTCTGAGGAGGATAAGCTCAAAGTCATAATGAATCAGTCAGCCTATGACTCCATCAAGTGAGCCATTTCTGGAATCCTTTCAAATTTCACCCCCATCCTCATCCCTGTCTTTCTACACAACTGTTCCACCTGTTTGAATATCCATGTGATGTTGTGGTAATTTTTTCTTTGATTATGTTTTAACCACATTAAGTTCTCCTCATCACTCCTCCATCATCATTCAAAGTGAATCTCGCTAGCTAACATTAAAGTAAGCTAGAAGGTAACATTCAATAATTAAAGAGGGGGGAAAAAATCATTCCTATCCAACCTAATGTACTTTCTTGCTGACATCACCACTGGACAAAGGCTTTCACCAGCATTACAGTAGGCTAAAAAGGGGTTGAAAGCTAATTATGTATTCAGTAGTGTAACATGAAACTACCTAACAAGCAGATCTTTGCTAAGTGTTGCTTATTTATCTTCAAGCTAATGTAGTACAAGCCAGAGAGCAGTGATTTGCTGACATTGTAAGCATTGGTTCTAAAGCTAAGGGGTTAACAAATGTGTCATTTAAACCTTGAGTACAGGCACTTTTCAGTTTTTATTAATGGGGTAACAGTTAAATGAAAGTGATGGTCAGATTACAATCCTTTTCATGCTGCTAACAAGCTGAAACACATCAGATGAACTTAGTCTTGAACCTTTGACAACTGAGAGTGACATCAGAGCAAAAAATCTCCTGAGTCACATCTTCTCTCCCAACAAAACAAAGAACCCAATTCTTCCTACTCTTTCAACAGTTTCTACATTAATTCATTGTTGCCATTTATTTTCAGCACCCCCGCAGTTTTACTATTTCTTTCTTTGCCTCTCCATTCCTCTTTTCAGCTGTGGTACCGTTCTTCCAGCGAATTACATGTGTTATCGCTGTGGATATACTGGACACCACATCAGAAATTGTCCCTACAGCAGGGTAAGAGCAGCGATTACCGCCACCTCTGACTATACTAGCATATGTGTGAATGACAGCATGTAGTCAGCTAAGCCTGGCATTAAGTGTGCATATGTGTGTTTGAAAGCAGGATAAAGCCACTGATAACCCTGTGAAAATCAAGAAAAGCACAGGCATCCCCCGCTCCTTCATGGTGGAGGTGGATGATCCCAATATAAAAGGAGCCATGCTCACCAACTGTGGACGATATGCCATACCTGCTATAGACGCGTGAGTGAGAAGAGTCAGTGATAGCATGTCTTTTCTTCAGAGGTGGTGTTTGTATTTGATCCGTTTTGCCATTGGATATATTTCACATTTGTCACGGCTGCACCGCATAGATGGTGTTTAAACAGGACAAGAAAACATGACTTAACCTCGCCCCATTATTGAGTAGTTAAATACATCATGTGAGCTTGGCAGGCAGCCATTGTCATATCAGTGCACACTTCTTGCAGTGGCCACCCCATCTTTCGTCTCAGATGATTGGTCTGATCCAGTCATCAGCTGACCAGGAACAAGCTTTTCAGGTTGCAGCTTTGCAAGATGTATCCGCCTGATGACAGACTTGAAACCTGGCAAATCCATCTGTTTTAAAGGTTACCATAAAAAGGCATCAATGTCAATTTTACTGTTTTATCACCAGTTCAGAACACCTTGCAGGAGCTTGAATAGTATGTGGATTTTTTAAATACAGCTATTAAGAATTAATGATACTATGGTCAGAATTCGGTCGAATCCCAAAAGGAGGAAAAAACTTTGATATGCCTAATATGCACTAGTGTGAACAGATGTATTTTAAGGCCCATAAATAATATGAAACAAAATCTGAATTAAAAGATGGCTCACATCTTGTTCACTCACTTTTTTCCATGTGTGATTTGCTAAGAATGAAGGGATTGTACTGTAATTCATGGAGTACTGTAGACCGTCATTTAGAAGTTACAGTTTTTATCTCAAAACAAAATGCTTTACCAGGTCTGCTCCTGGTTGAAACATGGTAATGCAACTTAGAACATCTGCTTTATGTACTACTGCCTCTCCTTAGTGAGGCGTACGGCATCGGCAAGAAGGATAAGCTTGCGTCTGTTCCAGCGCAGCAGCAGGAGGCAGAAGATAAGGAGGATCCTGTACCTGAAGAACTCCTCTGTCTGATCTGTCATGACCTGCTGAGCGATGCTGTGGTCATCCCCTGCTGTGGAAACAGCTACTGCGATGACTGTAAGCTTGCTTTGTACTTTGTAAATAAAGAACCACAAACTATTGTTCATCAAAGAAGACTATTGTTCAGATTTTGATTCTGTCAATAGAGACATTAAAAAATGCTACACAAGCTGTTGCAACTGTCCCACCCTCACATGCACATTTTCCTTTGGGTAAAATACATCTTTCTTTCTCATTCAGGTATCCGCTCTGCCCTCCTGGATTCAGAGGAGCATATCTGTCCCACTTGTGGCCATTATGAAGTCTCCCCAGATACTCTGATAGCAAATAAATTCCTCCGACAGGTAGTTTGAAAATATGCAATGAGAAAGTACTGTGTTGTGAGGCAATACTGGAGATTACTGAATCAGTTGGGCAGTTTAATTCATCCCTTTATGAAGCTGACAAAAGTGTTTGACTCCTTTAACACAGGCTGTGAACAACTTCAAGAAAGAGCAAGGTCAAACTAAAAATCTGAAAAAAGAGAGCATTATCTCTAAGTCCCAAAATCAACCCCTGATGCCGAGCCCAGCCCCCACCCCACCCACAGTTATCACACAGAGCCAACCTCTGAAGACTCACATGCTAATCAAGAGCCAGCAGGTGAGTCTGGTAATAAGGTGTTTTGTCAGGAAGACAGAACATCTGAATAAGACTTTGGAACAGATGACACTGTTTTGATCACAGTCTGATATCTCAGACTGTTAAAGGGGGATAATTGCTTTATTCTGCTACCTCCTTGCCTCCAGGATCCTCTCCTGTACTCCTCCAAGGCTGCAGACACACCGTCAACATCCCAGGATTCTGAGACTCCTCACTCTGTCACAGGCCCCTCCCACACCTCCAACACACCCATCAGGTCTCCACAGACTGTGCAGCTCCACCTGGAGATTACTGAGTGAGGAAGATCTCTTGGGAAGGAAGTGTTTGTGCTCATATTTCTTGTCATGGTCTCATTTACTTTCAGTCCTTAGGTTTTAGAGTTGTCACCCCTCTCTGTGTTATTCTATGTCCTTTCAACCTCTGTGGATTACTGCCTTCAAGCACCAACAAAGACCAAATACGTTCAGGTTGAGGAGCTAAAAAATAAACCAGCAGTGTGAGGTATATCTGTTTTTTCCTTAGGGAAACTGATGCAAAAACACAGGATTACTCAGGAGCTGGTTCCCCTCCTGGACTGGTCTCAAATCCCACAGCCTTACCACAGCTAATGCCACAGGTGAGAACACACAATAAACACACACGTACTTCATTCAACAGAGTTACTCTGTATATGTACTCTGTGGTATTTGTGTGTGCACAGGTTGATCAGTCCCAGTCACTCAGTGTGAATCAGCCAGAGTCTTCTTCAGGTCAGAGATGAAGAAGCATTTTGTTCATCTGTTCTGTTTTTGCTTGCATAATCATTTTGATGTCAGAAACACACAAACACAGCTTGCTCCTTCTCCTCTTCATCTTGTCCCACAGGATCTTGGAGTGAATTAACCCCCCAGCAGCTTCCTCCTCCATTGTCCTTTTCCTCCTCATATCCACCTACTTCCCCACCACACTTGCCCTCCTCCCATTTCCACCCATTCCAGCCTCTCAGTGGATACCCCCCTGGATACCCACATGCTGCACCCGTCTGGTCTTTCCCAACATTTAAGGGACCTCCCTTCCCTCCCCTTTGCTCGCCTTCCTCAATCCCCGCCCCGATGCACCATGATTGGTACAAGAACAAGACAAAGGAGGAAAGGTACTAAGGACATAACTACCCTCACCTGGACTGCACTATTTCTATTTGAGTATCTTCCAGCTGCTGAAAATCTCTAAATGTCACAGGTCATAGAACAGGTATTAGGCAAGCTACCTGTAAAATGTAGTGGACTGAGCTGCAGGTTACTTAAAATCACATTAGACTTCACCGCACTGAAGCTGTATCCTGAGAAACAGCAGGCAAAGCCACAGCAGTTTGGCTAAAGTTTCTATAAATTACTTCCCTTGGACCACTTTGTACCTCAAAGTCTTACAATGAATAACATATGTTCCTTGTCTATATACTTTATTTAGTCCTGTGACTCAGATAAGTCCCATTCATTCCCTGAATCTGTATTTTTGCTGCAGCTCTGACACTATCAGAGTGGTGTAAAGACAATGAAAATGAATATGAAAGTGTGACAGCTCTGCTGTTCCATTGTTTTGAACTATGTTGAAGTTTTCTGCTTACTGTCTGCAGCTTGATTGATTTGACTAGTGCAGCATCCTGCCCTTTCATTTTTCACTTTTAGGCTGCCAATCAGAGCAGTACCTAATTCTCATAGCATCTCCACCCACTCAAATCAGTGCTTTGCTGAAGAGGTCACAAACTCAGAGGCTGCACACCCGACACAGTGGCAGGGTTTTTGATGTTTATTTCAACTGAAAGCAAAATTTTCACTCTAAAGAAAACCAAGACATGCTGTAACTGCTATAAATAGCATTTATGGGCCTTCAAATCATATGCTATATCTACATATATTTCAGATACAGTGTATTGCTTCCAAAGACTACAGAACAACTACAGAAAGTAAACTTATGAAAGGTTGGTGGGTTAAATGACTGGTTTAATAAACCTAGTTTATTTTTGATGTGCCATCATGCGTGTTTAAATGAAGATATGGACATTTGAAGACAGCTGCATTTTTTATTGTATGAGTCAATTTAAATCCATTTAACTTGATTTAAATATTTTATTGTCTCTCTTTTTCCACGCACAGGTCTCCTCAGAGAGGATCAGCATATAGACCCTCCTCAAAGTCTTCCAAGTCCAAATCCTCTCACCCTCACCCTTCAAGCAGATCCAGATCCCGCTCTAGGTCCAGGTCCAGGTCAAAAGGCAGATCAAGGTATTTTAAGTCCCTTTCTTAAGGTACAGTAAGAGAATATGCTGATATTGATTAAAGAAATTACTACCTCTTTTGGTTTCACCTTCTTCTTTTGTCACTCAGGTTACCCTGCAGAGGATCTCCCTATAAATGCTCCTCAAAGTCCTCCAAGTCCAAGTCCTCTCATTCATATCCTTCCAGCAGATCCAGGTCCAGGTCTAGGTCCAGGTCCAAAGGCAACTCCAGGTATTTTGTGCCCTTCCTTATTTTTATTTTTATTTTTTTTATTTATTTTTTGGTGTTTTGCCAAAAAAGTATTGTTCTTACATCTGATTGATTATGGGGATGCTGTGCCTGAAATGTAATCAAACAGAACAGTTTTGATTCAGGTCCCTACAGAGACAGACTGTGCATTTTACATGATTGAAGAATACTTATCAACCACTGTCTTGTTGCAGCCATTGAATTTAGTTGAGGTTTCTGTGCTCATCAGACAGCAAAACACTATCAAAGTAGATGTTTATTACAAGTCCAGCATCATTCTCTGTGAAACAGTCCTTGAGATAGAGCTCATTGTGGGGCAAAGTAGTGTAGTTCTTGGCGCTATCAGCAGCTTAATTTCATTCTTATTGAATCCCCCCATCCATGACAATCAGTAACATGGTTATAATTTGACATATAAACATTATTGTCTTCTATTTTCTAGGCCCAAATCCCCTTCCTCCTACCAAAGGGATCAACACACCCGCTCCCAGTCCTACAGCTATGGTTACAAACGTTTGCACTCTCCTACCACGTCCTCTTCATCTTCACCTCGAGTGAGTTACCATTCCAGACACAAGTCATCATCAGATCATCGGCATCACAGGAAAAAATCAGCTATGAGCAGCTCCAGGTCCAGGAGGGGAGGAGAACGCCACCACAAAAAGGGGGCCAACTCTCCTGTGAGGTTGGCTAGTTACATGTTACCTCAGTATGCAGATCAAATGAGCAGCCTGAAGCTGGACACACAGCGCTACCTTCAGTGGACAAATGAATACAAAGAGTGGTGTGAGAAATATTTAAACAGCTATTTGGAACACTTCCATCAGCTGCCTCCTCTTCCTCCTTGTCCTTTTCCTCCAGATGTTGACAAAGAAAGAAGCAGAAATCACTCACAAGCCAACTCCTGTGACCGACACCCAAGTAGACAAACTTCTTTCACACATTGCCCCTCTTCTCTATCACAGTCATCTAGTGACAGCTGCTCCCTTTCATATCAGTCCTCAAGCGACAGAAGCTCAAAATCCCCTCCTTCATCCAGCGACATGAGCTCCTCTCCATCTCATTTATCCAAAGATAGTCATTCTCCACCTTCTCAGTCATCCAGTGACAGCAGATCAACTCATTCTGATGGAGGAGCTCAGGAGAGGTTTACTGAGAAGTGTGACTTGGCTCAACCAGACACAGAAAATGAGGAGAGTGAGGAAGCAGACCTGCAGGAAAGCAGTCGAGATAATAAACAGCTTAAAGTGAAGAAATCAGAGAATCTGAGTACCCTAAAAAATGAGAAGAAGCACGCAAAGGAATATAAACAAATGCAAGGAGAGGATACTTCACCTGTAGATCATGAGGTATTAATTGATGACTGCAATGTAGAAAACAAGCGCTACAGTGCTGCATCAAACCCCTTGGATGATGGTTCCTCAAAAGAGGAAGAGGCAGCCAGCAGCAAGGCCTTCAAATCCCTTCAACAGCACATAAAATCAGATAGGTGTTTGGAAAGAGAACGTGAAAGAAATAACAGAGAGGAAATGCATATGGACAGAGAAAAAGGCTGTGGAAGAGACAGACATTTGGAGTCCCGACAAGAATTTGAGAGGAAGCACAAAGAAAAGTCCAGCAAAGAGACACACAGGATCGGTGTAGATAGACACAAGAATTCCAAAGCATCTGATTCCAGATCAGGAAAGAACAGAAAAAGAACAGAAAAAGACATGGAGACAAGTCCTGATGATGCTCAAAAAAGAAGCAAAAGTCTGAAAACTAAAACCACAGAGGACCTAGAAACCCTCCAGGGGGAACACCCATATCAGTCTGGGAGGTTAGGGCTCAAACCAGAGAAACAAATGGGGCCTCTGCCAAAGAAAGACATTTGGGAGGAAGGAATGCAGGTGAAACCACAGAAGAAGTTAAGAATTAACATTAGGTTGGATACAAAACAAAAGGAAGACAAAACCAAAAAACTGGATTTATCTGAATCAAAGAAAGAAATTGAGCAGACTGGTGGGGTGTCAGAAGAGTCGATGGAGAACAGAGGAGAAACAGAAACGCATGAGAATAAAGAATCTAGCCAAGACCATGGAGGTATGTCAGAACAAAAACTCACATCAGAAGGAGTGGCAGGACATATGTTTGAGGAAAATAGCTTCAGAGAGGAGAAGACAGAAAACACTAAAAAGAAGGAAGAAATCACACCGGACATAGAGGAGACAAACTCTCAGGACTTCAAGTTATGGAAATCTGTCCCCAAAGGAGAGGAGCAGGTGGAAGAGGAGGAGGAAAGTAAAAACCAGTGGTTGGATGAAAACAGGATGGAGGACAACAAGGGTGAGGGGTTACCAGATGACCAAAGGAAGAATGCAAGGAAAGGAAAAGAAGGAGAGAATAGGTGGAGGAATGATTGCAGAGGTCAAGAGATGGAAGAGCTTGTTTTGGGTGCTCAGAGGGAGAAAGCTGAAAAGGAAATAACCAGCAAGGAAAACACAACAAAGCTGTTGGAGAAACCAGGGCTGAAAGAGGAAATGACTGAGGGAGTCGAAATGAGTTTGGAGACAAAAGATGAAGACACATCAAAGACAATGGACAATGTCAGGTCAGAATCTTTATCTCTAAAATTAACTTCTGTTCAAGGAAACATTACATCAAAACAACCTGAAAGTGAGTGAGTTAAACAAGCTCAAATGAACAATCATAGAATCCCTATGATCCACAAAAGAATACAAGACCACCAATGTCAAGATTGTGGATTTCTGTTGTGAAACTTTGAATGCCTGTTTCCGCTGCAGGGGTAAGGGGGGGTGCACCAAAGAAACAGCCTTTGTTCATCTCCCCACAGAAAATATACACATGGAGTAATTAATTCCACTTTCAAAAGACAACACATATTGTCAGTTAGCTGCACTTCATGAGGACAACACATACATAACAATGATGTGATGGTTACCACCTTATCTGCAGGGGGCACAAAAACCCACAAAGACAGAAAGTTCCATACAGGAGCTTAAAATGCAAAGCAATGGAAACGTGTCCCAGGATTAGCAGCCACTCACACCCTCAAATTGTACCCTTGAAAATGAGAGACTGCCGAGTTTCTGACAAGTTTGGCCCCTTCTTGATTTTGATTGGTTGCAGAGGGAGACGTAAAACAGCAAGTTAGCAACTACAAAACATTTGACCATTAGACCATTCAGGTTGTATAGCCAACTATTGCTCTGTACATGGCATTGCATTAGTGTTTTGTACAAGCTTTTTTTTTATTGTATTCTACAGAAAAATGCCACATTTGCCATTTGAAGTGTGGAAGCATTTCACACAAGCTAATATTAAAGGAAAAATATTTACTTATTTATGTTTGGATATAATACAATTAGTTTAAATTACCCTCATTTTCCAGTTAATTCCCATAAACTCCCAATAATTCCCATAAATTCCCATGGAAAGTTTCCAAATTGGAATATTTTCAAAATTCCCCAGCTTAACTTCCCACCGAAAGTTTCTGGAAATTTACAGGAAATTTTCCACCCCTTTGCAACCCTACACTGGACTGAAGGTATGAAATAGTAAGAAACAGAAAGCATTGGTTAGCTGAGAGTAGCTGTCATTAACAGAGCTAGTACCAGAGACCTTTGGTTAATGTCCACATGCCTGTGCTGGCCACGTGTTGCTCCAGTCCAGTGGCTGTATACTTGTTTGACAAGAAGCATTCTACACACAACTTTATCTCTGTTCACTAGATCAAGATACTGCCATGCAATATGATGCCATTTGTCATCTGCGCCTGTTTACATTAGGGTAGTAAATTCAAATAGGGTAATACAGAAGCAGATTTAAACAGGGCTACAGCTAGACCAAAGCGTAGACCCAACATATGAGGGGCATTTCGGGCCAAAAATAATGAAAATGCTTATGATTAACTTAACTGACCAGTTGTTTTGGTTCAGACTAGTGACTAGGGGGGGAGATGCCTGAGTCATTTGGTCGACTAACTGCACAGAGGACACTTAACAGCAGCACTCCTACTGTCGAGACACTTAAAGTCCCACTGTGATCATTCTTTTACTACTTACTTTACTACTTTTACTACAGAGCTCCAGTAGCTCATTAGCAATTCACCTCTGAGTCATTGGCAGAGACAGCACTGCTCTGCACACTCCTCTTCCCGCTAGCTTGCAGTCTAACATTGCTAACATTGTAGAAGTAGTGTTGTGGAAAACATGTATGGTATGCAGCAAAAGAGTGCACATGAGACAGGATGAAATCTGAGGAGCAGCCTGGGTTTCTTTCATTGTACAGATGTAGAAATCAGTGCAGATGACAAACGGAGTCTTGACCAAACCTGTGGATAGCTTCCCAGGCTTTTCTCCTACTCCCTTTTATACTGTCAGGTGTGTATCTTTATACAATCATTGTGTACTACTTTTATCTGTTATATGCGTGCCTGCGTGCATGTGTGTGTAAGTGCATGCTTTTCCTGTCATCATGGGTACATCATATCTATCCTCCAGGAGGCTACCCATGATGATATGTTGTACTGTTCTGAAACTCACCACTTAGTTTAGATTAGTCTTAACTTTGCTGGATGTTTTGGCAGACTGATAAGTTTTGGTCCCTGCAAAGAGCCTTGTTTACAACCTCCCAGTTGTGAGACTGCATAAGTAGGCCAACCCAGCTTATTTGTAACCCCTTAATATCACTCTATATTTCTTAACCTAAATGTATGGAAAGATTCTACCTCAGTAGCAGGTAACATAGGAGCTATTCAGCTCTCAGACGCTAATGTCTTTGGGGACACAATGAAAGCTAATATCACAATTAGCTTTCTTACGAGCATTGTAATCTGCTAACGCACACACTTTTTGGCGATCGTCCTCTCTGTTTCTCCGAGTCTGGCCTGAATATTTGGGCTCCGGGGGGGGAGCTTGGATTTGTGATGTAGGAAATCTCACTGAGTCTGAGCCTACTGTTTGGTTCTGTGAGAAGTTCACAGAGATTTGAAAGCAGAAATACTCAGAAATGCAATTTCGCACTTATTTTCCCATTAAATGTCCTGTAGCATCAAAAAATGCCATATGAACACGTAGACAACAAGAAAAACATAATTTTCATTGGAGTGGGTCTTTACGGAGAGGAACCAAACAGATGGTTTGGTGGTTTTAAAAATGTGGGGAAAGCAGTTAACTATCACAAAAATCATTGTCACTTTCAGTAACACAGCCTTGATACATGTGTGCTAAAATTTGCCAAAACAATGTGAACTAGCTGAAGATAATGATACCGGATGACCATGCATTCAGTGGGTAGTTAAAAAAGGTGACTTTCAGCTTACCTTGGTTTGAAGGATTTTTTATGACTTTGTTTGTCCTCCCCAACAATTGAGTACACATGTTTAATTGGATTTGGTGGACTTCTTAGTCCTTTCAAGATGCATTAAGCTCAATGGTGAACCATTTCAGGCAAGAGATATGGTGAGGGTAGTACAGGAAGGTTAACGTGCAGCAGAGGACCGAGAGTTGAATTTGATTACTTAACTAGCTGAAGCTTAACTAGCCCCCTTTTTTTTTTCTTTGGTAGAGATTCATATGAAGTAATATTTCGTATTTTTTTATGTTACACAGTCGAAGTTCTAAGAACAGTCAAGGGAGGAGGACTGTGGAGGATTACAATGAGGAAGTATCTGGAGACAAAGAAGAGAAGCTTGTGCAGATTCAGGTGAGTGTTTTGTTGGATGTCTTACGGAAAAAAGGGATGAAGAACTTTGACAATTGTACATAAGGAAACTGCCATTTTCTCTGTCTTAACTCTCTGCTCCAGGTCCCTTGCTCCAAGTGGGAGAAGGAAGATTCTGAGGAAAACAAGTCTCTGCCCAACTGTTCTGTGTCTGTGACAGCAGAGTCAACAACCATTAAAAATACAGGGGAAGAAAAAGAAGAGCAGAGACAGAGGTCAGTTAAAGTAGAGAGAGTCAGAGAGAAAAGCGCTACTTTGACCAGCTCATATAGAAGTTTGGCTCCCTCTTGTGGTCGAGACAGACCTGACAGCAGTTGGTGTACAGACAGAAGCAAGGAGAGAGGGAGGGATAGTGAGAAACAAAGGGATAGTGATAAGGAGGGCAAAGTAAGGACAAAAGAGGGAGATACGGGGAGAGACAAGAAGAAAGAGAGAGAGCACAAACGGGATTCTCCTTCCTCCTCAAACTCTTACTCTTACTCATTGTCACATGACACAGAGAGGAGAGACAGGTATCGAAAGAGTTTCCCATTTCCTGATGAAAATTTCGGCACAAAGGATCAAAACAGACACAAAACGGTCAAAAACTCTTTAACAAGCTTGAAATTTAAAGACAAAGATCACCACAGTCACAGCCGGGAGAGAGTTCAGTACCCCTCAAAATCCTCTGGAGCGTCAGATACTAGAAAGCCCAGAACAAGCAGCCCTGGTCAAGAATTAACTCTGAGCAGGAGTAGAAGTGACAGTAAGGTTGAAAAAGGAAAGTATAAAGTCAAAAGAGAAAGAACAGAACACCAAGGATGGAGGTCAAGAGAGAAAGATGTAGTGGCTGAAAGGACAGGGCGGAAATTTGGGACTGGGGGGAAAGAACTGGGGGGGGGGGCAAGCAGCTGAAGCAAAAGTTCATCGCCAGACCAGGAGAACAGCGTTAGAGGAGTAGGAGATGACTCTAAATAAACAGAAAAATGAGAAGATGTTGGATAAAGAAGAGAGAAGGAGAAAATTATCAAGAGGTTGACAACCCAGCCAAATTCTGTTGAGTTCTGTGATCTTACCCACCATGAAAACATTGAAACAAATTCTCCTTGAATTTAATTTTTTCTCTCTTTTTGCATCCCAAAATATCATTTCATTTGATATCATTAAGATAAAGTTGAGTTGAGTTGCACCATCACTAATCATACATGCATCATTCTGTAAAAGTAAAGAACAGGTGAAGGAATAGCACTTTGAACTACAAATAAGAAAACAACTGTGAATGAAAGAAAACATCAAACCTTCTGCTGCTTTAGTTATCTCAGTCTTTTGCATGTCACAGAAGTGACGATTGCTGAAAAAGTTTGTGATTTATGTAAAATGTACTATAATTATTTATGATTTGAACCTCTGTGCAGTGTTAAGTTTTCATTTTAAATTTTGTAAATATTTTCTTTGACTGAAAATCCTGGATGAATGAATTCATTACCAGAGGGAACTTGAGTTTTTCCAGTTTTGAAGGAAATAAAAAAAAGAAATACACCAAAATTGTTGATTGACCTTGTGCTTTTTACTGCTATCACTGTCCACATTATCTCAAGATCAGCTGTTTTTTGTACTGTGCTATGCTGTATGGCTCTGGAAACGATGGCTGACCTCTAAAGCCTTTTAATGTAGCTAGAAGTTAGTAACAAATGACTCGGGGGGGGGGGGGGGGGGGGGGGTAGTGTTCCTTGTCTGTTCAACCAACAACTTGAAAAGTGTGGGAAAGAATCTGAAAGAAATAAAAAGATTTGACCTTAATATAGGAGTAAATAATGGCCCTTAAGTTTACTTCAATCAAGTCATAGGTCAGATTTGTAAAAAGCAAAATCAGTTCAATGTTGTCAAAGACTAGGAGAAAATCCCTTTAAAATGCTTATTTGTTGAATGGAGTTGGGATCTATAATCAGTGATATTTCAAGGAAGTCTGAACATCAGAACATTTTACTTTATTTATTTTAGGGTGAAATCCAGTCATTACAGCATTCACAAAGCACAGAGTGAGAGTGTACACAAAACCTGTTTTCAGTTTAGAATATTGCACCGAGTACTGTACAGTATGATACAATATTCCACAGTTTGACAGAATATTGCACAGTGTAGCTTAAAAACAATGCATTACTAGTATTCCAAGATTTCTGAAGTTTTGACTGGTTTACAAACAGATTACAAAGTTTGAATGTAATTATATGAAGTGGAGAAGCTTACAGCTACTACATGAGGAGTTATAAAGTTTCATGGCCACAGGTAAGAATGACTTTCTGTGACACTCTGCAGTTCATTTAGGGCACAGGTGTTAAACTCAGGCATGGGGTCCAAATCTGGCCTGTGGAACAATTAAATCTGGCCCACAAGATCATCTCATATTTGTATTATTATTATTGGCCCACCAGTATGAAGTCTGAATGAATGAATGAATGGTTTTATTTTTGGTCACAATAACAACAAATGAGAAACAAACAGAATTATAAACTTGACCAAAAAAAGGATTAGGCGGACGCTCAATGCTTATAGTTGCCTATCCTTTACAATCCTTATAACATCATTTTAATATTTAAAACAGTTGATAATGTTGAAATAAGATTTAAAAAAAGAAAGACACTTTAATATTAAAAAGAAAACATTAAAATAATATGTTGCACTACGAAAGGAAAAAAAAAAAACACAAAGAATGAAAGAAAATGTCTTACTCAAAGCTGTATGTACTCCTGAATTATTTTGCTTTTTAATGCTTTTTTAAATATTACCTGTGAGTTACACAATTTTAACCCAATTTTAGTCTGCAGATTTCCTCCAGTACAATAATGTAAACTTTTATTTAAATGTCCTTAATAAAACATGAAAATCTGGGAAAGTAAAGACAAAGGAAGATAAATAGTCAAGAATGTGGAGGGGAAAGTATTTCGTGTTTTATTTCATGTTTTCAATTTGCATCTCAAGATTACAAGTCAAACATGATTGGATTTTTTATTTCATGCTTTGATTTTGTTCAACTCAAGGTTCAAGGTAACTTTATTGATTTTTTTTGCAGTCTGGAAAGAGGCATTTTAAGCATTATGCACAAACATTAAAAACACAGGACATTTGCAGTAGACAGCTTAAAAATAGCACAGACCAAAGACATTGACAGGTACTCCCAGTGGCTCACTGATCGTGATTGAGAGACTAAAATAAATAAATAAAATCAACACAAATCGTTGGATATCACTAAAAAGCCAGTATGACCCTGTTAAGAGCATTCTAAAAACATAAAAGCGTGATACAAAGGACAGTAACTACTAATAAATAAAATAATAAATAAAAAAAATAAGTAAGTTAAGACCAGGTTAGAAAAAGACAGACCACACAAATGGAAGTGGAGTGCGTCAAGACTTATAACTCAGTATTTAGACTTGTCATTTTATACTTTAGATTCCAATTTTAAATTTTAAGTCATATTTTGACCTTTTAAACCTGATTTCAACGTTCTTCTCATGTATTTGCTCTTTAAATGCATTATTTTCATGCTCTGATCTAATAAATAAAAATAGAATAAAAATTAATTTTTTTCTATCTCAGATTGCCTTTAAACTTATCTTTTTATCTTTTTTGAATTTCCAATGATTTATTATCATTGCTATTTTTTTTCCATTTTTTTTTAAAAGAAGATTGACAGTTTTGGTGAAATGTTGATCCTGTTTGGCCCTCAGGTTAGACCTAAATCCAGATTATGGCCCTTGCTGTGGTTGTGTTTGACACCCCTGATTTAGGGGAAATGAGTCAAGCACTGAATCAATCAATCAACTTTATTTCTATAGCACATTTAAAAGAACCACAGGGGTAGCCAAAGTGCTGTACATTGTGTCTTAAAACAAATAAAACAAGCAAAGAACAAGATAGCAAAAATACATAAATGCAATAAATAAATAAATAAATATATAAGCAGGCTCACAGTAAGTGCTAAGATGAAAGCAAACCAAATAAAACTAAAATGTATTAAAAGCCAAGGAATAACAGTGTGTTTTTAAAAGGGATTTAAAAACAGGAAATGAGGAGGCCTGTCTAATTCTCAAGGGCAACTCGTTCCAGAGCTTGGGAACAGCTGCGGCAAACGCTCTGTCACCCCTGAGCTTCAGCCTTGTATTGGGGACCGTCAGTAACAGCTGATCGGCTGTTACTGTGCTCCTGTGTTTAACCAGCACGTTATGGAGTGGGTGGTGGATGCTGCTCAAGATTACATGAAGCTTTGACAACATCCTCCTCTCTGTCACCACCGTCAGAGTCCAGCTCTAACCCCATAGTGCCACTGGCCTTGCAGATGAGTTTGTGAAGTCTGTTGGCATCTGCTGGGCTCTACCAGGATGACATTACAGCAGTTACTGTTACATCTGTTCTCCACATGAAGTGTCTCCACTGCATAAACTCAAGTTCAACCACAATCATGGGGAAAACTACTGACTCTACAGTTGGTGATCAGATCAGAGGACGGTCATTGACTCCCTCTACAAGGAGGGAAGTCCTGGTTGCTTTGATAGCTTCTTCTGCTGGTCTGTTTCATTGCTCTAGTGTCTCTCATCTTCTTCTTGATGATCCTCCAGAATCTTTTTATGGGGTCCAGGTCAGACCAGCTGACCAATCAATCATGCACAGTAACATCATGGTCAGCAAACCAGATTCTGTAGTTTTGGTGCTGTGAGCTGGATTAGGAAATGTGTACCTCCATAAAGCTTCTGAGAGGATGAAGCATGGAGGTCTCTAAAACTTCCTGGTAGACTGAAGGCTGTGCTGACTCTTGACTCTAAACACCATGGGCTCTATTTTCATGCCTCGCCGGCAGCATCGCGCAGGTGCAGCGGAAGTCAGGTCCGCCCTGCCGACAAGGCGTACCCAAGCACATTGGTATTTTCATGAGCGGCGCAGCTTCCCCCCTCCCTAACTCAGCTCCTTCCAAGTCGTAGAGAGGGAGGGGGGAAGGCGTGGAGTGGGATTAACACAGCCGAGACCTGTTTTCGCTAATCACATCAGCTCCTCTCCTCGCCTTTAAATCCGCCACCGGCGAGGCGTATTACAATTTTTGTGAAGTAGTCAAAGAGATCAAGAGATGGCTTAAGACAGCAATGCCACATGATGGCGACGGAAGGCAGCTCCTCAACAAGTTTCGCGCTAAGTGCTGCTGAGGGCGTCCTTCACACTCTCTCAAATAAGCACAGAGGGATTTGGGGTGTGTAAGGTTGTACACTGGTAAGACAAACATCCTTTTCCACAAATAAAGACACTCACATAAAGTTGCATATATTTAAACCTCATGTGCACAGATAACATAAATTCCAATAATGGCATTAAAATCGCAACCATCTGTGCATAAATGACGCATCGCGCTCCGTGGCCTGGCTCTTTCTTTCATAGATGTTGGCATATAAAATAAATTTGGCTCACAAAAGTGAATATTATAATATTCGTATGAAGGCTTAAAGTAAATAACTCATCAGATCACTAAAATAAATCATCTGGTCAGCCTTGCTGCTGCAGAAGCAGCAGGATGGGGAGAGGACACTGAGACATGTCCAGGTCGAGCTGTGCAAGAAATAAGAGGAAGGGGAAGACAGAAATAGGGGGGAGACGAATTCAATATTTTGTTCACTTCATCATATGTGTCTATTTACTGGATATTTAATTCAATTTAATTTAATGCGGTTTCGGCTGTATTAATTCGGTCAGGTTGAGTGTCCAAACGCATGCCAAACATGCTCATCAGATAAGATATAGATCAGAATATATCGATATACACTCACCGGCCACTTAATTAGGTACACCATGCTAGTAACGGGTTGGACCCCCTTTTGCCTTCAGAACTGCCTCAATTCTTCGTGGCATAGATTCAACAAGGTGCTGGAAGCATTCCTCAGAGAGCTTGGTCCATATTGACATGATGGCATCACACAGTTGCCGCAGATTTGTCGGCTGCACATCCATGATGCGACTCTCCCGTTCCACCACATCCCAAAGATGCTCTATTGGATTGAGATCTGGTGACTGTGGAGGCCATTTGAGTACAGTGAACTCATTGTCATGTTCAAGAAACCAGTCTGAGATGATTCCAGCTTTATGACATGGCGCATTATCCTGCTGAAAGTAGCCATCAGAAGTTGGGTACATTGTGGTCATAAAGGGATGGACATGGTCAGCAACAATACTCAGGTAGGCTGTGGCGTTGCAACGATGCTCAATTGGTACCAAGGGGCCCAAAGCGTGCCAAGAAAATATTCCCCACACCATGACACCACCACCACCAGCCTGAACCGTTGATACAAGGCAGGATGGATCCATGCTTTCATGTTGTTGATGCCAAATTCTGACCCTACCATCCGAATGTCGCAGCAGAAATCGAGACTCATCAAACCAGGCAACGTTTTTCCAATCTTCTATTGTCCAATTTCGATGAGCTTGTGCAAATTGTAGCCTCAGTTTCCTGTTCTTAGCTGAAAGGAGTGGCACCCGGTGTGGTCTTCTGCTGCTGTAGCCCATCT